GTTTTTTCCACTGGAAAAGAAGATCCCCAAAGGTTAAGCGAGAAAGTCTGTTGTAAAGCAGTGCAAATATTGGCTCTGCATAAATGCAGGATTGATCTGAAGGCAAGAAACCTTCTCTCTCTCTCTCTCTGCTATGACTTGACATGGATTCTGCACTCTCTCCAAGCAAAGTTGCTCTGGGTTTAAAGTTTCCTCCAAAAAGCCTGCACAGCAGTGTTACTGAAGCAGCTGGTTCTCAGTTCAGTGGAAGGGCTATAGCTCACTAGGAGAGCACCTGCCTTGCATGTTGCATAAAGAAGGTCCTGGGTTCAATCCTCAATGGCATTTTTAGATGGGGCTTGGAAGAGAGCCCCTGCCTGAAACCCTGGAGAGCTGCTGCCAATCTGTGTAGACAATACTGAGTTAGATGGGGCAATGCTCTAACTTGGTGCAAGGCAGCTTCCATGTTCAAACATTATGAGTGCCTAGATGGCCATGCCAGGAACACATATAAGGAAAAAAAGAAGGCATACGATGGATTGACTGGGCACAGTGGTGCAATTAGGTAATTTTTACAGAGTGGACTTTATGATCTTATGCCCCACCTCCTTCAATCCCTTTAGTTCAGAGCTTTCCAAATTGTGTCACGACACATTGGTGTGCTAAGAACTGGAGTTTAAAGAGAGAAGGCGGTCTGCATGCACTTAAGGATACCACCTGCCTTTGTTGAGTCACCTGGCTGAGTGGGGTTTCAAACCCTGGTCTCCCAGGTCATAGTCAAGCACTCTAACCATTTCACCACACTGGCTCCCTGCATAGGAAGCTGGAGCAGAGGAACCTTCCTTGTAATGAGGCATTGATCCATCTAGATGGGCCTAGTATGGGCAACACTGACTGGCAGTGGCTTTCCAGGGGTCTTTCCCCAGCCCTACTGGGAGATGCTGAGCAAAGAACCTGGGACTTTCTATCACTGCTGCTGCTGCTTCTTTTTCCTGGCAAGCAGCAAAAACTGGGGTGGCGGCAGTTCTTGAGCACTTAACAGACAGGCATACTTCATTGGTATTTGCCCTTGTTGGGTCTCAAGTTGGATGAGGCTGACCCAGGGGATGGCTTTCAAGCCGAGAGTTGACCCACCTTTTTGTCCTAGCCTAGCCGTCAACCATGGGTATGCAGCGGTGGCCTGACAAGGTGACATTTCACAGCACGGTTTTAAAAAGCCGGAAAAACTGGCTTTCATTTTCTTCATGCGTGAAACGATCTCCCAGCTTCGCAACAAGAATGCTCCGGCGTGAGGAATCCGGTTTCTCTCTCTCAGCCCCTGAGCTGTGGCTCTCTTGAAACGGATTATCCTCCACCGCCTTCAGCCTTTTGCTCAGTGGGGTCGATAACTCTTCCCAGTCATTCTCTTCGGCATTAAGTCCGTGGTGTTAGTCAGAGGCCATGTGGTGTCCGGTGGCCTGAATGATAACAAAACCAAGAAGCCTCATTTGCTTCTGTGAAGCTTTTTTGAGGTGTGCTTGGAGCCGCCTCCTTGTGTGTGTCCCCCCCGGCCCCCAGCGCAGCAAGCAAAACAACCAAACAGCAACTCCAGAAGAAAAATGGCAGGAAACCCAGCCGTGGCCGTACTCTGAAATGGTGGTGCCTTTTCCCTGACTCAAAATCGCAGAACGTTCAAAGGCAAAGCGGTGGGGAACCTCTTGCAAGCGCTAATTTTGTTGCCATTATGTTCCCTTTGTGAACAAAAGCAAATTTCCTGCAGGTAGCCCTTTGCGGAGGCAGAAAAGATTTGGGAAACCTTCACTCTGAAGGGGAGGCTTACAACAGATGTTCAGTTCCCAGCATCTCCAGATAGGGCTGGGAGAGACTTCCTGTGTGAAACCCTGGAGAGATGCTGCCGGCCAGTGTCGGCAATACTGGGTGAGCTAGATGGACTGTTGGTCTGATTCTACGTCAGCTAGAATATTTCAAGGCTGCCTCAGAAAGGAGAGAAGAGACTGCCCATTTCAAGTGCCCTTTCGAGACGATTCAGGGGTTACTCCTTTTTTTGAGGAAGTCCCAAAGTTATGGCGGCAGTGGAAATCCCAAATTGCATCCTTCCCGCTGAACTAATCAACATGGGCCCCCCAACCAGCTGCATGTTCTCTTATGAAATACCCCTTGAAATTAATGGGACGAATGAACAAGACCACTCCTCAACTTACGGCGTGATGACTTGGTCATTCCTGGTACCTGTAAGGCTGAAAGGGGATCTAAAACAGTTTTAAACAAGATAAATCAACTGGTCACATCCTAGGCTTGAGCCTGTGAACTCCTGCATGCACTCTGCTGCTGCGCCAGGGCTCTTTATGCAGCCAATGGGGTCCTGGTGGTGTATATAGGGGACGTAAGAACATCAGAAGAGCCTGCTTGCAGGATCAGGCCAAAAGCCCAGCTAGTCCAGCATCCTGTTCCCAAAGCTGCCAACCTGATGCCCATGGGAAACAGTCGAGCAAATCCTGAGCTCAGCAGTGACTCTCTCCATCCATGATACCAGCAGCAACCCCTCATGATGTCATGCTGCCCTGGGAACTGGAGATGCCCTATATAGAACTGTGGCAAGCAGCAGCCACACATGTAGCCTCATCCTCCATCGATTGGTCTAATCCCCTTTTGAAATGAAGTGCCCCACTGGATCCCTGTTTAGTGAAGCTTTTAATGTTCGATGTATTACTGTATTTTAATATTGTGTTGGAAGCCACCCAGAGTGGCTGGGGAAACCCAGCCAGATGGGCAAGGTATAAATAAATTATTATTATTATTATTATTATTATTATTATTATTATTATTATTATTAAACCAGCAGCTGGTATTCAGATGAATGATGCCTCTAGTAGTGGAGGCACAGCTATAGTGGACAGAGAAGTTTCTTTCCCTCTGTCTTAACACAGGAACTAGTGGACATCCAATGATTCAGGTCAGTTAAAAGGAAGGGTTTGTTCACACAGTGTCTAGCTGAACATTGGAACTCGCTCCTTCAGGAGAAATGATGGCCAACTACGTGGGTGACTTTAAGAGGGGGTTAGAGAAATTCACAGAGGAGAGGGCTATCGATGGCTACTAGCCACAAGGGCTATGCGCTGCCTCCCTGGTCACAGGCAGTAATGTTTCTGAATACCAGTTGCTGGAAACCATGGGAGGGGAGAGGGCTATTGTGTTCTAATCCACTGGGGCACTTGGTTGTCCACTGTGGGAACAGGAAGCTGGGCTAGATGGGCCACTGGCCTGATCCAGCAACTTCCTCTTATGTTCCTGTTTCGGGAAGCTCTTAATGTTTGATGTCGTTGTTGCTTTTCCTGTAATTTTGTTGAGAGCCGCACAGAGTGGCTGGGGCAACCCACTCAGATGGGCAGGGTATAAGAAATAAATTTTGTTGTTGTTGTTACTACATAGCCATGACTAGTAGTCATTTGAAAACCTTGTCTCTCCACACATCTCTTCAAATGTTGCAGATGTGTGCTAGATAAATGCACTTTTAAAAAGAACAACAAAACGAATTAACTTTTGAAAACCAAATTGGTGGAATCTTACTAAATGCATAATGGCTTAGCCTGCAAATCAGGATGATCTGGGTTCAAATCTTGCCTATTTCAGACGCCCTCCCTTAAGGCAAGTCTCTCTCAGCTCTGCCCCCAGCATCTATAAATAAAGACCGACTCACCTTACAGGTTTGTTGTAGTCAAAATTACAAAGGGATCACGAAGCACTGCTTATATACTGTACATTTTTAGTTGTGTTTTTATTCCCTTTTCTGCTGTAAACTGTAATTTTTATAGTATATATAGTTATAGTACATTTTAACTGCATTTTATCTGTGTGTTGCCAGAGAACAATCGTGTTGTGTGGCCTTATTTAAATATAGTAAGCAAGAAAATAAAATGTGAAACCCTTTGAACACTAGACAGATGTCAAGCATTATTATTTTAAAATGCAGTGGCTGTAATAATCAGCAAGTGAAGTGAATCTTGGAAACGTGAAGGGGATACCTCCAATCCTGTACACCAGCAGTCGCTGACCTGACACTCTGAAGCAGTTTTGGACTACAACTCCCATCAGCCCCAGCATCCTAAGACTGTGCTTCTTTGGGGTTGATGGGAGTTGTAGTCCCAAACAGCTGGAGGGCACCGAAGGTTGGCAAAGGCACATGCCTAACTCAATACCGTTCCCACTGCATGCCAATGAAACAAATGCGGAGTAAGCGTTAGGCTCTCTCCCCTTTCTATCCAGTGTGGTCCAAGTATCTTCAACTATAACTCCCATCATTCCTGGCTGATGGGAATCGCAGTCCAACAACATGAGGAGGGCACTAGCTTGGCAAAAGCTGCACCTCCCTTCCCCCGTTTGTTCCCGGTACACTTTTGCGCCCCAAAACTTTTAAAGATCCAGCCCTGCCAGGGAATCCTTCCTGCTCCGAATATTCCCCGCCTCGCCTCTCAAAAGGGTGGCTGCAGAAAGACGGGGATGGCGCTTTGTACGAGGCCAGAGGCACGCTTTGCTCCCCTTTCTGCTGGGCGCTGCTTCACCCGGAGTCCCGAGGCCGGCCTTCGAAAAACGGGTTGGGGGTCCGGGGAGAAGGGCTGCCTTGCTCCAACGAACTCCGCCGCCCCTTTTAATTCATCCCAGCCCCAAAGGTTCTAACCCAGCCGCTTCTCCTGACCCCGCCGGCATCTGGGGGTCTTTCGCCCAGGCTGCCCTCGGGGGGAAGAGAGAGGTTACTGCAGGAGGAAGAAGAAGGGGGGACCCCCTCCCTCCCCATCTCTGGAAGGTTCCGGGTTGCAGCCTGGAGGAGGCGGGAGGGCGCAGCTGCGCCTTCGGCCTGCGAGCGCTCAGGGGGGCGCCGTCCGCTCGCTAGCTGGCCCATCGGTGCGCCGCCGCCGCCGCAGCTTCCAGGGCCGGGCTCCTGGTCGTCGTCGTCGTCGCGGGCGCAGGCGGGAGGGTCGGGATGGTCCCTCGGGGCGGCCCAGCGGCGGCGACGCCCCCCTAAGGGCCGCCCCCTCGCCGCTCTCCGACCGTCGGAAGCGCCTGGGGCGCAGGAGGAGGCGGCTCGGGCGCTGCTGCCGCGGTTGCTGCTGCACAGGCTGCGGGCTGGCCGGCCGGCCATGGCCAAGGAGCAGGACGCCGAGGCGGCCGGGGCGGCGTCGGCGGCCGCAGCCGGGGCGGGAGGCCCCCCCGGGAGCCGCGCTCGCCAGCAGCCGCCGCCACCACCTCTGCAGCCGCGCCTCTGCCACATGCTGAAGGGCGACAACGGCTACGGCTTCCACCTGCACGGCGAGAAGGGCAAGAGCGGCCAGTTCATCCGCAAAGTGGAGCCCGACTCGCCGGCCGAGGCGGCGGGGCTGCGCGCCGGGGACCGCGTCGTCGAAGTCAACGGGCTCAACGTCGAGAAGGAGACGCACCACCAGGTCCGGGGTGACGGTGGGCGCTCGGGGTAGGGTGGGGGTCGACGGGAAGCCGCCAGGGCTCAGCCGCAGTCTGCTGGTGCTAGTAGGGCTGACAGGGAGCCTCCAGCCTCAGACGCAGTCTACCGTTGCTGAGCACCTGCGACACCAGAGGGCTCAGGTGGGGCTTCCCTAAGGAGGCTTGGGTGGACCTTCCTTGCCACGACCTGGCAAGGCACGTCTGACTCCTAAACTGGCATCTGTTTTAGTTTAACAACAGCGTTTGGGAGAAGAGGTGTCAATTAGTTAAAAGCAGGGCATCAATTAATTAAAAGCAGGACGTCAGTCAACGGAATCGATCGATGCTGGCAACCGTCTGACGCGGTGGCCAGATGGAACCTCCTGAGGCCACGCAGTCTACCTCTAAATGACAACAGCCCCCTGGGGGCAAAGAGCAGGAGCTGGCTGTCACCTTGGTGTTCTGCTCCGGAGACCTTAGAGGTGTCCGAAGCTGTGGGCTAGGGACTCTTAGCCTGATCCAACCTGACTTCTGGATGTGGCTGGGGTGGACTTGGAGTGCCAGACTGAGGGGAAATGCCCTTTTGGGGAGCAGAGGTGAAGGCAGGCCACCAAGATAGGAGCCAAAAGGACTGTTCCCGTCCTCCTGCTGCTCTGGGACTGCCTGATAAGGGCTTCCAAACCAGCTTGCTTGCTCTTGCTGGTAGATATGTGTGAAGGAGGGACCCACCTTCAGTGCCCCTTTCCTGCCCTGGGTCTCAGGGTTTTCAGTTAGGAAGCTGCCTTGTACTGAGTCAGTCCATTGGCTCCGTCTAGCTTAGTGTCGTCTGTAATGATTGGCAGCAGCTCTCCAGTCTTTCAAGGAGGGTTCTCTCCCAGCCCTACCTGGAGATGCTGGGGATTGAACCTGGAACCTTATGCATGCAAAGTGGACATGGTTGTGGACCTCCTAAGGCCTTCTTAGTTATGTGTACTTGTGAAGGTGCTGCAGCAGATACACGTCTCTGGAAGCCTATAAGCTTCTTGCGGCTGCAAATGTTTCAGGCGTGCAAGCCCAACGCCTTAGGTAATGTTGGAACGTAGGAAGCTCACATCAAGTCAGACTATTGATCAAGCTGGATAGCTCAGTGGCAGAGTACCTGCTTTGCATGCAGAAGGTCCTGGGGTACAATCCTCAACAATGGCATTTCCAGGTTAGGTTGGGCATGTCCCTGGCTGCAACCCTGGAGAGCCTCTGGCAGTCAGTGTGGACAGCACTGAGCTGCAGCCCTTCCCCAAAGATCTGAGAATGTAGGAAGCTGCCTTATAATGAGTCACACCTTTAGCTCAGTATTGCCTACACTTACTGGCAATGGCTCTTCAAGTTTTCTGGCAGGGAGGCTTTCCCAACCCTACTCAGAAGAGGCTTTAAGCAACCCTTCGTACGGGTGCCTGACACCCCCTCTACCTACTTGGTCCCCACGACTTGCTCGCTGGATGGATGTTTTGGATCTGCCAAGCTGGGTGCCACAGTGTCGTCCCTTTTGACAAATATACCCCCCCCCAGCACCACTCTGTGTCTCTTGAGATTGGTGCTCTAGTGAATGCCTGAGGCTTGAGCTCTGGATCCTCATGGTGATCCAAAAGAATTAAGCTGGGCAGGCAATTTCGTTTGCAATAACAATTTTTATTGATGCTTGTCCAAAGATATGCAAAAGTTCATACCCAGTACAAAGTATCTTTTTATAATACGCCAGAATAAAAGAAATGCTTTTGAAATCTAATCTAAAAAGGAATGGAAGCAAAAATAAGAAAACAAAGGAACATAAAATAAAGAGAAAAAGGAAATAAAATGAAAATTTCACATGCAGTCATGGTCACCCCTTCTTGGAATGCATATCGTGAAGCTAGGGCGAGTATAGAAAAAGAGCAGTGATAGCAACTGAGGTTTTTAGGCTAAGTATTTGCTCTTATAAACAGAGATTTTATCCTGTAGGACATTTTTTGGCTTAGACAGAAAGGCAGCTAAGTACTGTGGTGAATTGTGAATGGTGTAGAGAGCAGCCGGCACTAGCTTGGCGGCTTCCAGATGTTGTCTGACTTAATCTGTTGTAGTCCAGTAACATCTGCAAGGCACTAGGTTGGTGACACTTAGCACAGCGTGAGTGAGTAGAGAGAGAATCTCAGAATGTTAGTTTTGGGGTTGGCAGCCCGCAGTCTCTGAGCAAAATCTGCCCCGCTCCCAGTTTGGCGCCATTTTGCCTCTCGGTTATCAAGCCGGGGAGAGCACAAGTTGGATGTAGATGAGCAGCGTCTCTGGAAATGAGACGTTGCAGCAGGACATCATAGGGTGTTGGCTGTGTCCTCACCTTTCTTGCCAAACCTGGCTCTCAAGTGAAATTAGTTTCTGACAGAAGAACCTAAGAAGAGCCTGCTATGAATTTGTCCAGTCCTTTTTTGAAGCCATCCAAGTTTATAGCCGCCATTGTATCTTCTGGTAGCAAATTCCACAGTTTAACAATGCTATCTGTGCAGAGAAATACTTTTTTGAATCTGTCCTGAATCTTCCAACAGTCAGCATTGGATCAACATTCAGCTGACTTGGGCACCAACTCTTGGGATTATCTAGATCCACTTGGTTCAGGATTCAAGAAGCGGTAACTTCGCACTGTATGAAATACCTACATTCAGTCAGTCAGACTTGTTGGAAAGCATAGGTCATCACAAAAATGCAAACAGGATAGATCACTTTAGCACAGGTGGCCCCAGCAGATGAGCCGCCATGTTGTACAATAGGGTTGCCAACCTAGCACCCGCATGCGCCATGGTACCCATGGGTGCCTCTGGGCAGGTGCCCTAGCTTCTGAGCTTTCTTTCCTTTCTTATCTATTTAAAAAACTAAGTCTTCAGCCCTCCTAGAAAGAAAGTTATGGAGTAAAATGTGCAGGCACCTTCTATGAAATGATTGTGGTGTGGCTTACCTTGTACATTTCGCTTGGTACTGAGGGATGCTCCCTATTGCTATTAGACAGCAACAGCATCAGGCAAGACTATATGGTCAGGCAACCACGTCTGAAGCTGTAGAAGTGAGTAGTCAGTGGACAGGCAGAGATCAGAGGTGACAGTGGCAGTGATGGGGTGAATGGGAATGTTTGTAGGAGGGTCTTTCTGTTTGCGCTGGAGAGAGTAGCTATGCCTTGCTCTGAGTGTGGATGCCAAAATAATTGGAACTTGTATTTATGCCCTTTTAAAATGTGGAAGAGGAGGTTATTGGGTTGTCCATTTATTTATTTTTTGGCTATTGTTATGTATTTTCTGCTTTCTATATTGTGATCTTATGTTGTGAAATGCCCTGAGATCTATGGGTATAGGGTGGTATACAAAGAAACAAGCAATCAAATCAAGCCCCAAAGAGGATTTGAGAGGTGATCAGCTGCTCTCTTGCGTCACAAAAATGACCAGCTTCCCTTGCTTTGCTGAGGAACTTACTCCCGCCAAAGCCCAGTTGCTTCCAGGAGTGTGGAGGCCTTTGTTTTTGACCCACCTCTGCCACTGCCTTACTCTGTGGTCCTGGCCTCTGTTCACTTCCCTTGGCCTGCTATGTGTATTGCTTGTGTTTTTGCAAAGCTCCTTGAATAGCTCTGTGTTCCTTCTGATCCTTCATTGCAATTGCTGCACAGTTGAAACGTTTACTTGCTCTGCGGTTGAGCTCGGAGGCCGTCTTAATGGGAAGGAATGAGCAGGCTGGAATCTGCGTCGGAAATCAGGTTTTAGGATTTGCTTTGTTTTGTTTTCAAGCCACGGGGGTTTCCTTTCGTTTGTGTATGTGGGAGTCGAGCTAGATTGGCAACGTTCTTCTTTAACTCTCTAGCTCAGGTGAATTAGTTGCACAAAGCATAAAGCATGAATGCCTCTGTGGAAATTTTCATATCGGTAGATGAATGCAGGCTTGCAAGTAACTGCTCGCCTGGGTCGGCTGCAGTAAGCAAGAGGTGTCCCTAGGCGAACAAGCAACGGAACTTTTGCAAACTGGAAGAAGAGGCGAACAGGTGATTCCTACCCCCTACTTCTCTGGGGCCCTAAATGGTATGTGTCACCAGGTGGCTGATGCAAAGTGGCTCTGAAAGGGAGCAGAAGGCCTGCCTGGCACTCGCATCGTTGCTCTTCCAGCAAGCGTATGATTGGCAGTGCCTGGCTCATTGCCTCTGGAGATTGCAGGCAGGAAGGATTTTCCAGCTCCCTGGCTCAGTTTAGTTAGTTCATTTTAAGATGGGCTGCACTCTGTAAATTTCACACCGGGGCATTTTGTCATCCACAGAGACTGGCTGCCTAACCTTGTGTTCAGGGTAGATGAGCACTTAGGTCCTCAGCATCGTTTGTCATTTGGTACCTTGGTGGCTGGACAGTGTCCTCTCTGAGAAGCCACATGTGGGCAAATGCAGGAGCAAATGGCTGGCATGGGTTGCCATCACACCTCTTGACCATGCAGGCAGGGCCCGTGGCAGACTCTGCTGGTCTCCCCGTCATGCTTTTGCACAGCTGGGAAAAGCATTCAATGAGCAGAGCAGCGGAGGGGAAATGGACTCTCTGGTTACTAATTGCCTAAGGGGCCTCCTGGGATGATCTCTTAGCACGTGGCAGGTACATGCTTGCAAGAGGTAATCCTGCACAGCATCTGTCTCTGCCTTCCCCAGCCTAGTGCCCCCCAGATGTTTTGGGCTACAACAACTCACATCACCCCCAGTTTCATGCAGTCATGGAGGGCACCAGGTTGGGGAAGGCTGTTCTCTCTAATATTTGCTTAACTTTCACAGATTTTAACTGTGTGCCATCTGCTATGAATTTTGGAAAGCTGTTTGTCCATCTGTTCTTTTATGCATTTGGAAACATTCTTAAGATACAGTGAGCAGATTTTGCATGTTGGCCCCTGAGATCAAGGAGCAGGGTTTTGGCTATTTTTGGGTACCATTGGATGCCATTTTGCATCCAGACGGAGGACTGATCTTTTCAAAAGTGTACCGATTTCAATCACTGAATCAATCAATCAATCAATCAATCAGTCAATTACGGCAAACAACCAGAATATTTAAACCATAATTTCTGCATAATTCTCTACATAAACAATAAAAACGATTGATCTGTGGTTTAACAACAATCACTGATTTAACAACTGCATTGTTTGTTTGTTTGTTTGTTTTTTGTTTCTTCAAATTCCTGAGCCACCTGGCTAACAGGTTTCCCCTGTACCAAAGGTAGCCCAATTTACTGCCTTTAACAGTGTTCAAACATGCTGCTCCATCTTTCCTTAGTATAAGGCCATCTCTGATATTGTGAGCCCCACTAGGTCAAGCAAATCCCCACTTAGCCCAGCATTCTGCTTCCTACAGAGGCTGGCAAGGTAGTCTCAGGAAACACATAAGCAGAGAATGCAGGCAGCAGCCTGCTTCTATGGTCGTTTACCTCAGCATCTGGCATACTCAGGTAGACGTCCTCTGAACATGGAAGTTCCAGTTAGCTGTAATTAAGAACATCAGCTGGACCAGACATTAGGCCTGTCCAGTGTAGCATCATCCCATTGTAGCCAAACAGATGTCTCCAGGAAGGTCAAAGCAGGTACCTGAAGGCAGGTATCCTCAGATGAAGGTATGCACCTCTCAGATTACAGAATGCTGTTCCAAAATACTACCTGGGACTGCCTTTGGATTTTGCTAAAGTTGTCCCCACCCCACCCCAGCCTCAGTTGAATACACTCTGAAGTTTCCTGCCAAATCCTTGCGTAGAGGATCCTGAGAGTTGGTTGGAAAAGTTGCAAAGTAAAATTGAGTCAAGGGCAGATATAAAACGTTACAGCTTGAGTTATGGGTCCGTGGCATGTCAGTCTGCGCACTGTTTTTGATAGCTTGGGGGGGAGGGAAACTTACATAACTGCACTGGGCAAGCACAGAATTTGGATAAGGTCACATCTGCTGACATCAGCCCCAGCCCATGAAAGCTAGAGATGCCACAGCTGGTTGCCTTGTCTTGAAGGTGTTACAGTGGCACACCAGAACCAAAGTAACCTCAAAGAACCAGTAGACATACCTTTAACTTGCCTTGTCCACCAGTATGGTTCTTTCTAGTGAATCAACTAAATATTTAGTGGATTAATCTTAGGTAGGTCTTGCAGCCATACTTTTCTGTTAGCTGAAAGTTCTACAACCCTTGCACCACCCCACCAAATCCTAGAGTTTGCAAGTCTGTCCCATGCCCCTTCACTTTTTTCCACCCTGCTCCCTACACTCTGCCCTGAAATCCAGAAAGTGAATGCATCACAGCTCTGCTCCAGTATGGTGCCAGTGTGGTGTAGTGGTTAGAGTGTCAGCCCAGGACCCGGGAGAGACAAAGGTTCAAATCCCCATTTGGCCATGGGGCTTGCTGAGTGACCTTGGGCTTGTCACAGCCTCCTAGCCTTTTTTTCTTTTAAAATTAATTAATATTTTGAAGCTTTTCAGTTGTACAAAATAAAGGGGGGGGGAGAAAGAAAAGAAACATAATACAATATATGGTAACAGATATATGATTCTTATTTATGCTTAATATATGATTATTAATGTACTATGTTCTGTATAAACTTGTTCCAAATATCAGTATATATACCCTTTTTTAAAAAAAAATTATACTTTTCAGATATATACATTTCACTGATTTTCCAGTCATTTTGACATTTTAAAACTTGACTTCCTTCCTCTTCTTTCTGTGGTTCTTTAAATTTATTTTTAATACCTTCTGCATATCCAAATTAACTTAACTTACTCATTTATTTACTGTATTTTTCCGTCTATAAGACGTCCCCATGTATAAGATGCCCCCTACTTTTGGGTCCTCTAATACACAGTCCACCCTTGGCACTATCCATGTATAAGATGCCCCTTAATTTTTGGCATTTTAAAAGGGAAAAAACCTAGTCTTATACATGGAAAAATATGGCATCTTCTTCAAAGATATACTCTTATGTAACTGCAGATTGTTATAATAACCCTGCCAGTGTTTTTATCTGTTTACAGTTTATCTGTAACTATTCAATAAACCATTTCCATACTTTTATAAAAAGTTTTATAAAACATTTTTTATCAGCATATTTAGCCAAACAAACCCTGCATCTATGAGCAATCCGTTCATATGTTGCGAGTGCTGCCGTGCCTTCAATCCATTGGTTAAAGGAAACCATTGGTTAGTAGCAGGCTTCCTCAACCTCTGCCCTCCAGATGTTTTGAGACTACAGTTCCCATCATCCCTGACCACTGGTCCTGCTAGCTAGGGATCATGGGAGTTGTAGGCCAAAAACATCTGGAGGGCCGAGGTTAAGGAAGCCTGGTTAACAGGCTATATTAGCCCAACCTACCTCACAGGGTTGTTGTGAGGATTCGGTGGAGAACCACGAATGCCACCTTGAGCTCCTTGGAGGAAAAAGCTGGGATATAAATGCAGCAAATAAATAAACAGAACGCACCAGGCATATGGTTTGCATTCGGCTGAAATTCTGTAGCCGTAATTGCTTGGTTTCCGCCCCTGGGAGTCCCTGCTCATTTGTTTTCTTCCTTTCCTGCCCATCCTTCGCCAGGTGGTGCAGCGCATCAAGGCCGTGGAAGCGGAGACTCGCTTGCTGGTGGTGGACAAAGAGACCGACGAGTACCTGCGGAGCCTGCAGCTCACCTGCACTGAGGAGATGGCCCGCACGGGCATCGTGGCAAACCCCGAGGTGTCGCCGGTCAAGCCGACTGCAAGCGACAACAACGGCGAGGCCTGGAAGCCCCAGCTGGACCTGAGCAACCGAAACCTCAAGAGGCACAAGCACAGCTTGAGCTCGGAGAGTGGGAAGAAGGTAAGGCCAATTTCAGGCGCATTCGGAGGGTCGTGTGGGTGTAACTCTGGGCAGCCAGAGGTTTCTGGGTTGCTCTGGACTTTCCAGTATGATGGCGGCCATGCGCAAGCGTGATTTACCGTATTTTTCGCTCTATAAGACGCACCAGACCATAAGACGCACCTAGTTTTTGGAGGAGGAAAACAAGAAAAAAAATATTCTGAATCTCAGAAGCCGGAACAACAAGAGGGATCGCTGCGCAGCGAAAGCAGCAATCCCTCTTGCTGTTCTGGCTCCTGGGATAGCTGCGCAGCCTGCATTCGCTCCATAAGACGCACACACATTTCCCCTTACTTTTTAGGAGGGAAAAAGTAAGTCTTATAGAGCAAAAAATACGGTATATTTCTCCGCTTAAAGCACACTTGCACCACTTTATGTCATGGCTCCCCTCAAAGAATCCTGGGAGCTGTAGTTTGTCAAGCGCGCTGGCCTCGCAGAGCTGCAGTTCCCAGCACCCATTGCAAACGACAGTTCCCATGAATGTTATAGAGTGGTATGAGAGCACACTTTGAAGGCATGCTGCACATGCCTGACGGAGTTTGCATTTAAAGAGGAAGCTACCTCATTTGCAATTTCTGAAACAACACGTGAAACAGAGAGCAGACGGCCTTTGAAATTCTGGATTTTGCAAAGCAGTTTGCCGGCCAAGTTATGCGTAACAGAATGTGTATACTTGTGTGCATAGAAATGCCCCTCTTGGTGAAACTAAGATGCAAAAATGCATTGTATTGGGGGAATTGTATTGCAAAAAAATGTGTACTTTGGGCAAAATTGCTAGCAATGATGTGGATATCGGGAGAGATCAGCACTGAAATGCATGACGGATTTTCATGAGGACTAGCCAAACTTATATGGAAATGTGTAGATGTTAAGGTTTGGGAAATGAGCTACTGAAAGAGGCTGAAATGGTCAGATTCCCCCATCCCTTGCCCAGCCACTGAAAACGCCTGATTGTGTTTCTCTTGGGCTGGAGGTGGCAGATGGACTTGCTTTGAAGGAATGCAAAAAGGCTGGCCGGGTGAGTGGGTAGGGTCACCCAGCAGCATTTTGACTGGACATTGGGAGTGAGTGTCGGGACTGTGATGAATACACAGCAGAGGGAGGTTTTTAGTTGGGCTTTCCTGCACTAGGGAGGGATGTGGTGGTGGGAGGGATAATCTGGCATTAGCGGAAAGGGAAGGGTTAGGGGAATGAAGTGGTCCTTAGTTACTCTGTGGCAAATGAGGTCAAGATGTGTCGTTAGGGCTCTATTTACAGGCTCCTGGGGTCATGCCATCAGCAGATTCTCTAGGCTGAAAAGGGGGCTAAGATATTAGCTCCATTAATTCCGACCTCATGGCATGTGAGATGGAAGGTGTGCCCATTTGGTGGTTTGTAGCAAAACAGGCAGGCAAAATGGGAATTCTGCGACCACGAAACCCAGATTCTGTGTCCTGAATAATTGAAGGGAAGCTAAGCCGGTTTGCAAAAGTTTGCAGACAGTTTTGGATTGGCTCTCAATAGAGTAAAGGGTATCTGTTTGGGTGTGGGCAGAAGGAACTACATGGATAACTGAATTCCCAACATTTGTTTGAAGTATTGTTCCCCCTCCTCCTACCCAGGCCTGCAAAACTTCTTCTGCATCAGACATGACTCACCTTGGTTCTATGCAAATGTAATTAAATTGGAGAAATAAATGACAACAATAATAAAAAAAGTCAGAATTGCTACCTAGCTGAGAAACTTGACAAAAAATTTCCTCTCTCACCCTGTATTGAAAATGGTTTTTCATAGTGGTGTTTAGACAGGCAGCCTTGTTTAAAAAAACAGCCTCAATGTGGACTAGTGATTTGTGAGCTCTTCTTTGAAATACAGTTAAATTTACAGAATAATCCTATCCATATATGCCTGACCTTTGCATAGGCCATTGGGTTTGTGTGTAAGAGAGAGGTATATTGGGGTTTTGGTTGCTGCTGCCTTTTAATTTGTATTTTGAATCCAGTTTTTTTTTTAATGCTGCTTTTCATTTTATAGTTAAATTTGATTCTGAAATGTATGCATTTCCGCCCTGGGACCTTTGGGTGATGGGCAGATTATTATTATTATTTGAAATGAGCACATGAATAAATATTTTTAATGGGGCTTGCTCCCAGGCAAGGGCAGACAATCTTGCACCAGGTACGTCTTAAACCGGTCGAGAACCCTACTGATTTTATAGGTGTCTTTGCATTGTAATGAGTCCCAGGCCAGGAGCCCTGATAACCTCAGGCAAGCACATGCAGCTCAGCTCCTGAGAATGCCGTCATGTTCCCTTGACTCCTTTACAAATGCACTTCCGCTCTTGCTGCCGCTCTGCGCAGGCTGTTGAAAAAGAGAAAAAGCAACAGTGAGCAGAGAGGGTCACCATCAGGTCAGGTTTATAAAGCTTAAATTACAGCTGCTGCGAAACACCTTATAAGAGAGACCCTGGGGCAGGATCTGCAGCCTTCCCAGCACTAATTAGCCCACTTGTGATGTTTTCCAGGGGAGTGGGTGGAAATCGATCTCTCGCATGTTGCGAATGGATCGCTAAGGGGGAGGGAAGCACCAGCCCCTCTCCTGAGTAAAGTTGAACTCATGGCAGGGTGTACCCCACTACAGTGGTACCTTGGTTTAAGAACAGCTTAGTTTATGAACAGCTTGGATTAAGAACGCTGCAAACCCGGAAGTAGGTGTTTCGGTTTGTGAACTTTGCCTTGGAAGCAGAACATGTTCCGCTTCCTGTTGAGTGTGTTCCCTTTGTAAATTGAGTCCCCCGCTGCTATGGGAAAGCACACCTTGGTTTAAGAACAGACTTCCGCAACGGATTACGTTTGTAAACCAAGGTATCACCGTATGTTTTTTTTTAAAGGGAAATAAATTAAATTATATGCCCCACGGAAATCTCAGTTCTGCAACCTGCCGAAATGAGGCAGATAAGCATATTTACATTTTTGTCCTGCCCTCCTCTTATTTTGCATTATTGGGGTGAGGGGCAGTGACTAACATTTTCTGTCTGCTGTAACTTTTGTTCATCCATATGTCCCCCTTAGCTAGCTTCACAGAGTTCAGTACATAAATGGATCTGTGCTTTCAGGTTTATACTGAAGACTATAGACCTGCTCTTTTAAAAAAAAAAAATAATAATTAAAATCCATTTCTGACGTCTTGTAGGATTGTGGCCTTTGGCGCACAGCACTGGCCTGGCTGCTCTCAGGCAGACTTAACTGGTGAGGCTGTGATTTAGGGTCCTCTGCCACAGAACGGCAGACCCTCCTCAGACGTTTTCCAGATTCTATACAGGGCTGGCTTTTAAAAACTCAAAACATTCATATCCAGCCCAGGAAAGGTTCGTTTTATGTCTTTTATCAGAGAAGCTCCGATTGCGAGGGAAGATTGCATGGTGGCATGTTTTTGGCCTCAACTGTGTGCTTTTCTGAGAGGACAAGGAAGATTCATGGCCGTTTGAGAGCCTGCCACGTTGCTGACACAGTCCAGTTTTATCTGTTGCTAGAACCAATGAGACATGTTATCGTCCCAGGCAGGTAGCTCAGGTGGTTAGAGCTTGGTGCTGATAACGCCAAGGTTGCAGGTTCGATTCTTGTATGGGACAGCTGCATATTCCTGCATTGCAGGGGGTTGCATTAGATGATACTCAGGGCCACTTCCAACTCTACACTTCAATGGTTTGGGATGGTTTGTTGTTGGTTACCCTCTAGAACAGCAGCGGGGGTAGTTTTCTCAGCCCGAGGGCTGCATTTTCCTGTGGGCAACCTTCCAGGTGCCACATGCCCGCAGTGGGGAGGGCTAGAGGCAAAAGCGGGCAGGGGAATGAGTGTCAATATTACCTTTGTACAGTGGGCTAGTTTCTACATCCGCTGCGCTTTCCATCCTCCAGGCAAGCAGGAGACATCATCAGAATTCAAGGACGTGTCCCAGGCAGGCAATAATCCTCCAGGAGGGGATGGAGCAGGGGCGTGGCTTCGGGAGAGTTCCGAGGGCCAGATAAGAAGCTTGGAGGGCCGTAGGTTCCCCAGCCCTGTTATAAAGCATGTTGATGCTCTTCTTGGCACCTTGACCCCCTTGGCTTTTCCTTCTCCCTACCTGTCACCACTATTCTTATTATCGCTATCATTTCCCTCTGTCATTTCCCCTTCACCGTGCTACAGTTCCCAGCACCCTTAAACTACAGTTCCCATTATGGGAGGAAGTGCTTTAGATGTGTGCTGAATGTGCTTGAAATCTGCGGTGTGGATCTGCCAGCGTTCTTGCAGAAAGCGCAAGCTCCTAACCGAGGGAGGGTCCGGGGCGGGCATGGGATCAAAGTGTGCGCTCGGTGCCATACGCATGACCTCAGAGCATCCTCCTCTCCTTCTCCCGCCTCCCATTAGAGTTCTGGTCAGGAACTTGAACCGCCTGGTTGTTTTTGAGTCGGGGTGTTGGCAGGAAGCCCCTCCCAAGAAGGAAGGTATCCACCCCGCAACAGAAATTTCCTCTGCAGCTGTATTTTTAGTGAAACACAAAGCAAGTGGAAACGGTTGGGAGGTGGGAGCAAGATTAGCATCAGGATGGGCTAGGCTGGGCCCCACGTTTGTTCCCAGGGACACAAGCGAGCGCCGTGGGTCTCTGGACCAAAGGAGCTTCAGATTCCCAGCAGAAAGGGTGGTTGCTGCTGAAGAATTGTGCACCAATGTCTCAGTGCAAGACTTAGCAGTGTGATGTTTCCATGGCCAGGATCAGGCCGCTGGGTGCAAAAGAACAATACAGTGGTACCTCGGGTTACATACGCTTCAGGTTACAGACTCCACTAACCCAGAAATAGTGCTTCAGGTTAAGAACTTTGCTTCAGGATGAGAACAGAAATTGTGCTCTGGCGGTGCGGCAGCAGCAGGAGGCCCCATTAGCTAAAGTGGTGCTTCAGGTTAAGAACAGTTTCAGGTTAAGTACGGACCTCCGGAACAAATTAACTACTTAACCCGAGGTACCACTGTACTCTAAAATCATCTTGTTAGTCCTCATGCTGGCTCTAAAGAGATGGAAGTAGTACCCCAACATCTTGACCCTCTTCTTCCATTGCCCAGGGTTTTGTTTATTTATTGTGTATTTGTTGCATTTATATCCCACCCTTCCTCTGAGGAGTACATGGCTCTTTTCCTCCCCATCTCACCCTCACGACAACCCTGTGAGGGAGGTTAGGCTGAGAGCGAGTGACTGAGATCACCCGGTGAGCTTCATGACAGAGTGGGGGATTTGAACCTTGGTCTCCCAGGCCTTAGTCCGATGTTCTGACCACTACACCACGCTGGCATTGCATGTGGTGATAAGAGGTTTTGGCTCAAAACCTGCCTCGGTGCATGTTTTACGCAGATAAAATGGGTACAAAGATGCATAGTTTGCGAAATACAAAAGTGCTTCAGAGACAGTGTTTTACGCGGGTTGAAAAATATCAATTTGTAGATTGATGGAGAAACAGGAAGTAGGAGACTTATGAACGAACACATGCAAAACGGAGACATATCAAGTGATCTTGAGCGTGCAATAAGGAACAAAAACCTCATTATCCAAAGGGGCACTCCCTTATCCCTGATCTATCTCAAATGAGATAGTGAGAGCCAGTGCGGTACAGTGGTTAGAATATTATTATATAACCCAGGAGACCAGGGTTCGAATCCCACTGGGCTATGAAGCTCCCTGGGTGCTCTTAGGCCCGTCATTACCTCGCAGGGTTGTTGTGGGGACTAAATGAGGAGCAGTTGCCTCTTTTTTCTTCCCCGGTTTCCTACCTGGTGAATGGGTCTGTAAAGGACTGGGCAGTCTCAAATTCTCAATCTCTCTCTAGCCAGATAAGAAAGAGTGTTGGTTTTTTTAAAAAAAATGTAAACTTCCTTTATTCGGGGAATTAATAAATAAGCCAGAAACTTTCAAACTCACTCACTGGCTTGTAAGAATATTAAATAGCTGTAAACTAATTAGGAATATGTTGGCAGGACCCAGGCGACTGCGTGAGCTCTCGTGTACTCCTTATTCTGCAGATCCCCAGCTTAATCTTTTACATCTGACTGTTTAAGCATTTGCCTGACAAACAGAGCTGCATTCAGGCAAGCCACAGATTTAAGTGGTGGCTTTAAAGTTCTCTGAAGGGCCTTTTAATTCCATTAACGGGTTGGCGAATGCGGGATTAGCGGGTCATTTAAGACCTCTGAGCAGCTCTTCATTGGGATTTCTGATAAAGGAGCTCTGGGGAAAAACCCAAAGGCCCCAATAGACCAGAGCTGATTTTCCCACGGGTTTGAAGGGAGCAGGAGGTGTTTTAGAAGCTCCCGGAGGAGCTGGAAGAGTTAGAGGCAAATTGAGCAGTCATGTGCTGACAACTCAGAACCATGGAAGGGACCTGAGGGTCATCTACAATGCAAGGCCCCCTGCAATGCCATGGGTGGCAAAAGAGAGAGAGAATTGAGATTGCAAAGTTTTTACTTGGAACAATTGATGCAGGTTTCTCAGACTTCTCAGTGTGCATTTGTGATGATTTGCACTCATGATGGTGTTGGCACTCTGATTCCATAAGAAGAGCCTGATGAATCAGGCCAGAGGGGACCTAACTTGCCTGACATCCTGTTCTCCCAGTGGCCAACCAGAAGCCAGTGGGAAACTCTCAACCTCACACATCTAAGACTGGAGGGGAAGGCTTTCAGGTCAGGGAGGATGATGTCCAGCTTCAATCCCCACACCTCCTGTTTTTAGAAAACAAGCGCTATCTCAAATTTGAGATAGGCCAGTGTGTCTGGTCCCCAGGAAAGCAAGATGTTCAACTTGGTGCAGAGAGGGGTTGGGGAGAGGAATTATTTTGAGCCAGGGCCTAGGCTTTTCAGAGGCATATGAACTAGTAATGGAGGCGGTGCCTCTGAGCAGGACTTGATCTCCTTCCCCTTACCACCAAATAACCATCAACTTATAAAGTCCACAAACTAGAAGCCTCAGGTCCCAGTTCCTCTCTTCTTAGAAATTAGATGCAATGATTCTGTTAAAAGCTCAAGGCTACTGTTGTCCCTGGATACCTTTTTGCAGGGGAAAGAACATCAACAGACTTGTTGCACGATCTCCTCCACCCCATCTTCGGTGTCCTTTAGGGCCTCCTTTTGCTTTCTCAGAACCAAGCTGCTCACAGCTCTGTTCTCTTTCGGGGAAAGGGCCTGCTGGTGATGTTTCCTGGAAGCAGAGCTGTGTTTATGCCAACGGCCCAAGCGATTTGGTGATGATGGGTGGTGGGGAAAGAGTTCCATTAACATGTCTGTGATGATCTCTAGGGATGGGAGATCGCTAGGGAGGGGGGAGAAAGTCGACCCAACTGACAATCAAAAGCGAACCTGCCGAATTCACACTTTGCAAAACAATGCAAGAACCAAAGCACAGTCTCCTTGGAAATACGTGCTTTCCTGACTTTTGCAGTGCAGTTGTAATGGGTACAAAAATGCATGTGCTAAGGTAAAGTGTCCATAAAAATGCACATATTGGTAAAAAAGAGCATGCAAAAGGGGAAAAATTGCTTTGTAAACAAGTGTACTTTAGGCAAAATTGCATACAAAATGTGTATATTGGGAGGAATTTGCACTAAAATGCTGATGAATTCTAAGGAGGGTTTTCAACAATGCAAACTGATGTGGCGAACTGAATTTAAGACTGGAAAAATGAGAAGCTGAAAATGACAGATTTCCCTCTGCTTAGGGATCACCCAAGGTGGCTGGGCAATCTTCTCAGAATTCAGAAAAAGCCAATCTCTTGCAGTTTTGCAGAGGATAGTGCAAGGGCACTTTGGCGGCTGCCATCGATGCTGGGTCAGTGCCAGCGTCGGTGGGTGGCCCCAAGGGGGTGTGATGAGGGCAGGGAGGCTCCCCTGGGTTGTGGGTGGGCTTGCTCCTTGGTGAGAGATTGGAGCAGCTGGCAGGTGCATGCGTGTGGGTTCACCTGGCTCCCAAGAGTGAAGTGGAATGGCAGGGAGCTGCATCTGTGGTTAGAGCATGAATCCAGCTCAAAAACGCATATTCAGTGTGATTGGTGGGAGATTTTGCTACTTCATATTCTTTTGATTGGTTGGTTGTAATTAGAATCCTGTTAACTGCTTTAGAGTGGGTGTTTTGGGGGCCCAAAGCAGTATATATAGAGAAATCGTAACATTTATCCAGTTTTTAAGGATTATTTTATGGATTGTGTTATTGTATGATTTAAAAAAAAAATCTATTTGCCTGTTTGCAAATTGCTGTATGGCTTTTGCAAAGGGTGGCAACATAAATTATCTAACTAAGGAACACACTGCTACATTGGAACCCCTGAGAAATTATCCCCTTCTTTCATACCACTAAGGTAGCCATGCAAACCCTTTTTTCAACATGCCAGGGAGCTGCCTTTTAGCCTTTTACATACACAGTGGTCAAGATAACTTGCCTTTTTTAAAAAACCTCTGGCAAAAAACAACCTCCCTGGCTGACTGTTCTGAACAAAGGCTGGGATCTGTGGACAGGTTCCCAAATGCTTCAGCTGTAATTCAGAGCAATATATCAGGATTATCATGCCAGGTTAATAGCTATGAAGCCTTCTTGATAGACTCTGATTAAAAGCACCTTCAGAAGCCAAGTGCGTCATAATGGAGACAGATCTGCCACTCTGGAAAAGCCTGCAGTGATGGAGAGCAGAATCTGTCAGGGTCTTGCAGACAGAATAGTCAGCGGATTGGAGCGCTGTTCCTGTAAGCAAGGGCTTTTTGGTGGGGTAGTGGGGGGAAAGAAGGTTAAAATGGAGACATGGCAGGGCAGGCTTCGCCAACCTGGTGCTCCCCATATGTTTGGACTGCAGCCTCGTTCAGCACAGCTGTAGGATGCTGGGGCTGATGGCAGCTGTAGTCTAAAATATCTGGAGGGTGTGAGGTTGAAGCACAGGAGGGAGGCACAGTTGCTCTTGTGCTTGAATCCTGTTTGAGGGTTTCCCACTGGGGCATCTAGTTGGCCACTGTGAGAGCAGGATTCTGGACTAGATGGGCCATCGATCTGGTCCAGCAGGCTCTTCTTATGTTCCTAGATTAGGGAAGGCTTGGGTAGATCTCTGTTCTGATCTTGCAGGGCACTATTTACATTCCTGCTAAAGATCTCGATTAGCCGCTTAGCTTTAATTAACAGCACTGTTATGTCAGCTCAAAATTTCCTCTTGTGTTGACAGTAAGCCATCTAAAGTGCTGTTCCTGGCCTAGGTAACATTTCAAGGCCAGCAGCTTTGGTTGTTGGTGTGGAAACCCTCTCAGTCAAAACCAAGAGGTTCCCCCCCCCAGCTGTCTTTGATGAAAATTACATTTACAGTGGTACCTCTGGTTACGTACTTAATTCGTTCCGGAGGTCTGTTCTTAACCTGAAACTGTTCTTAACCTGAAGCACCACTTTAGCTAATGGGGCCTCCTGCTGCCACTGCACGATTTCTGTTCTCATCCTGAAGCAAAGTTCTTAACCTGAGGTAATATTTCTGGGTTAGTGGAGTCTGTAACCTGAAGCGTATGTAACCTGAGGTACCACTGTATAGCTTTAATAGTAGTAAGAAGTGGAACGTACATAACATGACTGCTGAATCTCTCCAAGAAAGCACCCGTAGTCAAGAAATGGAAGCCAACATCTCTCTGAGGAGAACCATTTTGCTCTGGAGATGGTGGTATCAACTGAGCTGCTATCGGCCTACCTGCCATGGCGAGTGACAAAAAGCCAGCACATTCCAGCTACGCCCTGGAAGGCTGAGGCCCCACCCTGTAAGGTCAATAACTTGTTCTTGCATTATAGCCATTTCCAAAAAGGTTGGGTCACCTAGATATTTCTTAGAGGCCTCTGAAGCCTGTTTCACCCCCCATTTAACTATAAGCATTCCGTTTTTTTTAAAAAAAGTGAGCATCAATACAAGCTGTTCATTGTATGAATCTTAACAACAAGAACTTGCTACCTGAGTTCCTTTCCTTTCCCCTCCTCATTCATTTCTCCTTTTGTGTCATGTCTTTATAGGTTGTTAAACCTGAGGGCTAGGACTGTGTTGTGCTCTATTGATCTGTAAGTCCCCCTGAGAGCTTTTTCTGGCTGAAGAGCAGGGTGTTAAATGCTTTGAATGAGCAAATAGATAGCAATACTAATGATTTGCGAGTGAGTAGCTTGATCTGAACAGGCTAGACAGCTTTGGTGCCCAGGAGACTGTGAGTAAAGGCAGTGGGATCAAAAAGGTTGAGTTACACATAACTGATTTGAACTCAGCTTGTGAAATCTTTAGCTTCAGATCTGAGGCAGGTCTCTAGTGGAACAAAAATGTTTTGAAATGTGGGACCTACAGGTTCAGCAAAGAATTATAGACACACATCTTCTTTGACTTCGGGATTATGTTTTTGGATGCTGCCTTAGGAGAGGTTGAGGTGCTTGAACTGGGATGAAGATGAGTTGTAGGATTCAATGTGGAGTTGCTTTATGTTGAGCCTTCCCCAATCTGAAGCCTGTTTTGGGCTTCAGCTCCCATCATCCTCAGGCAGCTCCATGGTCCCAAACATCTGGAGGGCACCAGGTTGGGGAAGGCTGGTAAAATATGTCTGCTCTAGCATATATCTCCCTAAGGAGATAATGGACTTTTAGGAGGAATTTAAAGACCTTCCTGTTTCCTCAAGGCATTTGATGGCTAGAAGATAGTATTCTTGGTAGCCCCATAATCACCAGCTGAGAGAATGTTTTTAGAATGTTTCTGTTTTTAGAATGCCTTTGACTATGTTTTTATTATAATTGGTGTGTTTGCCACACTGAGCTTTTTCAGGAGGAAGGGCAGGGCAAAACATTGAAATAAATAAGGAATATGGTTCCTTGACAAGGGCCTCTAGTGATACTAGGGTCTCCGCAGCAAGGGAAGCTTGCAGTGTTTGTGACTTTTTAGTTTAGAGAAAGGTTGGGCAAGAGGTGACACAATACATGTTTCCAAAATTATGCATGGCATAGAGAAAGTGGATAGAGAAAAGTCTTTTCCCCTCTCTCATAACACTAGAATTTGTGGACATCCAGCAAAGCAGAATGTCGGAGTTCAGGATTTACAGAGGATAGCCATGATGGCTCCACAGTTGGAGGCAGCAATGCTTCTGAATACCAGTTGCTAGAAACCACAGTGGCAGAGAGTCACTCTTGTACTCAGATCCTGCTTGTGGGCTTCCTATTGAGGCATCTATCCCATTGACTCATTGGCCTGATCCAGCAGGACTCTTCTTCATCAGGGCTGGTCCAGCCATTGGGCACCCACTTCATGTGGCAGATTTGGGATGGGTGGGAAATACCAGTGAGGGACTGGAGAGCAAAGCAGGGGAGGGGGGGAATTAAGAGCTTGCCCTTCATCCTTTTTGCCTTTAAGATGCTGCCCCATCAACAAGGCAGCTTGTTGTGCTACATGAAGTATGGTGTGTGCCTTTGTGGGCACCATCTTGTCTGCCTCAGGCAGCGACATTTCTTCATCTGGCCTTGCCAGTCATTAAAAGCAGGAGGACAGGACAATAAAAATGGAGGAAATGTACACAGGAAGTGTGGGGGATTCAGCAGTGGGGCTGATGGGTGCTGCGGGCCTGCAACACCTGGAGAGCACCAGAGAAGGCTGTTCTCTGTTTGCAGCAAGATTGGAACGTGTTGGTCCTGTGCCATGTTGCTAACAGTTCTCCTGTTGACACAGCCGTGACACAAATGAAGAAGCAGGTCAGGAACGCCTTCCAAGCTGGAGCAAACATACTTGATCAGCTCCAGCCAAAAGCAGAGGTCCTTTCTGTCTCCTCTCCAGGCTCACGCTACCTTCTTATGCAGCCAGGGTATAAAAGGGTTGGTGGCTTTATTCGTGAGTATTGAATATAGTAAGGGCTGCTGCCCCTGTTTGCATGGCTTTCCAAACCCATGACTTGCCTTGCCAAGCCCCAGCCCATCTCCTTACAGCTCACCCAAACCCCCATCCCATCACAGCTCCTATATCCCCTCACAGCTCCTCTGTGTCACACCACCCGAACTTCTGTTATGGTAAGAAATGCCACTGCTTTCTACAAGTGGTTCTGTCATGCCTTTCACAATCAGTTCTGGATGTCTGTGCCCATCAGGGAGAAAACACCTATCCCTGGTGCTCACGGCCACCTGACTGCCATGGAAGATGTGGATAAATTTTGGGTCGGTTTCAACACTGCATGTCTTCCTTCCTTGCTAAGTTTCCTTCCAGTTTACTGTGAGTCTTGGCAATCTTCAGATAAACTCCCTGATGAATCACTTTGGTACCAGCTGATAATGTGGTGCTTTGTTCTTTCATTCCCTTGGCGCCTCTTTTTCCAGAAAGGTAGATTGCGCTGGTCTCTTGCAGGATAAGCAAAACCAGAGGCCTTGGGGTCCTCTTAAAGTTTGCTGTAATAAATGTGATGGTCTTTAAAGGTGCCACAAGCTTCTTTGTTGTTTGTGTGCTGCTTGTATACTTGGCCCTGCATAACCCAGTTTATTGTGTAAAACCGAAGAAGTTGAGCAGATTTTTAACTAAAAAAAATCGTTTAAAAACAAAGCAGCTATTTTTTGCCCTCTCTCACACCTTTGTTAGAGGGATGTTTGCCAAGAGGCGAAATCTTAGACCATAATGGCTGCTTTCAGAGTGTATGGAGAGAAAACGGTTCCTGGTCACTCTGTCCTCTTTGCTTTGTCTTGGATCAAGATAGATTAGATTCCATCGCAGCATTCTTCCCAGCAAAGGGCGGGAATGGATTATATTTGGCTGCTAAGCTGAAAACGGAGCTGATAGACCCTGTCCATCACACCACGCACACCTCGCCTCTCCGGAGATGGCGCTGCTCTCTGCGGGGTTATCTGACCCAGCTGATAATTCGTGATTTGTACCTGCTTAAAAGTAAATTGAAGAATGTGGAAAGGTGGAGACGTGCTGGCTGGGAGTTGTATCCTAAAACATCTCTGCGGTTTCACAGGGTTGGGCGAAGGCTGGCATAGGATATGCAGTGCTCAAAGTGACGTGTGTTGGTAGGGGCGTACGTGAACAGTCGCAAGACGGTTTTTATCAGGGGCTCAGCCACGTGTGTTTCTGGAAGCTGTTGCATTTTGATAAGCTGGGTGGGAATGGACGGCTGAATTCTTGCAAGCTTCTTTTGATTTAATTAACTGGAGCATCTGTCCCTGGACAGTTTTCAGAAGGGTAGAGAGGTGGCTGTGTCAGTTTCTTGGACCCAGTGACAAATGCACAGAAGCTGAAGCTGCAATAAAATTTGCCTTTGAGATGTTCTTCCTAGTAGTTAAGTTTATGATCTTAACGTATGATGGGGAGAAAGTGGATGGAGGAAAGTTTCTGTCTCTCCCCAAAAAAACACTAGAACTTGCAGACATCCAGTGAAGTTGAATGTTGGAAGCTTCAAGACAGTCAGAAGAAACTACTACTTCATGGAGCACAGAGTTAGATTGTGGAACTCACTTGTACAGGAGGCAGTGATGGTCGACTACTTGGATGCCTTTTAAATGGGATCAGACAAATTTATGGAGGGGAATAAGGCTGTCAGTGACTGGGGAAACCCAGCCAGATGGGAAGGGCAGAAAACAACAACAACAACAACAACAACAACAACAACAACAACAACAACTCATGATGGGTCTGCTGGAAACCACAGGGAGAGAGAGGGCTTGTGTGGTCAGGTCTTGCTTGTGGGTTTCCTTTTGGTGTATGTGGTTGGCTATTGTGGGGTGCAGGGTATTGGACTAGATGGGCTATTGGCCTGATTCAGCAGGGCAAATTATTATGTTCTGATAAGATAGTAAAGAAAGATTCATGGCCCTTTTTTGCTCGCTCTCCCCCCCATAAATTATTATTGTATATAAATTATTTCCCTTTGCCTTGTACGTGTTCATTTTAAAAGGAATGTACAGAAAAGAACAAAGTCCATTTAGTTTCTAAAATAAAGCCAAGGATCTTACTATGTTTATGCAGAATTTTCAGCTGATCTGCTGAGGAACTTCTGCACATGTTCTAGGAGGGGAGAATAGGATTCTGGGGCAATTTGGGGGGGACCCATTTGGAGCCAAACTGGATGGGATAGGGCAGCTACGTGCTTGTATTTGTTCACCTACAGGAGGGTTGCGGAATTGTTAAGAATACATGCATAAAATGCTTATACTGGGGTAAATGTGCATAGAATGCATATATTACTGAAAATAACATTAAAAATGCATAATAGTAGGGGAAGTCACTTTGCAAAAACATGTATCTTATGGAAAACTGTATGTAAGCATATTTATATTAGGAGAAATCTGCTGACAAATTTTCATTAGGCTCTTTAATGTGAGAATTGAATTTAGGATTATCACTTTTCACTGCACAGTTTTCCCACCTTTAAATTGCATAAGGGCATTACAACGTAAAGGGCTGGACAGAGAGCCAAAATTGTGATTTTGTTAATGTCCACATTTGCTAAGAGGATGTTTGCGGGAACAAAAAAAAAAAAGTGTGTTGTAACTTTACACACAGGCAGCTCCTGCAGGAACGGAAATCAAGGTCATCTGCTGGCCTTGCTAAATAGCAAATGCTGCTGCTGTTATTATTAATGATAATATTTATTCAAAAGCCTGAGCTCAGTAGCGCTAAGAGGATGAGATTTGGGAGGCAGGCATGCCCATTTACTGGCAACAAGATGTTCCTTTGCCAGCTGTTCTTAGTTTGGTTTGGACTTCGACACGAGCTTAGTTCAAATGTAACACCCAACCGTGGTTTCAGGCCTGGTGCCAGTGGTTGACCAGGTCAGGCACTGACTAAGGAACCCTGGAGCTTGGAAGGGGGACATCAGAGTGCCAGTATGGTGCAGGGGTTAGAATGTTGGGACTATGGCCTGGGAGACCAAGGTTCGAATCCACACAGCCCTGAAACTCACTGGGTGACCTTGGGCCAGTTACTGCCTCTCAGCCTTACTCAGCTCACAGTGTTCTTGTATGGTTAAAATGGGGCGAGGGAGAACTATGTACCTGACTTTGAGCACCTTGGAGGAAAGGCAGTATACAGTGGTACCTCGGGTTAAGTACTTAATTCGTTCCGGAGGTCCGTTCTTAACCTGAAACTGTTCTTAACATGAAGCACCACTTTAGCTAATGAGGCCTCCTGCTGCTGCCGTGCCACCGGAGCATGATTTCTGTTCTCATCCTGAAGCAAAGTTCTTAACCCGAGGTACTATTTCTGGGTTAGCGGAGTCTGTAACCTGAAGCGTATGTAACCTGAAGCGTATGTAACCCAAGGTACCACTGTATAAATGTAATCAAGTAAAAAAGAAAAAGAAACCTCACTGGCCCAACCCATCACCATTCACTGACTGCCCGCCCACTAGGCCCCTGGATGCTTTTCAGCAGCACGTGATGGAGCTGCTTTTGAAAGTGACCCAAGCGCAGGTCTCATCTGCCTGCTATTTTAAATTACCAAGAACGTAATGGCCCACCTCATAGATCTACGAAACCTATTGTTCTCTAGATCTGTAGGCCAGGGCATCGATACCTCATAACAACAGCCTGCTAGATCAGACCAGTGGCCCATATAGTCTAGCAACCTGTTCTCTCCACTCCTGCAGTTTCCGGCAACTGGAAATTGAGACGCATTTCTGTCTCCGAACGTGGAGGCAGAGCATAGCCATCATGGTCAGGAGCCATTGGTAGCTTTCCCTTCAGCGAATTTGTCCAATCCTTTTTTAAAGCCATCTAAGCGGGTGGCGCTGTGGGTTAAACCACAGAGCCTAGGACTTGCTGATCAGAAGGTCGGCGGTTCGAATCCCTGCGATGGGGTGAGCTCCCGTTGCTCAGTCCCTGCTCCTGCCAACCTAGCAGTTCGAAAGCACGTCAAAGTGCAAGTAGATAAATAGGTACCGCTCCGGCGGGAAGGTAAACGGCGTTTCCTTGTCCCCCGAAATGAGAGCTGAGTGATGACACACAGGCGATAATTCCATTTGCAAGATAGCAAGAGAGGGCCAGCACCCACCCCCAATCTGCACCAGGTGGCCTGCAGAGAACAGCAGTGCAGACACAGCAAGAGAGGCTGTGTGGAGCAATGGGAAGAGTCTCTTGATTCTGGCCAGGATTCAGATCTTCTGCTTAGCTGCTAATGACAATGGCTCACTGGTAGAGCATTTGCTTTGCATACAGAAGGTCCCAGGTTCAATCCCCGACACTTTCAGGTAACCCTGGGAGAGATCCCCTGTGCCAGACCCTGCAGAGCTACTGCCAGTCAGTGCAGTCACTACTGAGCTAGAAGGGCCAACAGTTTGACTTGATAAAAGGTAGCTTCCTGTTATTTTAGGGGGGAAACCATAGCTCAGCAATATACCACTGCAGCTGCCATTATTATTATTATTATTATTATTATTATTACTACTACTACTACTCACCCCATCATCAGCAGATACCAGGGCAGATTACAATTAAAAGTCAGGATTAAAAATAGTTATATTGCATTTTAAGGAAGAGGATGGGACCTAAAAACGCACATCTCAGGTGTCAAAGGCCAGGGTAAAGAGCCATGTCTTCAACATTTGTCAGAATCCATATAGTGAAGAAGCTGGGTATGCGTCTGTGAGGAGAGAATTCCAAAATTCAAGGACTGCTACAAAAAAGGCCCTCTCCTGGGCTGCCACCATGCATTTCGGCACCTTTCCGTGCTCTGCTCTGGTTCGCCAGAAGCGGCTTAGTCATGCTGGCCACATGATCCGGAAGCTGTACGCCGGCTCCCTCGGCCAATAAAGCGAGATGAGCGCTGCAACCCCAGAGTCGGTCATGACTGGACCTAATGGTCAGGGGTCCCTTTACCTTTACCTTTTTAAGTCTATGGCCATCACAATCTCCTGTGGGAGAGAGTTCCAGAGTTTAACTCTGTGCTGCATAGAGATTGACTTTTTTTAATCTGTCCCGAGTCTTCCAACATTCACCTTCATTGGATGACCACGAATTCTTGTAGTTGGAAAAACCTTTCTTAGTCTGCTTTCTCCATGCCATGCATAATTTCATAAACTTGTCATGTCGCCTCTCACTCGCTTTTTCTCTGAACTGAAAAGCCCCAAATGCTGCAACCGTTCCTCACACCATTCCCTTCGCTCCATGCCCTTGATCTTGCGTTGGGGCCTTGCTTGTGGGTGAGGTTGGTGATCACATCACCACAGCCCTCCTCCTCCTCCCCTCCTACTTGCCCACTGGCTGCTCCAAAATACTTTGTACCCTCTTTGTCAGGCTGTTCTTGCTCCAGGAGATAAGGGGGGAACGGAGCAATGCAGGGAATGTTGGCGCGTTCCCGGGGCAGCTGCTTCAGAACTTGCTGTACAGTTTGGGCTCCGAGATAAACCGTGAAGAGGAACTGTGTTCCTTGCTGATAAGGTTTTTCGGACACTGGCTCCTTTCCCACCCTGTTCTGCTTGGGGAAAGCCTGCAAGAATCCTGGTCACATCCTTCCACTTAATTAAAGGGGAATAACTGTACTGAGGGATGGGTGCACCTGACTAGCCCACAGTGGGCCAGGAATAGTCAACTTTCTCTCCTGATCTTGGGACCAGACCAGACTTCCCAAACCCGATGGCCTCCAGATATTTTGGACTACAACTCCCCATCAAACCCAGCCAGTCAATGGGAGCTCTAGTCTTAAACGTCTGGAGGACACCAGGCTATGGAAAGCTGTTTCAGATTGTTGTCAGCGGCTGGTGGTGTTTTTTTCTGCCTCAGGCAACCTTTGCCAACCTTATGCCTGCCAGGTGTTTTGGACTACAACTCCCATCAGCCCCAACATTATACTGTACTGGTTAGGACTGATGGGAGTTCAAGGCACCAGTAGGCTGGGAAAGGCTGACCTACTGGGTGGCATTTCTGTGTGGTCATGAGAACATAAGATCACCAAATCTTGCCAGATCATGGATATCAAAGCTGAAATCCTTCCTGCTTACTTTACAATTGAGTTTTTTACCAGGAGTATGGTGTGATGGGAGGATAAATTTATCGTCACAGCCAAAGCAGCAGAGTGGCTGGAACCGTGGTTTTCTCTCTCTCCAGATGGTACTGCTTTGTCCTTCAGTGAAACAGCAGCCTGTCTTTGCCCTGGCATTCTTGTCAGCCGAAAGGGTGACGTTTTCTGCAAGGATGTTGCGTTTGCTCTTTATGGGCCTGATTAGCTGCAGTTTGGCTAACCTGCTTCGGTCACCTTGAGTATTGACCTCTCTGTGCATAGGTGCCCTGCAGTATACCTGTTCTTGACCTGCAGTGGTTAATCTGGTGGAGGCAGTTTGGGTGGTCTTTCAGTGCCAGGATTTCTGCCAACAGGTAGTCCTCATCCCAAGGGCTGAGGAAGGTGGGGCACAGGTTCACCTTTTGCACCTGCACTGATATTTGACCATGGGTGCTAACTACAGGAACATTATCTATAGATCAGCTAAGAAGCCTCTACATGCAGGGTGGAGTCAGATGCATGTTTAGAAGGCATGGGATGTTGTGAAAGAATAAGGCTGTTGTATTCTGGTCTGATGCCAGAACCTACAAGGAAAGCAGCAAGGCTGAAGGCTCCAAGAAAGCTCCAAGTGAGCAACTTGCTCTGTCAAAGGTTGGGATCAGACTAAGGCTTTTATACCTGCACAGGAGAGGAAGGTCAGAAGTGCACAGCAAAAAGTTCTGCACAGGAAGGTCAAAAGTACACAGGAAGGTCCAACGTTTAGCCTGAGAAATAGAAATTTAACCAGGTGTCTTCTCCCCCTCTGATTGGCTGAGAGGTTGGGATGAGGTGAAAATAACGTGTATAAATCAAGGTGGAAAATAAAGTAATTGAAGAATTAACAGTTGAAGAGTTCAAGAGCTTAAATGGGCTGAAATACTTTGAGCTGGAACATTGGAAATAGTATAGTTGAGTACTGCAGCAGAAAAAAGCCCAAGGAAGACCTAAAAGGGACCTAAAAACTGGATTGAGGGTTGCAGATCAATAATAGGTTTAGCTGAATGTGTTTATTTTTTCCTGTGTTTCTTTTATGTACTCTTACAGCTAACGCCTCAAACTATAAAGCTTGTTTTCTTTTGGGGAAAAATACTGCTATCTAACTTGCTGCCTTACTAAAACTTTAAGTAAAGCATAGTTTTGGATAATTGGGTTGATGCCTCCCTTTTCACCCCATGCCTAAGTGTCATGCCATTCTACCCAGTATAGGGAGTTGGGCCAGTTAAAGTCCAAAAGTGGGAAAAACTAGTAGTGGTGGTGATAGGGAGACGATACCCATGGGCGGAAGTGGTGATGTTAACAAGACGTGGGGGACTGGTTTGCTTCCCTCTCATGGTGCAGACCACAGCCTGTGCTGTCACAAATGCACATTTATCCTCCTTGAAAAATACCACAAAGAAATCCTCCAAATCAAGGGCAGATGTGCAGAAAATAAGACCCAAAAGGCGCTTGGTTATTTTCCTCTTCCAAATTTTCCTCTCCAAGCTGCTTTTCTCCTTGAGGGGAAAATAGGGAGTCCAGGAGTGGGAAGGGACTGCTGTCTTCTTCTGGCAGAGAGAAGAGCAATTTGGGGAGGGCAATTCTGAGGGGAAAAGTGAGCCGAAGGGGACAGGGTTAAGGCGCCTTTCTCCTCACCCTCTTCTCATTTCATTCCCCCTTGTGCCCATCCAAAAATGGGTCAGAGCATAATTACACATATTTCACCACATGTAGTTTGGGTGAAGGGCCTTGGCTCGGTGGTTAGAGCACCTGCTTTGGATGTAGAAGGTCCCAGGTTCAATCCCTGATGCATCCAGGTAGGGCTGGGAAAAGACTCTTGTCTGAAACCCTGGAGAGCTGCTGCCAGTCAGTGTAGACAGTACTGAGCTAGATGGACCAAAGGTCTGACTGTATAAAGCAGCATCTTACATTCCCAGTTTTGCCCTTAATGATGGGTTTTAATTTTATTTTAAGGTACCTCATATACAAATGTGCATACAAATAAAGCTATCGTGTAGCTTATCCTTTGCATGTAGCTAATTACACAAACCATTGCAACGAGCACAAATATATATACTTTGCACGCAGATGGTGTAGCAAAGATGACTGAAAACATGAGCTGTGAGGCAGGAAATCTCCAATTCAGATTTTAACTCTGAGCTGTTACCTCCTGGCAAGCTGCTCTTCTCTCAAGCTTGAGCCTTGTTTGCAATTCGGGGGATGATAAATACTGGTCTAATTTAGAAGATGATATATCTGAAGCCCTTGAAACGGACTGGATAAATGCTCAGAACTGCTTTTACGACCTCAGTTTGCACACATTATTCTGAGCTCACAGCTGGAGTTGGAGTCCTACCAGGCTGCATACCTTCAAAATGGGTTTAAGAAATCTGGATGATTTTGGAGTGCTGATAGCATTCCAAAAATTTCAGGGCAATGACCTTCTCTCAAGCCGCCCTTCTGCCTGGGGAATCTCAAGATTCCCCTGTCGGATAGAGGGGTGTATGTTGGGAATTGCAGAGATCATGTCCAGGCTAGGGGGTTCTGTTTAGTGTCGGTTTACAGGCAATTAGTAACACTTTAAAACCGGAGTAGAGGAAAGGGCTTCATCACCTCCCATGGATTTGCCAAGATACTCATCTGTCTTTGGCTGGCCTGTGAGGAGGAAGAAGGTTGCCTCATGATTCCAGGTGGGTTTTTACAGTGTTTGCAGATGATTTCCCTTTAAATTTAAGTTTGAATTTAAATTAAAATAAAACCAGCATCCAGCTGGTGTATTTTAATACAGATTTACTTCTTTTTTTAAAAAAGAAAAGACACACATAATGGAACAGCTGTGCAATTCCTCCTGTCGTAGGTGACCCATCGCACAGCTGTTGGGGTAGGTTATTTGGCTGGCTATGGTCAGTACAGATTGGTCTAGCTATTTTCTTCTCTGTGATTCTGCCTCTCTCCAGAAATGATTTCGACCCCTTCCATTTAACATTTCCCTTTTCAAATAGCATGGCCTTTATATCTGTTTCTTTTCTCCACCCCACCCAACTGCAGGATGGGATCATGATTGCAGTGAGGGGAGAGGGACATTTAAACCTTTCAATGCATACAATGGCCCATTGACAAAAACACACACACACACCCGCTCAAAAAAAGAAAAAGAAAATTAGGCTGGGGAAAGAGGAACTGCCACTTGGTTGAAGAGTATTACTTGGATTCTTGAAATCCGGAAGTAGAGTTGGTATTCCAATTCCAGCTTAAAACAGAACAGCATGGATTGCAGGCTGCTTTAGCCAACCTGGTGCCTTCCAGTAATATGGATGCGCTGGCTGGGGTCGACGGGAATTAACAGAATCACAGAATCGTAGAGTTGGAAGGGACCCCCAGGGTTATCTAGTCCAACCCCCTGCAATGCAGTAATCGTAGCAATAATAATAATAATAATAATAATAATAATAATAATAATAGCATTCCTGACCAAACAACCATTCATCTTCTGTTGAGAAACCCCTGATGAAGGATAGTCCACCATCTTTCCAGGTATTCCAATCTATTTGGAGGGCACCAGGTTGGCAAAGGCTTCCCTAGGGAGCTTTGTGGCGTCATTCTTGGGTCTTGCACATGTGCCCAAGGACAAACCCTGAACCATTGTGTGGGGCCGCCTTTTAAGTTGGGGAATCTCTGGGGCGGGAAGCCTTTGCAGGCTCCTTCCACTCAGGCCCGCCTCGTTGCGAAACCTTTCCCCTCGGATCCCCCCGATGACTCACTCTGGCACCGAGAGGGGAAGCTGGCTCCACTCTTAACAAACATCAGATCGCTGGCGTGCTGTATGAATGGAGACAATTATGCCCGCTCTGCTCGGTGGCAGGGACCCAACTTTGGCTTAGTGAGAGGAGCAGGGGCCGCAACAACATTTTTTGTGACAAGCTGTTTGTGGGGGAGAGGAAAGGCTTGGCTCCCTTTGCCGCTGTTTTAAAGCCTCTAAAAATAAGTGTTCTTAATGTTAAAGTTCACAAGAGGGAGGTGCTTCTGGCAGGCACTTGAACCGTCTTTCAGCCCTACCCCAGCAGGATTTTTAAAAATTATATATTAAAATATTTACTATACTAGAAATATTAAAGGTAAAGGGACCCCTGACCGTTAGGTCCAGTTGCGGACGACTCTGGGGTTGCGGTGCTCATCTCGCTTTATTGGCCTAGGGAGCCGGTGTACAGCTTCTGGGTCATGTGGCCAGCATGACTAAGCCGCTTCTGGCGAACCAGAGCAGCGCACGGAAATGCCGTTTACCTTCCTGCCGGAGTGGTACCTATTTATCTACTTGCACTTTGACACGCTTTCGAACTGCTAGGTGGGCAGGAGCAGGGACCGAGCAATGGGAGCTCACCCTGTCGCGGGGATTCAAACCGCTGACCTTCTGATTGACAAGCCCTAGCCTCTGTGGTTTAACCCACAGCGCCACCCGCGTCCCGTACTATAAATATTACTATATTACTAAATATGCTATGATATTCTGCTTTTTATACATAAAACAAATAGCTGTACAAAAAGCAAATGTGGGAATGAAGTGGTGTGGCATAGTGTGTCAGAGTAGGAATCTGGAGGCCAGGTTCTAGGACCATTATGAAGCTCTCTGGGTGACCTTAGACCAGTCGCTGCCTCTCAGCCTAACCTACCTCACAGGGTTGTTGTGAGGATTAAATGGAGGGGGGAAAGTGGGATATAGATGTGATAAATAAATGAAATAAATTCAGAATAAAGCAGCCGGTGCCAGGTCAGTGGCAGGGAGTCTAGAGGCTCCCACTGGTGTTTGCAGCCTTTGGGAATGATGGAGCTTGTAGCCAGTTTCTCACAGCTTAGGATCCTTCTTCTTGCTTCGTTTGGAGGTGTCCATTCTGTGTGAGCGTTTAAAATATTACTTTGCTGCCGCTCCTCCCGTTACACTGAGGTCTTGGGTTACACGTAATGTGAACCGCTTCCTCGTACAAAAAGTTATTGTTCGTATCTAATTTCCACACACCGAAAGGCTCTGTATATTAAAATGTCCAACTTAGATGTCAGTTAGGAGCGGCCTTTTCTGCTCTTCATAATGTCAATTGCTGTGTGGTGTGTCATTGTCATAAGGGACGTGGATGGCAAGCCCTCCATACCATTGCCTCAAACTGTCTCCAGATACCTTGATACTGAAGCATTGCAAGAAGTTCCCTGGACATGGCCCCAGTCAGTAACCTGGATGGCGGACCTCTGGAGGTCCCATGCAAACTGCTCCAAGGCCACATTCGCACCATACATTTAATATACTGTGATGCTTCTTTGAACTGTCATGGCTTCCACCCAAAGATTCCTGAGAGCTGTACTCTGTGAAGGGTGCTGAACAGTATTAGGAAGCCGCTATTCCTCTCCCAGAGCTGCAGTTCCCAGAGTTCCTTATGAAGAGATACTGACTGCTGAACCACTCTGGGAATTGTAGCTCCGCAACGGGAATGCAGGACTCCTAAAAACCTTTAGCATCCTTAACAAACTACAGTTCCCAGAATTCACTGAGTGAAGAAGCTATGGCAGTTTGAAGTGGTACCATAGTGCTTTTAATGTACATTGTGAAGGTGGCCTCGCCAACTGGGCTGACTAGCAAGGGAGCTGAAGATATTTCAGAAGAGATGGCAGGAAGGGAACATGAGACAAGTCCTTGGCTGGATCTGTGTGTATGTGTGTGTTTTTTAGGGCTTCGCTGGAGCATTTTAAAACAGTCTGCTCTGAAATGCCAGCGTTCAGCAAAAGCTTTTTAGGACAGCCTCTCCCAGTCTGGTGCCTTGAAGATGTTTTGGACTATTATTTCTTACAACATTCCCATCAGCCCCATCCGTTTTATCCACACAGCAACCCTGTGAGGTAGGTTAGGCTGAGAAGCTACCTCTTTGCAAGGAATAAAAACACACGCTTGGTTCTCCTGAGACTATCCTTAACTCATCTCAGGATATCATTAGGCACTTGTTGTTGACATGCCTGTGCCAGGGTCCTTCCAGCTCTTATTAAATTATTTACTCATTTTCTCTTGCTGGGAAATTTAATTACCCCCCAAGCTTCTTCAAAGCAAGCAAGTCAACATTACATTTTATTGATGTGCCGGATGCTTTTGTACTTGCAGACTTTGGAGTTTCTGAGGTAAAGTGTTTGGATATCTTTTTTTTTCTCCCTAAAGCACAGTGTTTCCTGTGCTCTTATAAATTGCAGACACCCCTTTGCTGCTTTGTAATGCTCATTCCCACCCCTGAGAGCTAGAAAACAATAATAAATTGTAGGACTTTCCCCATCTCCCCTTTAAAATCTCTGTGGATCTGTATCTGGCGCTCCCGAGAATGGATTTTCCTTGCTCTAAAGGGCTGACACCTGACTAATTAATTGTCCAGACGTCGCCTCGTTAATCAAGGCCAGTGCCAATGTTTATGGTGCTGAGTCTAGAGCAAAATATGCTGAGGATGTTTTTCTTTTCCATAATGAGAAATGAAAAGCATTCTGCCACAAGAGTCCAAATAACCACGATGAACCTGTCGACAAGGCTAGAAATTCAGGCACCATTGCCACTACTCAGACGTAATTTACACATGAGCTTGGGTGGTAGCCCCGGAAACTGTTAATTGAGGGCTTGTAGCCAACTATGTTCTATTCAAAGTTAGACCTATTGAAATTAATGAAACGATGAGTTTCAGTTTCAGTGGGTCTGCTCTGAGTAGGATTAACCACTGGGCACAAACTGAGATTTATCTGCTGTGCCGTTGGAGGAGCATGCCCTTACTTATTGCATTTCAGGGTCAGGTAACCTGCTTTAGCCAGAGGGCCACATTCCCTTTTTGGGAATTGTATGGGGCCACATGTGGGCGGTGGGCGGAGCCAGAGGCCAAAGTGGGTGGGGCAAAAAAATTACCTGGTTACACTAGCCTAGTTTCTATGCATACTCTTAACATCCCTCTCCATCTGGAAAATAATAATAATAATGATAATAATAATAATAATAATAGTAATAATATATTATTTATACCCCGCCACTCTGGGCAGCTTCCACCAAAATATTAAAATACAATAGTCTGTCAAACATTAAAAGCTTCAAATATTAAAAGCAAGAGGCATTTCCCCCCCGAAAAAAGTATATGAAAATGCATATCTTAAGGGAAGTGTGCATAAATTACATATATTAGTGAAAACAACATTTTAAAAAATGCATTGAGAAATTACACTGCGCATGATTGGCATGTTAAGGAGAATGCACACTGAAATTCTGCTGAATTTCCATTAGAACTTTTTTTCTGATGTGGAAGTGTAGTGAGCCGAACTTAAGATTTGTCCAACCCTACCCATCTCTCTGGATTTCTGAGGGGGCCTGGTTGTGTGTGCACTAACAAGATGTTTTTTCAAAGTGTCTCCAAAATCTGCAAAGGCTAACTATGAACCGTGCGTTCCCAGGAACAGATATGAGAAAATCCTTATTTTCCCTGGAAGGTAAGGGGCCAAGGGAATGTAGCCAAGATTTGCTTTTGTTTTTTAAACGTCAGAATACAGTTTGTATTTTGATAAACACAGAGATGATTGGGGGTGGTTGCCAAGGCCGGTAATTCAAAGCTAACAAAATTTCATATCAGCTCCAGTTAAAACTCTAATAAAATCCCAACAAGGCCCTTTCAGTAATGGATCTTTGAACCGTGTCATTTCAGTTTTTCTAAAATAATAATAATAATTCAAATAGGATTATTCTCTCTCCCCTCCAGCCCAGGTTCAAAGCCCCCCCCCCCCCGTTCTTGTTAAAATGTGTCCTTTGGGGTCGAGAAAGCTCAGAGTTCCAATATTATTCAACCAGTTAAATCATTTCCTGTTTTCTGCAGTTTTTGAAGAATTCTCTAAGGCAGGCTGGAAATATTTGCAGATACTCACGAACTCGCTGGCTTGCAGGCCCTGGGAAATATCCTGAGTTTGTTACATTGGTCAGGAAAGATGAGACAGCTGTGTGTGTGTTGCACAGGATGATATGAACCGTTAAAGACAAACTCAATCGGACCAGATAATATCCGCTGACCTAGTAATGTGGTTGCTATGGAGGGACAGAGAATTGTACATGTTACATTGGCCTGACTTTGTGCTACAATCCTGTGCTCCTTTATCCAAAACATTGTGTTTCCTAGAGAGAGAAAGAGATTGATGGTGGTAGTGGTAATTGACAGTTTGTGGTTTGATTGATTGATTGATTGATTGATTGTATTTATCCAAGGAGTTCAAGGTGGTACAGTCGTACCTTGGATCCTGAACGCCCTGGAAGTTGGACATTTCGGCTCCCGAACACCGCAAACTCGGAAGTGATTGTTCCGGTTTGCGAATGTTCTTTTGGAACGTTTGGGGTTTCTGGGGCTTCTGATTGGCTGAAGGAGCTTCCTGCAGCCAATCAGAAGCCACAATTTGGTTTTTGAACGTTTTGGAAGTCGAATGGACTTCCAGAATGGAGTCCATTTGACTTCCAAGGTACGACTGTATACATAGTTTTCCTCCTTCCCATGTTAGCCTTGTAACAACCGTATGAAGTAGGTTTTGCTGAGAAGCAGTGACAGGCTCAAGGTTGCTCAGTGAGCTTCATGGCTGAGGGGGGAATTTGAACCCTGGTCTTCCATGTCCAATCTTAACACCACAAGTTCTGCTAACTGGGCTTGCCACCATTTTGACTAGTGACCTGGGTCTTAAACATGTTTCCATAACAGTAAGTTGATGGCCTTTGATTTTAATTTTTTTACATGTTTTTTAATTGCATATGGATAGTGTTGTAAACCTTTTTTTTTTGTTCTTTTTAAATTATAAGGCAGTATATAAATATATTTTATAAATAAATAAATGAAATGATCACCATTGGATCACCTAGTTCAGTATTGTCTAAACTGACTGGCAGCAATGGTTCTCCAGGGTTCCAGGAAGGGATCTTTTCTAGCCCTACCTGGAAATGGCATCGAGGATTCAACCTGGGACCTTCTGCATGCAATGGCATATATATATATTCCTTCTGTAATCTGAAGTTTCCATATTCAGTGTCTGGAATCTCCAGCTAAAAGGAGCAGGGTGCCAGTTCTTTGCCTGAGAGCCACTGCCAATCAGAGTAGGGCTTTGCAGGCTAGATGGACCAGTGATTTGATAAGGCAACTATTGTAGGAAAGACCGTGCAAGAACTTTGTGTGTGAAAGGTCTTTGATTTGATCACTGGCACTTCCAGGGAGGGCTGAGAGAAGGCTCCATATTTGTAATTCTGGGGAGCAGCTGCCGGTCAGTGCAGGCGACCCTGAACAAGATGGGCTAATGGTCTGACTCAGTATGAGGCAGCTCCTTATGTTCATGCTGTGTACATTTTCCAAATGTTTCAGCTATCCCTGCATTTGTTCTGCCTCTTGGGAAAAAATAAGAATAAGTTATTTTAAAAAGGCCCTTCACTTGGGCTCATCTGACTTCATACCTAGCATATTTCTCACTAATGGTGAGTATTTACGTGAGAAATCACATGATGGAGCGCAGAGCAAATAAAGGGGGAGGGGGAGGAGGAATTGAACGCAATCCAGCATTAATCTGTCTTGCTAGAAATAAATAACATGACATCCTGCTTTACTGTGGAAGACAAACAGCCAAACTGTGGAATACAATGCTGGAATCTGCTTTAGATTAGATTACATTGGGTTTATTTATTGTTACCCTGCCACCCCAGCAAAATAACGTTCAAGGCAATTTAACTGTTGATTAAGAGGATACACAAACATTTACCCGGAATATCTGTGTGGTAAACCCTGATTTGCCTCTCCCCTGATAAGAGGCTATCTGTTGTTGATTTCCAAAGAAAAGACAAGTATCCATGGTCCCAGATTCCCAGCCACCTCTGCCCACAAATTTTTGCTTTCTCTCTAACATGGATATGGGGAGGCTGTGGCCCTCCAGAGGTTGTTGGACTGCAGCCCCCTGCAATGCAAGAATCACAACTAAAGAATCCCCAACAGATGGTCATCCAATGTTATGGGATGGCACCTGAAACTAGACAAAGAAGGTTCCAGGCAAGCCTTCCTGGGGAGAGTATTCCATGAACAGGGAGCCACCACTGAAAAGGACTTATTCCAGGCTTCCTCAACCTCAGCCCTCCAGATGTTTTTGGCCTACAACTCCCATGATCCCTAGCTAGCAGGACCAGTGGTCAGGGATGATGGGAATTGTAGTCTCAAAACATCTGGAGGGCCAAGGTTGAGGAAGCCCGACTTATTCTGTTGCTACCCTCTGGGCCTCTTGTGGAGGGAGCATAGGAGGAAGGGCCTCAGATGATGATCACAGGGTGTGGGTCGGTTCATAATGGGAGAAGTGTTCCTGGAAATATCAGCAAGGAGAGGGGTGATGAAGAAATTGGAGAGGAAGGCAAGAATGTGGAGACTTTCCTCCAAGGGATAGAAACAATAAAGTCTTACTTTAATGATCAGATTCAGATACATTTAAAAACAAATCAAAATAATAATAGGGCTTTTTTTTCAGCCGGAACTCAGTTCCGGCACCTCTCATGTGGGCGTCATTGCTTTTATAAGAGAATAAGGGAAGTATAATAATAATAATAATAATAATAATAATAATAATAATAATAATTTATTATTTGTACCCAGCCCATCTGGCTGGGTTTCCCCAGCCACTCTGGGCGGCTTCCAACAAAGATGAAAAATACACTAAAATGTCACATATTAAAAACTTCCCTGAACAGGGCTGCCTTCAGATGTCTTCTGAATGTCAGGTAGTTGTTTATCGCGGGCGCCACTACCGAGAAGGCCCTTTGCCTGGTTCCCTGTAACTCGGCCTCTCGCAGTGAGGGAACCGCCAGAAGGCCCTCGGAGCTGGACCTCAGTGTCCGGGCAGAACGATGGGGGTGGAGACGCTCCTTCAGATATACTGGACCGAGGCCGTTTAGGGCTTTAAAGGTCAGCACCAACATTTTGAATTGTGCTCGGAAACGTACTGGGAGCCAATGTAGGTCTTTCAAGACCGGTGTTATATGGTCTCGGCGGCCGCTCCCAGTCACCAGTCTAGCTGCCACATTCTGGATTAGTTGTAGTTTCCGGGTCACCTTCAAAGGTAGCCCCACGTAGAGCGCATTGCAGTAGTCCAAGCGGGAGATAACCAGAGCATGCACCACTCTGGTGAGACAGTCTGCAGGCAGATAGGGTCTCAGCCTACGTACCAGATGGAGCTGGTAAACAGCTGCCCTGGATACAGATTTGACCTGTGCCTCCATGGACAGCTGTGAGTCCAAAATGACTCCCAGGCTGCGCACCTGGTCCTTCAGGGGCACAGTTACCCCATTCAGGACCAGGGAATCCTCCACACCTGCCCGCCTCCTGTCCCCCAAAAACAGTACTTCTGTCTTGTCAGGATTCAACCTCGATCTGTTAGCCGCCATCCATCCTCCAACCGCCTCCAGACACTCACACAGGACCTTCACCGCCTTCACTGGTTCTGATTTAAAATAGAGGTAGAGCTGGGTATCATCCGCATACTGATGAACACCCAGCCCAAACCTCCTGATGATCTCTCCCAGTGGCTGCATGTAAATGTTGAAAAGCATGGGGGAGAGGACAGAACCCTGAGGCACCCCACAAGTGAGAGCCCAGGGGTCTGAACACTCATCCCCCACCACTTTCTGAACACGGCCCAGGAGGAAGGAGCGGAACCACTGTATGACAGTGCCCCCAGCTCCCAGCCCCTCAAGACGGTCCAGGATGTTATGGTCGATGGTATCAAACGCCGCTGAGAGATCCAGCAGAACTAGGAAACTCTATTTTTCTATTTTTCTTGAAAAATAGCACTGATAAATAATAACAATAAATAATACAGACTGCTTTTGTAACTTATAGTAAAAGCTTCCTTGTGGGCTTCCACTTAGTAGGGGAAAAAACATTAAATTGCCTCTTGAATTCCTGCAGGTTAGTTCCAAGGCAAAACCCAATGCCCTTTTGAATTGAAACCACCTATTTCTTTGTTGAGCTGGTTGGATGTTTGGTATCTTTATTGTAGTTTTTACACATCTGACACCATTTTCAGGGCTCATTTCTCTCTCTCCTTTTGCTAGCTGGGTCCAAGGCAGGGAGCCCCATAGAAGGAAGTTCCCATAACTGAACAACTCTCACTTCTAGCTTGTGGCAGGAAAGAATTCTGAGCAGGGCCTCTCCTGCTGCTCTTAATAGCTGGACAGCTTTTCTCCTCATTGTAGCACCATAGAGGGAGAAGCTTCATGGGCAAAAATTCACCCTTCTACTCATCTGTCTTAATAAAGGATGGGAGCCATTTAAGGAACCTGGGAGCCCTAAATCGGTTGGGGGCGCTAACCCCTGGACCCTCTGATGTTGCTGATGTACAGTTCCCATCATCCTTGACCACTGGCCATGCTGGCTGATGGGGGCTGTAGCCCATTAGTAACCTCAAGTTACCACCCCATCTCTACAACATCCAAGCCTCCGAGGAGTATTTTGAAAAATGTTATTTGCATTAGCATCTATCGAGGGACCCTTCTTTGTAAAGAAAAAGGCAGGTAAATAGAAAATCTGCTCCTTTCTCCTCCTGTACAGACAGTCATTTGGAAACTATTCTTTGTAATTGGATTGTTTACACACCATTTTTTTCTTCAGAGATAATTTGCAGCCAAACCTTGGGGAGTTGTCATCAGGTGGTAACTCTTTTCTCTGGCAAATGTGCTGGAGAGGAGGAGGGAAAAGAGAGAACACTTTATTTATCGCTAGCAGCCTCGTACCTGGTGTTGCTCAGGAATTCTAAGAAACAAAATCAGTTTTGAAAAGTACAGTCCGCAATCTTACTTCGAATGGCATCTAGTTGTATGCAAAGATAGACAGGAAACATTCATCTCAGGAACCATCATGCAAAATTTGGTTATGGTATCTTAAAGCTAAAGTTACCCCTGACCGTTAGTTCCAGTCATGGATGATTTTGGGGTTGCGGCGCTCATCTCGCTCTATATAGGCTGAGGGAGCCCGGCGTTTGTCCGCAGACAGCTTCTGGGTCATGTGGCCAGCATGACTAAGCCGCTTCTGGCAAACCAGAGCAGTTCATGGAAAGGTGCCCAAGTGCATGGTGGCAGCCCAGGAGGCGGCCTTTTTTATAGCACTCCCTGAATTTTGGAATTGTCTCCCCACAGACGCATACCCAGCTTCTTCACTATATGGATTTTGACAAATGTTGAAGACATGCCTCTTTACCCTGGCCTTTGACACCTGAGATGTGCGTTTTTAGGTCCCATCCTATTCCTCAAAATGCAATATAACTATTTTTAATCCTGAATTTTAATTGTTGTAATCTGCCCTGGTATCTACTGGTGATGGGTGAGTAATAATAATAATATCAGTTGCAGTGGTATATTGCTGAGCTACAGTTTCCCCCCTAAAATAACAGGAAGCTGTCTTTTATCAAGTCAAACTGCTGGCCATTCTAGCTCAGTAGTGACTGCACTGACTGGCAGCAGCTCTGCAGGGTCTGGCACAGGGGATCTCTCCCAGGGTCACCTGAAAGTGTCAGGGACTGAACCTGGGACCTTCTGTGTGCAAAGCAAATGCTCTACCAGTGAGCCATTGTCATTAGCAGCTAAGCAGAAGATCTGAATCCTGGCCAGAATCAAGAGACTCTTCCCATTGCTCCACACAGCCTCTCTTGCTGTGTATGCGCTGCTGTTCTCTGCAGGCCACCTGGTGCAGATTGGGGGCGGGTGCAGGCCCTCTCTTGCTATCTCACAAATGGAATTATCGCCTGTGTGTCATCACTCAGCTCTCATTTCGGGGGACAAGAGCGTCTGTGCCAAGAAACTTGGCAGGCTTTCATTTTCAGGCGTTTTGTCTTTGTAAATCTGGAGAGGCATCTCAAATGTGATTAAAGTACCAAAGAGAACATAATTTGCAGAAGGTCATCAGCCTGCTAATTTGCTGGCATGCCTGGCAGGGCAAAAGGAGGAGGAAAGGGGATCCCAGCATTTGATCTGCCCTCATCTTAGGACATGTTACTCACACAAGCGATGGGCAAATCTTTCAGTTTCGGTTTTTCTCCCCCCCTCCCCCCAATCTTCAGTTCTCCACGTTTACACATCAGGTTGCAAATTATTATTTTTTAAGTGGGTGTGAAAATTCACCAGTGGTTTAGTTAGAATTTTTCCTAGAATACACATGTTTGTGAAAACCATGATTTAGTTTTAGGTGCAAACCCTTCCCAGTGGTGCAGCAATGGTTTGTTTTCTAACAACAAACCATGGTTTGTAAGTCATTGGCTTACAGACCAAAATTCTGAAGGTAAGAGGTTGGGGAAAGATAGCCTGTGCTGACAACATTAAAGCCTCTGCTCTGGTGACTCTGCTGGGTGCCTTGTTTGGGTCCCAGATAACCCGCTTGAGCTTCCACTGTCTGCCGCTGGCCTTGTGCTTATTCCACCTTGTGGCACTATTTCCTGTAAAAGAAAGGAAAAAAATAGCTGATATAACCTTGCACCTTTTTAAAAGGGTGAAATGCTAAGGCAGGGGTCCCCAAGATGCAATTGCCCCAGTGCTGAACTCAGCCCAACACTGCTCAAATAGTAAAGACTTTGTGTTGACATGGGAACGGTCCCCCCCAGCCACAACTGCCTCTCCCCAGATATGTCACCTCACTTGTTTGTGGCCCTGTGGTGCTCTTGTGGTACCTGTGGTTCGCTCACAGGAAACCCACAACCTTTTGGAAGAGAAAAAACACTGATGTGTGAAAAGCCACAGATTTCTAGGACTCACCAAGCACTTGAACTTCTTTGCATAGGGGTTGTCTCCAGCTAAGTTCTTCTTAGACTCACTGAAAATAATGAACTTACCGGTAAGTTAATCATGCTTCCCAAGTTAACAATGGGTTTGCTCGGAGTAAAGTTATCATTGGATCAAGGAGATGGAGTGACTGCCCTTTGAGGAAAGCTTGCAGTGTTTGGGATATCTTAGTTTACAGAAAAGGCAAGAAAGAGATGACATGATAAAAGTCTCTCATGGCACCAGAACTTGTGGACATCTAATGAAGCTGAATGTTGGAAAGTACTTCTTCATGCAGTGCATAGTTAAACTGTGGAACTCACTCTCACAGGGGGCAATGATGGCCACCAACATGAAAGGCTTTAGAAGAGGACTAGACTAGAGGAAAAGGCTATCAGTAGCTATTGCCCATGATGGCAAACCGGTTATTGGAAACCACAGGAAGGGAGAGTGTTCTTGTGCTCAGGTGCTTCTTGCAAGTTTCCCACAGGCAACTAGTTGGCCAGGATGCTGGGCTAGATGGCCCATAGCCCTGATCCAGCAGGTTCTTCTTATGTTCTGAGGGACATTGTGTTAATGTTTTGATTTTGAAAATCAAGTGTGTCTGATCCATTCAAATATACTAATGTGAAAAATGCTACATCTAAATTGTGCCTTGCTAGTGTGTTGTAAGGGTTTTTTTTTCCAAACTGTGCTCTGAGGATCACCAGTGGTCCATGAGCTTAATTCAGGTGGTCCACAGCATGCCTGTGAAGATCAGGACCCACAGCTGTGATGGACTGTGGCAGCAGATGCTCCGGAACAGACTAGAAGTGGCAGGTGGGAGGAAGTGACTTGAAAGCAATCAGAAATGGATTGCAATGCAGTTTGAACTGTGGGAATTAAAATTGTGATGCCAAAACCATGCAGCATCTAGAATAGTGCATTGCAATTGCGACAACAGGCAATTAAATGACATTAAGCGGTCTGCCTATTGACCTGTAGCAATTTTCAAGAGCTCCTTGGGAGCTGCTGCTGTAAACCAGAGACTGTTTTGCAGGAAAAGAAGTTCGCTTCTGCAATTGGAGTAGGTTATGTGAATTGCATGTATTTGCACGATGGCATCTTAGTTTTGCATCATTTGTTCTGCTTCCAACTTTCAGGTTCAAGTAATTTGAAAAATTTTCAGCAAGGAAAAGTGTTGATGAAGGAATGCTACTTGCTGGAGACCACCGTTGGACAGAGTGCTTTTGTGCTCAAATCCTGTGTGTGGGTTTCCCACTGGGGCGTCTTGTTGGTTCTCCTGTTGGAGAACAGGATGCTGGACTGGACAGGCCATTGGCTTGATCCAGCAGGGCTCTACTTCTGTTCTTAATTGAAGGCAGAAGGACGGAAAGTCTGCATAGTCATAAGGGATAGGAACACATGTTGTTTTTTCAATGTCCACACATTTAGCTAATGATAGGCAGCTCACCCCATTTTTTGGCAGCATTTACCCTCTCAGATAATCCTATGTAGGGTGTTTCATTTAAGATCTGGTTGGTCAGGCGTGCTTTGAAATGGGAGAGGGCCCTGAACGGGTGGGTCTAATTTTATCCTTTTGTCACTTAGCAAGCGTATTAAATTTATTCTGTCAGGAGGGATTGGACAATTGGTTTTTAACAAATGCACTTCCTCTAATTGAGTCTATTTTTAATCTGCCCCTGTTTGGCCTTGTGGAGATGGGTGGGTGTCTCCTGTTCAGGGCTGTTTCCTTAGTGCATTTTTTCTTATTGGGTGACACTTTTTATTTCTATAAAGAAAGAAACAATCCCACACAACAATGGCCTCTTTTCCTTCCCAAATCCAGGATCTGAACGGGCAACCCAAGGACCTCTGCCCGCGACTTTGCCATCTCAAGAAAGGCCCCACTGGCTACGGGTTCAACCTCCACAGTGAGAAAGCCAGGCCCGGGCAGTTCATTCGGTCAGTAGACCCGGATTCACCAGCATCCAAGGCAGGACTCCGACCGCAGGACAAACTCGTTGAGGTAACGGATGACAGCTTGAAGGGAGGAGGACCTAGGAGCAGAAGCTCTTCTGCTCAGTCAGGCTCCATCTGAACACTTCCACAGTAGCCCATTGCCCTGGAATTGTTCATTCCCCTTTTTATGCAGAGCCCACACTATGACACTGTCAAAGACCTGCATGTTGGTGTTTGAATGCTGTCTGCAGTCAGTTTGTTGCAAGGTGCCTTCCTGCAGTGTGTCTCCATGAAAGAAAACGTGCTTTTGAGCATGTGCAGAGTAGCATTCTCTCGTCACTGAGCAGCTGCTTCCAACATCTGAGATGCTCAGGCAGGGTTAAATTCCAGGAAAAAAATAGTTTAGAAACCCTGAACCCCCATGTTTCAGAGAGAGAGAGAGAGAACAATTGCTCCTCTCTGCAGTTGCCTCTGCTTGCCCTCTCTGCAGGAACACACCTGTTCTGCAGCGACAGAACTCTCTCGCTTTCTCTCCCCTGAATCTTTAATGCCTGCAGTGCAACAGTACATGTGTGTGCGTGTGCACATGAGAGGGAGGGGTACGTGAGAGGGAGGTAGGAGAGGCCACCTAGGAGGCAGGTGTGTTCATGAAGACAGATTTTGCTTCCAGCACTCAATATGTCACCGATAGGTGGCTGATTATTAATTTAGCACTCCCCTGGCACGTTTCCTGAAGTGCACAAAGAGGGGAGGAGGTGAACCTGCGGAATTTGGAAACCCGATCTAGGGCGGGCGCCCAGCTCTTAGGGGCTCCCATAAATGTTTGATGCTCAGCAGCTCCTCTGTTTGGGCTGCGGTGCCTGCTCTTGTGAGGTGTGGGGAGGAACTGTTCAGCCTCTGCTTCACGTTTTTCTTGCCTCGTCTTCTTTCTCTTTGCACCTGTCTCCAGCTTTGAAGCAACTGCCAGGGCCCTGCCTGCAAGGGTGCAGGCTGCAGGTGGCAACAACAAGTGTTCAGATGGAGACAGTGTCCCAGCCAGAAGCCCTTGGGAGGCTTTGAAGAGCTCTCCTTGGCTTCTGGCTCCCCTCCAGCTTCACCTTCCTGAAGCCATTTGGGTGGTTGCTAGGAAATGGAGGCCCTCAGAAGAGCCGAGGGTTTTGTATTCCCGCACCAGAGTGCTGTCTGCTTCGCTGGGGGACTCGAAGCTTATTTTTTTACGTACTTAAAGGTAAAGGTACCCCTGCCCGTACGGGCCAGTCATGTCCGACTCTAGGGTTGTGCGCCCATCTCGCTTAAGAGGCCGGGGGCCAGCGCTGTCCAGAGACACTTCCGGGTCACGCGGCTAGCGTGACGAAGCTGCTCTGGCAAGCCTGCACCAGCGCAGCACACGGAAACGCCGTTTACCTTCCCGCTATAAAGCGGTACCTATTTATCTACTTGCACTTAGGGGTGCTTTCGAACTGCTAGGTGGGCAGGAGCTGGGACCGAACGACGGGAGCTCACCCCGCCGCGGGGATTCGAACCGCCGACCATGTGATCGGCAAGTCCTAGGCACTGAGGTTTTACCCACAGTGCCACCCGCGTCCTATTACGTACTTACTTACTACATTTAAATGTAAATGTATTTACGTACTTACTTACTACATTTAAATTTTGCCTTTTCTTCTGAGGAGCTGAAGGTGGTTTACATGGTGCTTCCCTCGCCTCACTCCATTTTATCCTCACAACAACCTTGTGAGGTAAGCTAGGCTGACAGACAGTGACTGGCCACAGGTCATATGCTGTGAGTTTAGCAACTGTGGTCCAGGGTATCTTCAGGCTTGCCTGATTCCTTAGATCCTTGCCCAATCACTGAGATCTTTCAGGGAGTCTCTGTTGGTGGTCACCCATAGCTCAGGTGCATCAGAAGCATTCAGTGTAGTGGGACCAAGCCTGTGGAACTCCCTCCCACCTGAGGTTAGACAGGCCCCGTCCTTGCTGAACTTCAGGTGCATGACAAAAACTGGCTTGTTCCAGCAGATATTTTAAAATAGCGGTTGGTTTTATGATTAACTTTTAATTGTTTTATTCTCTGTATGGTTTATTTTTATGGACTGCACCCACACCCCGAAATGCTGGTGATGGAGCAGTAGAGAAATTACTTTAAAAACCCAAGCAACAACTTAACCACAGCTTTGGTTTGATAGGTGAACTCAGCACCTTTGCGGGGCTAAGAGCAGCCAGGTCAGGGGTATTTGGGGGGAAGTGTAATCCAGATGGGGAGCATATTCTGGAGCAGCCTCACCACTGCTTTTGGTCCAGGATAAGTACTTAGCTAAGCACATCACTACCTTGCCCATGTAACTAGTTTGCTGACATTTCCCCTCCAAATCCCCAAAATAATAATAAAAAGAAAACAGGCAAAGCAGAAAGCAGCAACACACCACATGATGAACTGATTAATTGCCTTCCATTGTCAGGTGATAATTGGCGCCCGGGCATGAACAAAATGATCCCCTTTGCTCCATTATCCTAGGCTAGCAACAAAAGGGCAGTGATTGTTTGTCAAAGCCGTGAGAGCCACTGTGTGCAGTGAATTTCCCCTTTGTCCTGGTTTAAAATAGCAGATCATAGCAGAACCATTCCCCTCTGGCTGCTGTTGGTTCCTTTGTTCTAAAAGGGACAAAACCTTTTAGCTCTTTATATCTATGTATTGGAGGGGGAGCAGTTTGTTACAAAATCAAATGCTAGATTAAAACAAAAGAAGAGGCCGGCTGGATCAGGCCAAGGGAGGTGCCATCCAGTCCAGCATCCTGCTCTCACAGGGGCCAACCAGATACCCCAAAGATCTCCAATCTGTCTCCCAAGGCAGCCCCATGTGAAATGCATTGTGGGAATCCATCCATTCATTCTCTCTCCCTACCTCTCTGGTTTTCTCTCCCTCAGGTCAACGGGATCAACGTCGAGGGCCTGAAGCATTCCGAGGTAGTGTCACATATCAAGTCCAAGGAGCATGAAGCCACACTGCTAGTTGTGGACCCCGAAACAGACGAGTATTTCAAGAAACTGGGCATCACCCCTACAGAGGAGCACATCGGAGGTAAAGCATTTATCCTAGAACCAGCTTTAGCAGAGGGGGCAGGGATTGTGCAAGGGAGATAGATGTCCCTGTATAGGCCCCATCTGCACTATATGTTTAAAGCACAATAATACTACTTTAAACAGCCACAGCTCCCCCCCCCCCGGGAACTGTAGTTTGTTATGGATGCTGAAATTTGTTAGGAGACCTCTGCTCTCCCAGAGCTAGCATTGCCAGAGAACCTAACCAATAAAAAATACAGCAAAGGGAATGAAAACAAATGACACTTTTTCAGTAGAGTAAAAGGTAAAGGGACCCCTGACCATTAGGTCCAGTAGTGGCCGACTCTGGGGTTGCGGCGCTCATCTCGCTTTATTGGCTGAGGGAGCCGGCGTACAGCTTCCGGGTCATGTGGCCAGCAGGACTAAGCCGCTTCTGGCGAACCAGAGCAGCACACGGATAACGCCATTGATGGTGACCTTCACTGACTTGGAGCGGTACTTATTTTATCGTACTTGCACTTTGACGTGCTTTCGAACTGCTAGGATTGAACAGGATCTAGTGGACTGAGCTAACAGGCAGCTCACTCCCGTCCGGACTGTGGATTCGAGAGCCGCTGACCTTCTGGTCGGCAAGTCCTAGGCTCTGTGGTTTAGCCCACAGTGCCACCCACGTCCCTTCAGTAGAGTAGTACCCCTTTATTATGTACCCAGTAGCAGGGGAAAAGCTGACACCCACCACACATTATATAATTTTTTTGGCTCATATGATTTTGTACTGTAACCAATCTCACCACACGTCTGGAAGTATAATGCGGTGAGATACAAAACAATCTGTAGTTTCCAGAATTCTTCCGGGGAAGCCATGACTGTGTAAAGTGGCAGGTTAACTGCTTTAAATGTATAGTGCGGATGTGGGATACATAGGTTCTCTTCTCCGCCACAATTTCATCTTCACAACAACCCTGCAAGGAATGACTGGCCCAAGCTCTCCCAGTGAGCAAGATGGCCAAGTGGGGATTTAAACCTGCAGTCTCCCCCTAGCTTGATGCTCCACAGCAATTGTGATGGCTGAGCCTGGTGGGAGTTGTAGTCTGAAACATCTGGAAGGCACCCAGTTTGGAAAGCCTGCTCTTTAGTTAGTGTCAAAGCATGTTCCTTGTCTGCAGTACCCGTTAACAACGAAACATCTTGGAATCATCTTTCTCTGCTTGAAGTTTCTGCAGTCACTCTGAACATTCCTCCAATCTTGCCAAGGAAGAGAGTTGCTCTGGGCATGTGCAGAGTTTCCCCCTTCACCACAGAAACTGCAACCAGGTTCCATGCACTGGGGATGAAGGGGAGAAGAGCTCTGCCAGGTTTCAGCTCCAGACACTTTCACAAACGAAGCACCAGCCACTGGCCTGGATCCAAGTGGAGAGCAACATTTTGCAAAACAGCCGTTTTTTAAAAAAACAACCTAGCAGTGGATACCCCCCTCTACTGGCCTTGCAGTTTTTGAGTTTTGTAAGCTGTTGCTTAGCCAGAGTTGTCGAGGGGAGAGACCACTGGGTTCCACTAAGCATCCATATCCCTGCTCTCCTTGCAACCCCCAATCCTCCTTCCTTGGCTGGGTTGAATGGAGAGCTGTGTGTGTTTTTAACACAGCTGTTTCTTATCTAACTAAGCTGAGTTCTGCCTCCAGTGCTGGATTGTCTTTTCCTGGCCTTCAGTGGAGAGAGGAATCCAAAAGAACGACTTGGAACAATTCAGAACTGGAGGGGGGCGGGCAGTGGATGTAGAGAAATGGTGTCAGATGCTGAGAGCAGGAGCAAAATAAGAGATAGGGTCAGGGAGAAACTCTTTTTCTTTCTTGGCATGGTGGATAATAAAGCCCCTGTTCTCCTCTTGAGGAGATGCAGCTAGCATGGTCACCCAGTCCCAGAAAGTATGAAGGGTTTTGGGTTGTCTCTTGGAGTGCTGAGGCCTGTTTTCAAGCGATAGCTGAGGAGGAGGAGGAGGAGGGCCAGACCAGCTGCTGCTGAGTTACAGGCAAAGGAGAGAAAGAGGGGGAAGTCTTGCAGGCGTGACGAGGCCTTTAGAGCCCACATCCACAGGATATCAGTAGGGATGCTTCTGTTTATGCAATCGTTGCTGCATGTTGACTGTTACAGATGGTCTGGTTCCTCCGTTTGCTCCTGATGTTGTGGAATAACTTTATGGACTAAATCTGGGACAGGAAGAGCCCACACAGCATGTAGAGTGTTGGACCACAGTGGGACCTGGGTTCGGATTCCTACTCATCGTCAGAGCTTGTGTGGTGACTTTGGTCCTAATTTACCCAAGAGCATAAAAGCAGCCTTGCTGAATCTGGCCAGTGGCCAACTTAGTCCAGCATCCTATTCTCAAACAGGGCCTGCATGCAGTATTTATCTATATTTCTCTCTCTCTCTATATATATATACATATAGAGAGATACATATCTCCTAACATTCAAAGTGGTTTACAAGGGAGACAAAACAATATTATCAATGAGAATATTAACAACAATAATTTAAGACTTTCAAAAATTTAAAATAACAATACACTATATGGGTAGGCTTGTCTAAACAAAAATGTTTTTAGTGGGCACTGAAAAGAGTACAGTGAAGGTGCCTGCCTGATATCAATAAGCAGGGAGTTACAAAGTGTAGAAGCTGCCGCACTAAAAGGTTTCTTCCAGATGTTGAATGGGTATTATGCAGCACCTGTAAAAGTGCCAGTTCCAAAGATCTGACCTGATAAAATAACATTTATGCCTGAAGATATTCCTGAAATATATCTGAAAGAATACCTGATAGGATGGTATTATTATTATTATTATTATTATTATTATTATTATTATTATCATCTACATCATCATCATCGGTCAAGATATAAGTCAGTGAAAACATAATAACAATAAGAAAGGAAAAGAAATGTTAGCAATGCGTATGCACAAAAAAGGAGAATAGGCATAGCGAATGTAATGCTATGTGTCTAAACAGAGTTAATGTGCCTACTTTAATGATCTACAACGTTCTTAAGAGTGTGCATAGTTTTATATTTTCCTGTCAATACATTATGAAAATGCTCCATTTTCTGCCGAAAGATTATGAAGTTGCCTTCCTCCACTTAATTTTGTGGGGGAAATTAAAGGGACTTTATAAGGATGCCCCCCTGAGCCCACTAGAGCAGTGGTGGGGAACATCCATCTTACGGGTGCCTCTATACCTGATATCATATGGCAAAAATGCAACTCTCTGCTAAAAGTGGAGTTGCCTTGACAAGTGTTGCCATGGTCCCTGGCACTTGCAAAGGCACAGGGTTTTGCAAGACCTGGCAGTCAGCTGAGCCATGGTGCCTGCAAAGCACTGTGCCTAAACAAAAATGTTTTAAGCAGGTGCCAGAAAGAATACAGTGAAGGCGCCTGCCTGATGTCAGTAGGCAGAAGCTCCAAAGTGCAGCATTCATGCAATCAAAGTCACAGCTGGTTTGGCCCTCAGAAGGACATAGGAACAACCCTCACCTTCAAATGTTTGGTGGGGCTTCATAGGGAGCCTCTTTTTTCTTTTGTATGTTTAATAGATTATTGTATTTTAATGTTCTGTTGGAAGCCGCCCAGAGTGGCTGGGGAAGCCTAGCCAGATGGGCGGGGTATAAATAATAAATTATTATTATTATTATAAGGTGTCTGTGTTAGTAGAACTTTGAATTTCTGAAACCAAAATGTTTGACACAGGGATAGTTCTGTGGTTCTTTTGTTTTTTGGCATGTTATCAGGACGTTTGTTGAGTTTCCATGACTGTATTCAACTGGGGTTCTTTCTCCTTTGCCTTCAGGTGGACTTCCTCAGCCCATGACCAATGGGTCAGCACAAACGCAGGTGAGTGATGGGTACGGATGGGTGAATCTGTCTCTGTCTCTCTTGGTTTCTTATTTTTCCATTCTTAAGTTCAGTTCTCCATATCATTGGGCATTCCCCCACCCCCAAAGTCCTCATGAAAATATCCACATTTTAGTGCATCCCCCCCCCGATATACACATTATTGTATGCAGTTTTGCCCAATATACACATCCTTTTGCAAAACAATTTCCTGTAATAAGAAGCATTTTGATGCATACCTGACTCTAGTATATTCATTTTTGTACACATTCCCTGTCTGGAGAACTGCACAGCAAAATTGGGAGGACTGCGGATTTTGAAAGATGACTGTGTTTTGAGTTCCAGTTTGGTTTGCCTTGAAATGTAGACTGAATCAACTTCCACCCCTACCCTGTTACCTGTTCAGAATGTACAGCAGAGCTGAGTGCAGCTTTCTTCAGCCTGATGCCGTGCAGGTGTGTTGGACTACAACTCCCATCAGCCCCAGCCAGCATGGTGCCCGTGTCCTTGGCCCATGGTGGCTGGGGCTGATGGGAGTTGTAGTCCAACACACCTGCACGGCACAAGGCTGGGGAATTCTAGTTTTCTTCCAGGTATTCACCTTGAGTCACAAATTTAAGATGTGACACATAGGACATGTCCATTTCGGATCAGCGAGATCCCTGGCCATCTTCCTTCACTCTCCTCTGTGGCTTCAGCAACCTTTGGCCCAACTTATTTAGATCTGTCTTCCCGCAGTGCTAGGAAATGAGATGGATCACATGAGATCGAAGGGCTGCAGCCTATAATCAGAAATCCTTATCAAACTGACCCAACACAATATGCTGCCTTTTCTTAAAAACTTCCGTGACTTGTTCTCTGCCTGGAAATTTATTGTGAGCCATCCAGGGGAAAGATTGCAATGGAGATTGTGTGGGTTGACCCACCTTCCTGTTCTTCTTTATGGCCCATGTTTCCCCAAGTGGCACCACCACGCTCACCATGCTGGCACAAAACCTCAAGGCACTGTCCTACAGCTGTCCAAATCGTGTTCTTAACCCCTCCAATTCCACTTTTCTTGTAATAAACACACACCCTCTTTCCATTCCCGACAGCTGAATGGGGGATCCATGTCCTCGTCCCACAGCGATTGCCAAAGTCCTGAGAAGGAGTCTGAGGTAAACAAAGTCATCCCATTTCTTGACCTGCCCAAACACTGCACAGGAAACCTCGTATATATTCTTTCTTGCATTGCCAAGGAAATCTCCTGGACCTGCATCCTTCCAGGGGTCCCCCTCTGGATCCTGCCCCTTCTTCCTCCTCCTCCTGCCTCTGCCAAGTTCTTCCTCTCCCTCCTTCTCAGTGTCTCTGCGGCATCCATCCATCTTCTCTTTTCTCCTGCTTCTAATATGGAACAGGCTTTTGTCTTCTGCTCATCTGCACTGGGACATTTTCCTGCTTTCTGGCCTTCCACCTCTTGCAAATCCCAGGGCCATTTCTGCACCGACTACCTCCTGCTTCCTGCACAACTTTTCCAAGCTTGTCACCCTTCATGTGGTTTTAGGATCAGTGAGTGGTGCCCCTCTCAGTAGTTCTGCCACCCTTAGATGTTTGGCGTTGTAGTGGCCTGGGGGAGGGCATTCCCCTTGGCAGCCCCAAAATTGTGGAATTCCCTCCCCACAGAGGTGCACCTGAAACCTTCATAGTGCTGCTTCTTGACCCTGGCTTCTTGGACACCTGAGATGTATATTTTTTAGGACCCACCCTGTTTTTGTGACTGCAGATCATTTTAACTGATTCTAATATTGTTTTAGGGACGCGGGTGGTGCTGTGGGTTAAACCACAGAGCCTAGGATTTGCCGATCAGAAGGTTGGCGGTTTGAATCCCTGCGACGGGGTGAGCTCCCGTTTCTTGGTCCCAGCTCCTGCCAACCTAGCAGTTCGAAAGCACAGCAAAGTGCAAGTAGATAAATAGGTACCATTCTGGCAGGAAGGTAAACGGCGTTTCCGTGCGCTGCTCTGGTTCGCCAGAAGCAGCTTAGTCATGCTGGCCACAGGACCCGGAAGCTGTACGCCGGCTCCCTCGGCCAATAAAGCGAGATGAGCGCCGCAACCCCAGAGTCAGTCACGACTGGACCTAATGGTCAGGGGTCCCTTTACCTTTACCTAATATTGTTTTGGGGGACTGTTAAGTCTAGAGAAAAGGCGAGCAAGGGATGACGTGATGGAAATTTATAAAAATTATCTGTGGCATGGAGAAAGTGGATAGAGAAAAGCTGCTCTTCCTCTCTCATAGCACTAGAACCCATAGCCATCCAATGAAGCTGAATGCTGAAAGAATCAGGACAGATAAAACTCCTTCTTCATGCAGCGCATAGTTAAGCTATGGAACTCCCTCAAGAGGTAGCAATGGCCACCAACCTTGCTTCAAAAGTGGATTGGACAAATTTACGGGGGGAAAAGGCTATCAATGACTACTAGCCACAGTGGCTATTAGCCTGATCCAGCAGAGCTCTTCTTAAATCCTTCTTTTTCTATTGTTATAACCTGCCCTGGGACCTTATGGCAATGGGCATGTCATAAAAAAATAGTAATAATTGTAACAACGTGGATAGGAAATGTAGTTGTTGTTGACGCTGCTGCTGCCATGTAAGGCTTTCCACTCCAAAATTTAGCTTCCCTGCTCCCTCCTTCCAAACAAGCAAGTTTCTGTGTGTGTGTTTTTGTCAGCTGTTAAACATCTGCCATGTTCCACCACAGAGGTGGCCAGAGTCAAACTGTCTTCTCTTATTTCTCCTTCCGGGGACCCCTCAGGATGAAAGAAGGAAGAGAACAATAGAAGCCACTAGGAATATGTTGATGTAGAGGGAATATGAACTATTTCTGGCAAAAAAAAAAAAGCCAGCAGATTCCTGCTCCCAAACCCCTATCCTTTTTTTTTTTAAAAAAAAGCTTAATTGCATTCAAATGCGAAGGGAAATACTTGAATGCAATGCAGCTTATTTATTTCCTCACGCTCTGCCACCACTGCAGCCCTGTTTCTTTAAGAGAGAAATATGCAGGCCTTGATTAGAGGAGAGTTTTGTGAAGACCACAGAGAGGCTTGAATTACGGGGGATCCGATCCCTGTTCCTTCAGAGGAGCAACTGGCCTCACTGTTCACTGGAGTCCAAAAACTCTGCATTCTTTCCATGCCGGGTTAGTGGTGAGGGAGAGGAATTATTCACTAGTTTCATCCAGCTTTTGCCAGTGCTGGCTGATGTCCTGCTTTCTTACAGGCTTCATCAGCTTGTTTCCGCTGAGGGCCTTTCTTGGTTTTATCGCCTTGGGTCCCGATCCTGCCATGGGCTTGTGGTTTTGAATAGACATAGGAGGAGAACCCTAAGTGGCACAAAATTGTCCCAGAGGTCCACTGTGATAGGGGAGTGGGGCCAGTGTTAGAAACTCAAGATATGTAAGCTAGGCACCAAATGGCACCTGAAGCTTAGGCTATGTCTGTTCGCCAGGGAATTGGACTTGATGACCCTTGGGGTTCCTTCCAGCACTACAATTCTATTATTTTATTATCTCAGCTACATTGCTTGACTGTAGCTTGCTCTTACAACAATTCACTTATCCCGGGAGGCAAGAAGGAGAAACATAAACACTGGAAATGGAAATGGAATCAACTGAGTCAGCTGGCTTGATGGAGATGTCAGTCGCCCAGAAATCTCCACGTAGTCGCAACTGGACCTGCACCAGGAGCAAAATGTACCTGGTGCCCAGGAAATTTCAAACACTGGGGACAATGACCTACCACCGCTCCCAAGCGGATTTGGGTACCACATCCCAATGCTTTCTGATGCTGCTCATCCACATCCCCTTGCTCCCTGGGTTGGAGGTTGGATCCTGCCCGAAGGTGTCCAGTTGCTGACTGCTGGTTCGTTTAATTGCCACTGTAAAGCAGGTGACATCCCTTTCTCAGGCCAGGCATAGCACATGAGAACTTCTCTGGATACAAAGCACATGCCCTTCCATTAAGCTGGAGGCCCATCCCTCCTGCACTCTGCTGGTGATGCATGATGACGTTTGGGCTGCAGAGTTGGGTCTGTGGTGGGTTGACATGGGGCCAGATGGGTTGGTACTTGCTGATGTTGCAAGAACTTGGGTGCTATGAAGAGTAAGCGCAGCTCTTCGGAATCAGAATTAGGAACATAGGAAGCTGCCTTATATTGATTCAGGCCATTGGTATGTCTAGCTTAACATTGTTCACACAGACTTGCGGGGTCTCCCAACCCTGCCTGAAAGAGACCGGGGATTGAACCCGAGGCCTTCTACATGCAGAGCAGAGGTCCTGCTACTCAGCTACATCCATTGGTCCATCTTTCTCAGTATGGTCTGCATTGATTGGCTACGGCTCTCTAGGGTTTCAGACCAAGGTCTTTCCTAACCCTGCCATTGGAGGGTTGAACCTGGGACCTTCTGCATGCAAAGCAGATACTCTGCCCCCGAGTTACAGTTCTTCTCAGTTGCTGCTTCCTCTCCTAAGAGCAGAGGCTGAGTTTTGCCCTGTCAAAGGCTCCAAGAGACCCAGTCTGCATCCTGTGATGACTCTTTAGTTTTTTTGCTGCCTCCTGTCAGCTCTACCTGCAAGGTTCTCGTAGCCTCTCCAAACCCTGCAAAATGCTTTTGAAAAGGGATGACAGGTTGAAGTGGGGGGAAACCCGCCCCCCCGCAATAAATGCCGCTCAGGAGCCCCCACCATACCCCTCTATCCCACCAGTCCTTTCCCTTCTTTTGAATCCCATTCTTTTCTCTTTCTTTTTTTTAAAAATCCCGCTAGGTGGGAGAGCCTGGGAAGAAGGATCCGTTTGAGGAGAGCGGCTTGAACCTGAGTCCCACGGCAGCGGAGGCCAAAGAGAAAGTGCGGGCCAAGCGGGTGAACAAAAGGGCCCCCCAGATGGACTGGAACAAGAAGCGGGAGATCTTCAGCAACTTCTGAGCCGGCCGGGGAGCTCCTCTCGACTCCTGTTGCGGCTCCCCCCACCCCGGCCTGGAGACATTTGCAAATGAGCACGGGGATGGCGACGGCCGCGCTGTGCCTCCAACGGGCACCGCTCCAAGGCGTGCCAGGCTCTGCTTTTTACCATAGGTTTGTGTTGCTTTGTACAAAGCACATTCCCTCCTTCCCCCCTGCCCCCAGCCTCTTTTATTGTACAAAAGTGGTCAGAGAGAGAGAGAGAGAGAGAGAGAGAGAGAGAGAGATTGAAACTGCAGGACTCAAACACACAAAACAGGCAACTGTGAAACTGCCACAGTAGCAAGCAGGAAAAGCAAGCGGCAATTTTCCTTTCCTTTTTGAATCGCTTAACCTGCAATATTTAGAATGTATTATTTATAGGATCATTTTTATATCATTAATTGTTTGAGCTTCTTCTGCCTCTTCTTGTAGCGATGTCAATATTTTTTTTTATAATGTCCCAACCAGAACTTGTTAACCAGAGCCTTTCCACTTAACTGGATGCTGCGGTCTGCACTGATTAGCAGCAGCTGTTGCCAACCTGGTGCCCTCCAGATGTTCCAGATACTGCCCACTCCTTGCAGCAGCCCTTGGTTTCGGGCAGGAGGGGGCATCAGGTTGGCAGAGACTGCTGGGTTTCCATGTTGGCATCCTCACAAACGTGGTTGCCTGACCATTTCGTGATTGTGCGAGTTTTCTCTGTGGCTTTAAATTTGGACTTTTTATTTTTTAAAGGAGGGAAATTTTTTCCGCCCCTCCATCTGTTCGTAGTTAGTGCTTGAAACGCCCTGACCCTTTAAGCCTCAGGCACAGCAAGCCCCCTTTTCTTTGCAAATTGTTTTTGCCTTGTTACCACTTTTCAGAACAACTGCGCTTTTGGAAAAGCCCCTTCACCACTTTTCAGAACGACCGTGCTTTTTGAAAAGTCCCTTCCCTACCAATCATGGCAAAAGACCACAATTATTTGGTGCACTCAGGTGCAGAAATGCATGCCGTCCCTTGCCAACCCCCTGGGGCCAGGGTAGGGTGGGAAGCAAGTGCCCCCCCCCTTCTAAATCCTGACATTTATAAGGAACACTGATCTGAATTGGCTGTAGCCAGAAGCTGGAAATAACACTTTTTAGCGAGACTCGGGAGAAGGACAGGAAGACAATTGTATGCATGAAATACTAACATTCCTGGGAGCGGTTCCTCTGGGAGACGGTGTCCTGCTGGCAAACGGACCGGCGTCTCGAGATTTAAACAGAAGCTCCCCCCTTTTTGTGCAAGATCATTTAACCTCCAACCGCACAACTATTTCCACTTCCAGGCCTTTTGAAAACATGCACCCCATTTCAACATTGCTGATGTTTCAGTGGCTGCACCTTTAACCAACCTTCCTTTCAGTTTAGCAGCAGTAAGGTACCTGCAGGTATCAGCTGTTCTAAGGAAAGGCTGTAGTGGATGGTCTCCCCTTTAACCCTACTAACCCTTTGCACAGGCAGTGGGAGATGATGGACAGAGTGGTCCCCAAAGCCTTTTTCAGGCCGAGGGCCAGATTCCTTTGTGGGTGATCTTCTGGGGGCTGCATACCAGTGGCAGGAGAAACCAGAAGCAAAGGTGGTGGAGCTCACAGGGCTTTCCCCCCCACCTGCAATGGTCTGAGGTTCTACACCAACCGTCAACCTTCTCCAACCATGGAATCCTAAAGGTTTCATTACAGTCCAAGAACATTTCCCTGTCAGGGATAAAGGACATGATGAAAGCACCAAGCAGGCCTTGGTTTGAGAAGGGGAAGTGGCCTAGGAAGCATCCTGAGGGCCAGATGGAGAGGCCTGAAGAGCCGCATTTGGTCATTAGGCCTGAGGCACCCCCTCCCTACAGCCAAAGTCAAATCTCATGCTTTAACCATGACGCGTAAAGCTGAATTTAACAAGCCCTGAATGTGTTTTAGCTTCTGCAATGTTCTTTCTGAAGGAATGGCTCAGAAGCACAGAATGTGTCTCTTTTTTGAGACTGCAACACATCCACATCTACTGAACATCTGACCTGCTCATTACCAGCATTAGGCCCTCTACGTTACTTCCCCCACCCCCCAAATAGAAAGAAGAATTGTTATTAAAGGCAAGGAGGCATGGTAGAGGTTGGATTGCCATCTTTGAGGGATTCTTTAGCTGTGATTCTTTTTTTTTTTTAAATAATTTTTATTAACAGACCAATCAAATCAAATCACATAAATTCCAAATTTCTTTAGCTGTGATTCTTGCACTGCAAGGGGTTGGACCATATGACTCTCGGGACCCTTCCAACTGTACAATTATATGATTCTGTTATTCCCTAGATCAGTGGTATCCAAACTTTTTTCAAAGAGGGCCAGATTTGATGAAGTGAACGGCCGTGAGGGCCAACCAAAGTTGTTAACCTTTTTTTAGGATTGAAGTGGTTGAGCTTTGTTTAGGATTGAAGTTGTTGAGGTTTCTTAGGATTTTACCCTAGGAAATAAACTGCCACAGGGGCTGGATTAAACTGACTGGAGGGCCGGATTAGGCCCCCAAAACGGACTTTGGACATGCCTGCCCCAGATAGATCTTGATGTTGTTATAAGAGGACAAGAGTTGGGAGACGGATTGACCCAAGGGGCCCAGGTCACTGGGAAGTTTCCAAGGAAGTTCTTACCCCTCCCTGTGTTAATTCATGGGAGGGAGTATACTGTTTGGTGTGTTGTTTTTTTCTGTGGTAGGCACTGAAATGTCTTGAATCCAGGCCTGAGTGAAAAGTGGATAATTCTGGGGTATTGCTCCTACTTACTAACTGAATTTGATCCTTCTCAATGAGTGATGTATGTGAACTGTGTGGGCCACTTAAAAGTAAAGCACACACTACTGTGGAACCCCTACACTAGGCTCCTCTGTTCTTGAAGAGATCCCTTTGCTAATCTGGTGCCCTCTAGCTGTTTTGAACCACAGCTCTCATCAGCCTCAGCAGGCACATCCATGGTTTGGGCTGATGGGACTTGTAGTTCGAACATCTGGAGGGCACACAGTTGGCAAAGGCTGCTTGAGAGTGATCACATTGCAGCAGCAACTCAGAAATTGTTATCCAAACTCTTCTCCTGATTCTGCTAAGTGAGAGAGGAGTAAAAAAAATTGGAAGCTAGCTAATGATTTTATAACACTGTTAATCTGGTAAGGGGAGGCAGGTAGGAAGAGTTTTTTCTTCCAGCCTTCTTTAGTGAGACATCACAACCTTTCACACCCTTTTCTTCTTTACAACCACTTCCACAACAAGTATTAAAAAGCAAGCTGGAGGGATGCAGTTTCTCTTTCATAAAAAGAGGTATGTATGACTAAGCAATTGCTTTTAATTAGGGCACAAATGTACAATCTATGTAAGTATTCAAGAAGTGGGGGGGGGGGGGCGACGACGACACATTTTGTCTTCAGGGATTCTTCAGCTGTGATTCCTGCATTGCAGGGGGTTGAATGATCCTTTGGGCCTCTTCCAACTCTTACAGTCCTATGATTCTACAATACCCTGCAAGATGACCAAGTGCCCTTTGATATAAATATACTCTGGGGGCTTTGTGTATGTTTTGCAAATAACTAAGCTGAATAAGGTGCCTTAGATTATTCTCCTGTCCTTTGGGGAAATTTACCAAGCCTTGGTAAATGGTACCATTCTCTTGTTATGTTTTGGTTTTCAGGAAGAACCTTGTATACAGTTTCATTACAGGAGGCTTTGAGAGAAATGCGAGGTGGAGTATTGGTGTCCATGATGGACAGCCCTGTACTCATAGTCTGCCCCAGGAGTAGCCAAAGCAGTGTTCTCTAGGTGTTGCTGGACTCCATCTCCCATCATCTCTCACCATTGGTTGTGTTGGCTGGGGCTTATGGGAGTTGCGGTCCACAACATTTGGAGAGCACCACGTTGGATACCCTTTGTCCACACCAGCTTTTACCAATCTGATGGTCTCCAGCTATTTTGGACTACAATTCCTAGCAGCCCCAGAGCACCAAGTTGGGGGCAGCTGGTCTGGATGCCTAAGAAACGTGTCCTAATTCTGCACCTGAGTTAATCTAATTGAATGCCACATTTTGACTGATTTTGCATAGTCTGCCTGGCTATCATAGGGACACCATTCTAGTCCTCACCTCTGTCCCCTCAGATGCCTGCCCTCTCTGTCTTCTGAGGTAGCACCAGGCATCACCCACCACTTTTGAATTTTATCTTAGTAAGCATGAGAACTACAAAGCGGTCTTTTTGCAAACAACAACCCCCCCCTCCAATATTTCAGATTGATTCCATAGATGTTCAGTGATTATAAGCTCAGCAGGCAAGAAGGGTTTGGCTATAAATCATTGTGCTCTTCACTTTATGATGATGATGATTATGAGGATGATTTTTATTTTAAAAACAGGGTTTCTAGCCCACATGGAATCTGGGGAAATGTCAGGAATTCTTTCCCCCTTTGAGACTCATTCTTTGCCAAGCTTGACCAAAACATTCCAATTTGTTTTTAAAAACCTGCACCATTGAAGACTGTGAAGCTATGTAAAAATAAATATATGTAAATATGACTAATTTGCACAATTCAGTCTGCAGGCATGGGATTTTACCACACTCCCAAACCATTTATTATTGGAGAACAGCTGTACTTGCTGACTCCCAGTCCAGCCCCAGTTATGCTCAGTTAGTCCCATAGATGCCCATTAGTATTGAACGGGGGCTTCCTGCTGATGCCACAGGAAGGGTGTGCATTATGGGGCAAATGCAAATAAGAGTGCATGTAGATCTTCCTTCCCAAGACTGGTGCCCAGATGTTTGGAATACATATCCCATCACCCCTGACCTTTGGCCATGCTGGCTGATACTGATGGGAGTTGTAGTCCAACAACAACTGGAGGGCCCCAGGTTGAGTAAGCCTGCCATAAATCTCTCTTGATGACTCGGGGCCACTGATTCTAGGAGGATAATGAAATGTTTGTGAATGAAGAATGCTCTGCTGAGTCTTCTTTATTTTTTTTAACAAAGAAAACACTTATTGAGTGAGACTGGTAGTAATTCAGGTATATGCTAATACCTGCTGATAAGGTTGCTTGAAACTTGATTTTGAGAACGGCCGGTGTGAGATTTATAAAGGCTTTTTTGGGGGGGGCTGCTTTGATTCCTTAAATGATTGGAGGGCGCTTGTTTTTCAAATTAGGCTAAAATTTTTACCTCCAAAAGAATTGCCCCTAATTCATTATTAGCAAAGGTGTTGATGCACCACAGGTGTGTGTGGGGTGCTGCTGCTGCTGCAGTTCCCACCAGCCTTGGGCTGATGGGAGGTGGAGTCCAGCAACATTTGGAAGACCACAGGTTCTCCACCCCTCTGATGCATGGAAAGAACAGGTTTACATCTGGTCAGTGGAAGATGAAACAGGATAGGCCTTTTGAAAAATGCCTGGATAACACCTTGGGCTCCATGATCGAAGAAAGGTGAAATATAATAGTAAGGAAATGAATGAATGCAGGACTGGTTTGAACAAGGATTTCTAAAGTCATTCTTTAAGGATAGGAGAGGTGTGACAGAAGCACAAATTTGAGGGTTGTGGTACAATTGAAATCTCCTATACAAATCTGTACCTATAGAGGTATCTTTCCCCCTACCCCTTCCAAGAAAGTAAACATCCCACTCTCTATTCCGTGGATTGACTCATGACGATTTAAAAGCACGCCTGGCTCTCTTTTCTCTGCCATCCTATATGCTCTGCAGCACTTAACTCCGTTTCTGCACATCTAACCTAGACATTCACTAAAAAGTTATAAGAAGAGCTGTTAACTGCATTGTGTAAAAAAATGTATACTAAAATGTCAATAATAAAACTGGTTTCCCATGTACAGCGAGTTTTATGATGTTGGTGTCCAAATTATTATTTCCTTATGGTATCCCTCGCTTCCTCCCATCCAGCTTTTGTGTCTGTTTCCTGGCTGTGCCAGATTGCCTCACTTCTAGGTGCATTTAAATTATCTGGGAAACGTATTCCAGCCCCTCAAGGAAGGTTTGAAGCAGGGCCAATGAGGGGGTATGGCATAGGGAGAGTCCCAGAGGACAGAAGGAAAGGCCTGGAGGGCTGCTTTCAGATCCTGGGCCCACGTTCCCCACTCTGGATTAAGCCCCCTCTTCTGGGAAACCTGAGCACCAAACAGAGACTGTTAAACAAAACTATTCTTATTACAAACAAAACTGTTTATTATATAAAAATAAGAATTACTCTTTAGGTAGATGCAGTTCTCAGCATTTGGCTTATGTGACAGGCTAAGCAAAGCTCAAGGCTTACAATGTATTCCAAATGCCCCTTTTGCTTGGGACATCTCAAAGGCTTCGTTCTCACATAGGAGAACTCTTACCCAACCTGGTGTCTTCCAGATGTTTTGGACTGCATTTTATGGCTGCGCTGTCTGGGGCTGATGGGAGTTGTAGTTCAAAACATCAGGAGGGCGATAGATTGGGAGGAAAGCTGATCTAAAATCTGCAAGCCCTGGAGCCCATCAGACACAACTGGGGTGGGAAGAATTTTTTCTGTCTCATCTGTTTTTAAACTTCCAACTCTCCCTACCTTGGCAACAGGCTAATTCCTCCATGACGCTGGGACAGGCCTGAATGACATCATCCAGTGGAGCTGGATAACTCCTTTTGCCTGGTAACTAGCTTATTAGCATTTAAATTGGAAATTCTTCAAGGGCAAAGGCAGCTGACAGAATCCACAAACACTTCTTAGGAAGGTCTGGTCTGGGAAGAAAATATGACCGGCCTCCTTCACAGTGTGTGTGGAGGCAGGGAGAGGCATAATGACAAGGAAATACAACACACCCTGAGGGCTGGTTGCCCTTCAGGCAGAGGCTCTCAAAGTGGGAGCCTTGCCCTTTCAAAACAAAGGCCAGAGGATGTCATGTGAGCTGAACCTTAGAAATTCTGGTCAGACATATATAGCTTATGACAAAGAGATCTCCAGACATATCAAAACATGTGGACCTTCCATTGACAGGACACAACCTGAACTTTCTGCTTGTTTTCATTTTCACCCTAAAGAAAGTTTCACCCATTTTCAGCCTGCCTCCCCCCATCTCCTCTTTCTAGCCACAGGAATCCAACAAAATCTTCATTTAAAAGATACTGGGGGCTGGACTATACTTTTGAAGTAGACTCTCATCATTTTAAATACTCATGGCTTTGCCCAAAGAACCATGGGAGCTGTAGTTTGTTAAGGGTGCTGGGAGTTACTGGGAGACCCCCTATTCCCTTCCAGCTTCAATTCCCAAAGTACTTTCAACCCCTCTTCCCCAGGAACTCTGGGAACTGTAGCTCCGTGAGGGGGAAAGGGGCTGGCAGGGGGACCATGACTGTTTAAAGTAGCATGTCACTGCTTTAAATGTATGGTGCTGATGGGGCCTGAGCTAGCTGAACTGAGATATGTCAAGATGTACACGTGCAACTGATTTCAGTGGGACTCGAGTCCAGCTAACTTAGTCTGGAATCTAGCCCCAATACGTTGCACTTATTTAACTACTCTCTGTGTGGCTTCATACTTGGGTTAAGAGGAGTCCTTTCAGGGCAGCCTGGGACACCACACTTAAGTCAACTCTGTGGTCCTTTTATGAGGAACAATGCTATTTGGACCCCTCTCACCTGTGCATGGCTTGGAGACCAGGAACCAAGTCATTGCTGTAGTGCCACCAGATTTCAGGGTGAAAATCCCTCTTGCTCAAGCCACTGGCAGGTCAGCTACAGCATCATCAGTCCATTGGTGGGCCCCCAAGTCCCAGTCCCCCAGTATGGTGGCCTGTTCCAGTAAGTGTTGCATCTCTCAGCGCTTCCTCGAAGCCGGACAGATGTCCCTGTTGAGGCATTCACTGCAGCGTGGATTTACAGGTAAGCAGACTTGCTGCCCAAACCCAACAAGAAGCCAGTTTATCTCACTCCAGAGATCTCTAGGAGGAGAAGGAAGGGAAATGTTCATTAATCATTATTATTAATTTGATTAATCACCCACCCTTCACCCTAAGGATACAGGAGTTGTAGTTCAGAAAGATTTGAAGGGTCATTGGTTAGCTGCCCCTGGAGCTTATCTGAAGGCCTAACCCTGTGGTAAATTTTGTATGGGAGAAGGGAAGCCTTCAGACGTCCTCCTCTGAGGCCGTTTAGGGCTCTGAAGATGGAAAACACCACTTTGAATTGGGCTCCGAAATGGAATGGGAGACAATGAAGATGGGATGTTGATCATAAAGCCAAACTGTTGTTAAAACAAGCCACAGCTCGTAAGCCAAAAACAAACCATGACTTCACATTTTGCTTAGGCTAAACAAACTATGGCTTGGCATCATGTGTGGCCCAGGTCACTGAATTAAAAAAAAGAAACAGAGAGAACACAGAATTGACCCTGACTGCCTCACCTGGGGAGCCACTCTTCCAGAGCCAGCCGAGTCTCCTCAGGAAGCTTGGTTTCCTTCTTTGCCCACTTCAACCTGTTGGAAATCCGGTGCACGTGTGTGTCCACACCTATGGAAAATGGTGAGTAGAGTCAGGGGAGAGGAGATCCCATATTCATTTCCCAGAATAGTTAGAGGATATTTGACCCCTACCTGAAGGAAAGGATGGTTTTGTCTTTGAGAGGAGCTTTCGACCAGAGAAGGGCTGGGGGACCCGTGGCCCTACAGATGTTGCTAGACTTCCAAGTTCCAGCACCACTGGCTGCTGGCCCAGCTGGCCGGGGGGCTGATGGGAGTGGGAGTCAGGAAACTGGAGGGCCACAGGTTTCAGATAGTCACTGGGCTGTCAGTAGCAGATACAAGAACATACTGCTTCACATAGTACATAGTTAAATTGTGGAACTGTGGAGGCAGTGATGGCCACCAACCTAGGTGGCTTTCAAAGAGGACTGGACAAATTCATGGAGGAAAGCGCTATCAATGGCTACTGGCCATGATGGCTATGCTCTGCTTCCAAATTTAGAGGCAGCAATGCTTCTGAATACCAGCTGCTGAGAACTACAGGAGGGGAGAGGGCTCTTGTGCTCAAATCCTGCTCGCTGGTTTCCCACAGGCATTTGGTTAGCCACTGTAAGGATAGGATGCTGGGCTAAATGGGCCATGGGTCTGATCCAGTAGGTTCTTCTTATGTTTTGAGGGATACAACACAATGTTTTGATTTTGAAAATCCAAGTGTGTTCAATTCATTTTAATATACTAATGTTTTGGATTGCGGAAAATAATGCTTTCTGAATTGTGCCTTGCCGGTGTATTGTAAACCAGGGGGTTCCCAAACACTGGTCTGAGGACCACAGTGGTCCGTGAACTTCATTCAGGTGGTCCACAGCATGCCTGTGAAGATCAGGACCTGCTGCTGTGAAGTGGCAGGTGGAAGGAAGCAACTTTTGGAACCAGAAATGGAAATTTCAACATCCTTATTAGGGCAAGACCTTTATTAGGCCAACCCAAATAGTCTGGCTACCTGGTAAGCAAAAGTGGGGGGAGGGGGGAAAATAATGCCCCTTTTAATGCCCCTTTTGAGTCTGCATTTTGTAAGAGTCTTAAGTCAGAAGCTCGGAGGAGGCATTCAGAAGAGGCTCACAGGTGCCATGCAGGTATCAGGTTGCCTCAAGGCCTCAAATATAACAATGGCTGATTCCCCACCTTTGAAATTACTGGGCACTGTCTGTCACCCAGCACTGCCGCCATCTCTGGGCGAAACACACAGGCTCCTTGATTAATCGGGAAGGAATTCCAGCAGAGAACCCCGAATGATATTCTCCCCACCCTCAGTTTTTAATCAACTGGTTCCTGAAGTCCCATTCATCAAGAATCAGCCCTCCCAGGTTTCCTGTAACCAGCAACCTAAAATGTTAATTGGAAGTACTGTTAAAATAAAAAAGGTGGGTTAGCGCAAGCATGGGCCATGGAGCCACAGCGCCACCTCCTGCCTATAGCAGGATTGCACCACAGTCCCAAAATCCAAGGTAGGCCTCCTCACAGGAATTGTTTTGAAATGACAGCTATTCATTTGAAAAGCACAGGTGCGGCATAGATTCTAACACTGAATTCAATGGGGCTGCTGAGTAGACATGGTTATGATTGCTCTGTAAGTGTGTGAGCCACAAAGGACCCATTTCACCTCTGCTTCAGGTGGCCTTAGACAAACTATGTACATAAGAAGAACCCATATAGTCTAGCATCCTGTTTTCACAGCGGCTACCCACATGCACCAGAGGGAGACCTGCAAGCAGGACCCGCATACAAAAGCCCTCTCCTCAGGCAAAAACGCTCAAGGGGCGTGTGAAGCAAGACTGGTGAGGGTGTGTGGCCTGGGGAATGTTACAAGGGCCAGACAGATAGGCCCAAAGGGCCACATTTGGCCCCTAGGCCCAAGAGTCCCCATCCCGGATCCTTCTAGAAGCTCCGATTCCTAGAGCAAATGAGTTGGCCCTGCTAAGAGAAAAATGGAAACAGTACCGATTCCAGAGATGTCCTGCCAGGCAATGTCCATCACCAAATGGGCCATCTTGGGTCCAACCCCTGGGAGTTTCACCAGCTCCGCCAGTGTCCTTGGGATGTCTCCAGCATAGTCCTCCTTCAGAATTGCTGTGGTCTGCTTGATGTAGCTCACTTTCCGCTGTAGTCAGTGAAAAATGGGGGGATGCACACTGGAGGTTTAGCCAGCTGACCTCAGGCAATGGAGGGAATAAGGGGGCTGACTGTAAGGATTGAGGGGCCCGGATGAAAGCAGGGACCACAATGACAATGGAATCTAGCAGGGATGTGCTTTCAGAACCGCAAGGTAGAAAGGATTATTAAGCCCCTTGGTAAGGAGGCCTCTCTGGTCTGAACCAGACTCACAACATTTGGTGCCTCCTCTCCTTAAACAGCTTCCACAACCCAGCTGGTCATTAGGACCACTTGTAATTACAATCTTGAACCTGTTTGATTATTTCCTCCTCCCATCCAATAGATTTTTCTTTTGTGCTATTGATTACTTAATACTGAAATACAGGAAGCCCACAACTTGCGCACATTTAACTTGTGTGGATTCAGCTTCACATGCATGGCAATTTTTTTATTTTAAAAAGAAGTGGAAAGTGGTAGGGGTTCTGTGAAAAATGACTTTGGCAATCCCACCTCCATTAAACCCAGTGAGTGTTGAGTACACACAATTTTGGCTTTAGGTGCGATCCCTGGAATGTAAGCCCCATGTACGTTGTGGGCTTACTGTAATAGAAAAGTTATACTATTTCATGCTACAGTCGAGAAAGCATTAAACAGTCCTAAAATAAATCTTTGCTCCATATGATTTGTAAAGGCGGGTGGGATACATAAACTTGCAAACTGTTCTGATTTCTGTCTCCCCTCCCTTAATCTTACTATTTCTGTAACTTTAGACATCAAAGTGACATACCATATTGTATTAAAACCACTCGTGTTCTTTCAGCATTTTGGGAGGGTACCACTTAGGGACTAATATCAATTTTCCTCCTCTTAAGAAGTCTCCAGCTAGAGTAAGATGCTCTGAACATACAACATTTTTCAGATATCCCACGAGAATCTTAATGGGTTTGGTGGTATGAAAGAACCAATTACAGTTAAACTGTGGAATCCATTCTTACAGGAGGCAGTGAGCGCCATCAATTTGCATGGCTTCAAAAGAGGATTAGACAAATTCATAGAGGAGGATAAGGCTATCAATGGCCACAATCCATAATAATAATAATAATAAATAATTAAATAATTTATATCCCGCCCATCTGGCTGAGTTTCCCCAGCCATTCTGGGCGGCTTCCAATTGAGTGTTAAAAACAATTCAGCATTAAATATTAAAAACTTCCCTAAACAGGGCTGCCTTCAGATGTCTTTTAAAGATAAGATAACTGCTTATTTCCTTCACATCTGAAGGAAGGACATTCCACAGGGCGGGCGCCACTACCGAGAAGGCCCTCTGTCTGGTTCCCTGTAACCTCACTTCTCGAAATGAGGGAACCGCTAGAAGGCCCTCGGTGCTGGATCTCAGTGTCCGGGCTGAACGATGGGGGTGGAGACGCTCCTTCAGGTATACAGGACCGAGGCCGTTTAGGGCTTTAAAGGTCAGCACCAACACTTCGAATTGTGCTCGGAAACGTACTGGGAGCCAATGCAGATCTCTCAGGACCGGTGTTATGTGGTCCCAGCGGCCACTCCCAGTCACCAGTCTAGTCGCCGCATTCTGGATTAACTGCAGTTTCTGAGTCACCTTCAAAGGTAGCCCCACGTAGAGCGCATTGCAGTAGTCCAAGCGGGAGATAACTAGAGCATGCACCACTCCACACCACACCAATGGCTATGCTCTACCTCCACTGTCAGAGGCAGGAAGCTTCTGAACACAAGCTGCTGGGAATTGGAAGTGGGGAGAGCTGTTGTATTCAGGGCCTGCTTGCAGGCTTCCCATTGGGGCATCTGGTTGGTCACTGTGAGAACAGGATGCTGGGCTGGATTGGCCCCCTTTAACCTGACCCAGCAGCTATGATCTTCAGACGTTCACATTTTCTAAAGTCTTTAAAGCTGTTCTCCCAACCGCAACTCTGCCAAACACAAATATAACCAGCTTCATTTCCTCAAAATGCCCAGCGCTCATTACTAAGATTAGGGCAATAAAAATATTGGCTTAATGCTCTTCCTCTTTCCTATTCTCTCAAATGGCTCACCTTCCAAAACCCCACAGGGTAGATGAGCTGGCCTAGAGTCACGTCATCAGTCTCCAAGATGTTGTCCACAGTGAGGCCATGCTCCCTCAGGCGCATCATGGCCGCCGAAGTCACCTGATCTTTGGTTTGGCTGGAGAGCATGAGTGACAAGAGGACCTGGTAGCGCCTAACCTACAGTATGGTATGGAGATGGAAGGTGATCATCACAGGATATCATCTTTCGTCAGATCTACTTTGTTTTTTTGCTAGAACCACCTAGGGGCCATATTTCTTGATAGGCAACGTATGCTAGTAATGGGCAGGGCCAAAAGCAAAAGTACCGTATTGTTTGCTCTATAAGACTCACTTTTTCCCTCCTAAAAAGTAAGGGGAAATGTGTGTGCGTCTTATGGAGCGAATGCAGGCTGCACAGCTATCCCAGAAGCCAGAACAGCAAGAGGGATTGCTGCTTTCACTGCCCAGCGATCCCTCTTGCTGTTCTGGCTTCTGAGATTCAGATTTTTTTTTCTTGTTTTCCTTCTCCAAAAACTAGGTGCGTCTTGTGGTCTGGTGCGTCTTATAGAGCAAAAAATACGATGGTTAGAGCAATGGATGTGGCTAGAGCCTTTACATCCCAGCTATGTAAAAGCCAGAGGTTTCTACACACACAGATTTCTCTGCGGTCTTCCATCCAGGTAAATGGATGGAAACATTATCAGGGTTCAAGGGCAGATCTCAGCCAGGCAAAAACATTCAAGGAGGGTGCAGAGCAGGGCCAGTGAGTGGTTAGCTTTCCTAGCATCAGGTGGGAAAACCCATGTTATCATTGTTAAAACCAGATCTGTTCTACAAACAGATCTCAACCTCTATCTGCTGCCCAGTCCTGCTCTATGAGGGCAGGAAGGCAGACAATGCAACCTGCCAAGATCCTTCTTGCTCCTAAACATGTGCAGTTCAGCTCAGTTTTGAGCTCTCTCCTCACCTCTGGAGGAGCATCACTGTCAAAGCATTTCCCAGCACCCATCTGGTCCACAGGGGCATCTCTCTCCTTCCTCATTTCTCGGATGTTGCTCAGGTGCTGCTCCCAGTTTTTTGGTTCCCACTTCTGCTTCTTGCCCTCTCCTTCGTTTGTCTTGCCCAGACCATTTCCTCCGGGAGAGTCATAGGCAACACTGACTGTCTTCTGCTTTCGGTGGATCTTTGTGCAGAAGGTTTCACTCAGTGCAGGAACACCCCCTTCCCCCCCTGCAAAAAAGAGAGGGAGGGAATATTGAACTGCAGATAACTCCATACCCTCCAACATTTCTCCAATGAAAATAGGGACATCCTAAGGAAAAGTGGTACATTCCAGGATCAAATCCGAAACCGGGGCGGCTTCTCTAAATCACGGACGTCCCTGGAAAAGAGAGACACTTGGAGGGTCTGTGCTTTGCATGCAGAAGGTCGCAGCATCAATCCCCAGCGGTATCTGCAGGTAGGACGGGGGTCGGGGTAAAAACTCCCCGCCTGAAAGCCTAGACTAGAGCCATTGCTGCCAATTCCTGTAGGCAAAACTAGGCTAGGTAGACCAATGCTCTGACTCAATAGAAGTCTCAGGGGGCTCAGCCCAAGCCCCCTAGCTCTTTCCCCCAGAGGCAAGAAGCCTCCCTCACCCCCTTGCCGGGTCTGACCTCTCCTTTTGCTCAGCTGCAGCCGGGTGGAGATCCCGCGACTCGCGCACATGCCTCCGCCTGGACCCCAGAACTACAAGCCCCACAATGCCCCGCGGCGGCCGCCGGCGCATCCACCGTCTCTGCCTCGCACACCAAGCCGGAAGTGGACCCGCGTTTCCGGTGGAAGGGGGCGGGGTCTATGGGCTGAGGAGGAGGAGGAGGCGGCGGCGGCGGCGAGTGGGACGGGGGGTGGGTTTTGGAGTATGTGTGTTTATGTGGGGGGCTAGGAGCATAGGAGGTGAGTAGCCTCACTGGGAGCAAGGGGTGCCATGGGGATAACAAGGTGCTGGGGGCTCTGGAGCGAATTGGGGGTTGGGAAGGAGGGAGCAGCAAGCCTCTTGCCCTCCCCTCACTGACTTTCTCCCCACCTGGCCTACCTCACAGGGTGGTTGTGAGGGTATATTTTTTTTGTGGGGGAGGGAGGAATAGAGACTGTGTGCACGTCCTGCCTTTTGCTCCTTGGAGGAAAGCTAGGATGTAAATAAATATGTAAACATGTAATGCCTGTATGGTTGCAAAGTTTGTTGTCTGTGGGGGACAGCCTGGCCTACCTCATCGGGTTGTTGTGACGATAAAGGTTTTGGGGCTTAGACCCATGTGCAGCTGCATTGATTGGAAAAGGCTTAACGGAAATGGTGTTAAACGTGTAACAGCAGCTGTGACATGAGGGTGTTTTGTGGAGACAAATAATGAATTAGCTTCTGCAAAGACAGAGGTGGTGGTGGTGTCACCAAGATTTCCAGGGATGTCCTGGGTTTGTCTTACCTCCATGAGCATGCTAGGAGCAAATGGCTATGCATGTGTTTTGCAATCTCTTAACTTGCAGGCCAGTTTTAGAGAGGGGAACGTGTGCTGCTAGCAAGCAATGCATTATCCCATTATGACACTGAGTTCTGCAGAATTTGTTGTGCATGGAAACAGCTTTCAGAATGGTGGCCCTCCTGCTAGTCTTCTCTTAAGAGTCTTATAGTGTCACTGAGATATTTGGACCAGCCAAGGTTCTCTGGTGAAGTGGATGCAGCTGTATAACCTGCCTCGGGGTTGTGGTGAGGACAAGAACTGTAAAGCACTTTTATGTTGGGAGTAGCATAGTGGAAAAATACTCAAGATAACTACAATAAATGAAATAAGAGCTGTTTCAATAAAATCTGTAATAGTAGTAGTAGTTGGCATCTGTCTTGAGAGACAATGGAGTGCACCTCCAGAGGTGGTCAAACCGCTGCATTAGCAGCACTGAAGTGACCTCCCCTGGACCCAAGTCTGGGCAGTGTGTATGGAAGTCCTGGGCTGCCCCCCTCTTTCTTGCTGATGTGGTCCAAAGGAAAGCAGAGCAATATGTTTGGCACTAGCTTGGCTGCAATGAGTTGCCGGGAGGTGTACAAGGCGCCTTCCAACTGTCTTAGGGACTCTACTCTGGTTTTATGTACGGTTTACTCCTTAGCCTTTTCTTCTCTCAAAGTTATCCCACAAGGCAGTGGAGGTTTAGAATCAGAGTTTTCTTTCTTCTAATTGGGCTACCTTCCCAGGTTGATGAGCCCCATCTGCCCCTCACGTCTGTCACTACAGCATGTGAAGAAACCACATTCTTGACCGTTGGACCCACAGTTGGTCTTGTCTCAATCCACCGGCGCCTGTCTTTGCATGCAGGGAAAGTCCCTAACTCATTGAGGGTTTGAGACCCATGGGCTACCCTCACCTGCTTTAACTGGCCAGTCAAAGCCATTCCTGGGGTGTGGCCACTGTTGCATGCTGACAGCTTCTAGGAGCCACAGGTGAGAGCTGAGTGCAGGGTGGGGACCAAAGGTGGACAAACTACCTCAGAAGAAGCATGTGTCCTCCACCAGAGTATTGTCCCTCTCCTAACACCCCATCTATTAAAAGAAAAGAGAGCTGTTTGACAATGGAACAGATGATCTCAGGAGGTGGTAGACTCTCCTTCATTGGAGGTTTTTACACAGAAGTTGGATGACCATCTGATTATTTAGCTGTGATTACTGCATTGCAGGGGGTTGAGCTAGATGACCCTTGGGACCCCTTCCAGCTCTACAGTTCTGTGATTCTATGACTTTGGTTTGCATAGCCTCCCTCCTGCCCCCAAAGACTAACAAATGTATTGTGATGGGGGCATTTGATTTAGTTATAGTGACTATGCCTGCTTTACCATGTCACTTTGTTCCTATTTCAGTTGGAAGATGGTTTATGAATCTTATTAAATTTATATATTGTCTTTCCTCCAAAGTGCCTAAGGCAGCATACACCCCCTGCCCTTGTGAGATAGGTTGGGCTGAGAGACAGAATGACTGGCTGAAAGTCACCCAGTGAGTTTCAGTGCTTGAGGAGAGAATTGAACCAGAGGCTTCCAAGTACAACACTTTTAACTGCTATGCCACACTCACTCTCTGTGGGTACATAGGAAGTTGTCTTATACTGAGTCAGGTCCTTGGTCCATCTAGCTCAGAATACTGACTGGCAGCGGCTTTCCAGCATTTCTGGGAGGGGACATTCCCAGCTCTACCTAGAAAAGCCAAGGATTCAACCTGGGAATTTCTGTGTGCAAAGCAAATGCTCTACCACTCCAAATATGATACGCTCATAATATAAATGGATGATGTACTCTGGCTTTGCAGTCTGTGTCACATGAGGCTCCGATCCAGTGCTTGGCAGGTGCTTTGATGAGCATGTGGAACTACTCCACCCATTGAGCCCTTGGAGCAGCTTATGCATTCTATTGGATGCACACATGGCACTGTCTTCAAGGAGTGGAACCTCTGCTTGTATGGAGCACACTGTGTATCTATGGAGCATCTGTGTTGCACTAACTATATGAAGAAACGTGGGGCTGTTGACTATGTTCTGCTGACGGTGCCATCCTCTGTCTTCTACTTGCACAGGTTCCTTGATTCTTTCTTAGTTAACGATGGCAAAGCCACAAAGCAAAGATCCTGGCCTAAAGGAGAAGTTCAAGAATCTCTTAGGACTTGGGAATTCCAAATCTAATTCCAAGTCATCGGAAGGAAAGCAAACGGAATTTGTTATCACAGCAGAAATACTCAAGGTAACACACGAATATACTGGATGCCTGATTTACATCAGGAGCTGGAAATTAAAAGAGGGCAAAGGCTACCTAAGCAGGTTAAACACAGGAGGCAGAGAGGCAGTGTCCTGTTCTATGGTGTGGCAAGCCCAAGGATGGGTACAGAGCTAGGCAGGGCTCAGGCTGGGTGCTAGACCAGTTGAGGCAAGGCTAACAAAAGCTCAAATGGAGGCTGAGTCCAAGATAAGGTGGAGGCTACATCCAAAGTGTTAGCTTCACCCATGCTGGAAGGTGATATTTTATCTAAAGCACTCCAGCCTTTTCCAATAGCCTCTTACTGCCTCTGTCCTTATTGGATCATCTGCAGTGGAGTCCTTCATGTCAGAGGATAGCAGTGCCATATCCTCTGTCTGGAGGGATGCTGGTTCTACTGTCTTATCCAGTAGCAGTGCTCCTGGGGTTGGCCCTCTGTGCCCTTCCCCTTCTGGTTCAAGAATCTTCAGCCTCCTCACTTGAAAGAGGAGCCTGATGGCTGGTCGCTGACAGACAAAACTCTTCCATTTCCACTTTTTGATGACACTGCATTTATCTACCTGTGAATTACGATTAGTGCCATCTGTTTGCTTGCTGTTGAGAGTTCTGGCAGTCTCTTTGTATGGTGACAATATGCTGATCATTGGCCATGACCCCACACAAGAAGAGATCACAAAAGCAGAGGAATTGTTTTATTTGAGCTCAGTGTTGCCATTGAGAAAGCACATACACATCTTAAATAAAAAACAAATTGGTTTAGATATTAATCACATTTTTACCCTGCCCTTGCTTGTGGGGCTCAGAACAGCATTTTAGCTGTGAGGTTATTTGGGCTGCAAGCAACTTGTGATGGTTTAAAGCTGCCTTCTTTTCCTTTCAGGAACTGAGCGTAGAATCTGGCTTGAACAATCGGATAAGAGCAATCGGTCAAATCTGTGAGGTAGCAAAAACTAGAAAGTTTGAAGATGTGAGTACATGGGCAGAAAACTGTTGAATGTATAAGGAAGTTACACCAAAATGCCCCTTCCCCACAATGGACAGTGAGGTGTGAATGTGGGGAGTAACCTGGAGTTTTCTGTGCCCTCAGCATGCAGTGGAAGCCATCTGGAAAGTGGTTGATGATATGCTGCAGCCCGACCGACCAGCTGAAGCCAGGCATGCTGTGCTCCACCTCCTGAAGGCAATTATTCAAGGGCAGGTAAGACACAGAGTGCACCTGAGGCATGCAGAACCTAGACACTGTGAATGGGACTATGGACTAGCAGAAAACATGATTTCCAAATTCCAGTAGCCACAATTTGTCAAGAAGCCACTCCTCTCATCTTTTAGGGCGAGGGGCTCGGTATCCTCCGAGCTCACTTTTTCAAAGTGATTAAAGATTATCCTTCTAATGAAGACATGCACGAACGGCTTGAAGTGTTCAAGGCTCTTACGGATAACGGAAAATGCGTAACGTATTTGGAAGAAAATTTGGGTATGTCCCCTTTTTAGCCACTAATTTAATCGGGGCAAATTCTTGCTCAGAGAGGAGAGTGACCAAAACCTGCAATGTGTCTTAGTTAATGGAACATTCAATTTACTTGTGCTATACAAAAAATATTTTTAGTTAATATGCTTTGCATGTAGAAGGTTCCCGGTTCAGTCACTGAACTGAACTTCTACGTAGGGCTAGGAGTGTCCCCTGTCTGCAACCCTGGAGAGCTGCTGCCAGTCAGTGTCAGCAAGACTGAGTTAGATGGACAAGACTGAATAAAAGGAACCAATGGCTCGACTTGGTATAAGGCAGCTTCCTTTGTTCCTGTAAGTTAACCCCCCAATAATGAATCCCAGATCTGAATCATACACACATAGTTTGACACCGAGGCAGGTTTAAAGGTCAATGAAATAAATACAGCAGCATATGTCTCCTCTGTGGGTGGGCTGGTGGTATTTCCTTCATGCTTGAGGACTTCCCAGGAGTACTTGGCTGCTCATTAGTGGAAGCAGAATGCTAACCCAGAAGGACCTTTGACCTGGTCCAGCAAGGCGGTTCTGATGTCCCTGCAATAAGACATGTCTGGTGAATATCTGGATGGGTCAGGTGGAAGCACGAGAGGTACATCTGTCACGGCTGTGAAACACCTTCTGGGATTCAGAAAACAGGAGGTGTTACAGCAAGTTGAAAACAAGTTAATTTGTAGTGATTTTGTTTCCAGGCTGCATTCCTCTTTTCTTCTCCTTCAGCTGAATTTGTCCTTCAGTGGATGGATATTGGTTTGAATTCAGAGTTCCTGCTGGTGCTGGTCAACCTAGTCAAGTTCAATAGCTGCTACTTGGATGAATATATCGCTGACATGGTCAAGTAAGGCTAATCTTTAAACCTTCTGTTGGTTCTAAGAAACCCTGTTTGAGGGTTAAATTGGCAGTCTGACCTCCATGTGAACCCCATATTTTCATCTCTAGGTAGGGCTGGGAAAGACCCCTGCCTGAAACCTTGGATTGCTGCTGCCAATCAGTGCTGATGATACTGAGCTAGATGGACCAATGGTCTGACTAGGTAGAAGGCAGCTTCCTATGTGCCTAATCATAAGTACATGTTGATGAAGGAGAATTTGGTCAGGGCAACCAGCTCTTGTATCTCTGGGATGGCGTGGGCTTCCTGGTAGGGTTGATCCCGTAGGTTTAGAAATTTTGCCCTGGAGGGCTAGATCTTTACTTTTATGTTTTTCTTTCCTACAGCATGATTTGCCTCTTATGCATTCAGACATCTTCTGCAGTTGACATTGAGGTCAGTAGTTATGTGTAATACTATGGGTGTTAGGACAAAGTGCCATTATAAATAGGAGAGCAATATTTGTGGTGGTGCTTTCTTAAAACACTTCTGCCCATTCTCCCTTCCGGTTCCCATAACTGGAATTCCCTCCAGAATCCTCTGGGATGTCAAACCTTTCTGTCTCAACAATCCCTCTTTGGAACCAACTTATTCTGTTAATTTGTCGTTTGTTGTCTCAAGTGGAAACAGTATTCCCCTTCTCTTGATTATTAGCAGTGGGGTTGTGGTTTGGGACAGAGTTGAAGCTGGACTGTAAAATCTCGGCTGTGGAACTCTCTTCCTACTGAAATTAGAGAGTTCCCCTTGCTGTTGAATTCAGATGCATGACTAAGATTTTCCTGGTTCAGCAGGCATGTAAAGGTAGTTCTCTGTTTGTTTGTTTCTGTCTGTTTGAGAGCCAGCGTGATAAAGTGGTTAGGGTGTTGGACTAGGACCTGAGAGACCAGGGTTCAAATCCCCATTCTGCCAGGAAGCTCACTGGCTGACCTTGAGCTCAGTCACTGCCTCTCATCTAGCCTAATACAGCCTAGCCTGTTGTTGTGGGGATTAGAGACGCGGGTGACACTGTGGTCTAAACCACTGAGCCTTTTGGGCCTGCCAATTGGAAGATTGGCAGTTTGAACCTGTGCTACAGGGTGAGCTCCCGTTGCTCTGTCCCAGCTTCTGCCAACCTAGCAGTTCAAAAGCATAGTAGATAAATAGGTACCGCTCCAGCAGGAAGGTAAACAGCGTTTCCGTGTGCTGCTCTGGTTCGCCAGAAGTGGCTTAGTCATGCTGGCCACATGACCCGGAAGCTGTCTGTGGACAAATGCCGGCTCCCTCGGCCAGTAAAGCAAGATGAGCGCCGCAACCCCAAAGTCGTTCGCGACTGGACTTAATGGTCAGGGGTCCCTTTACCTTTACCTTTAGGAGGACCGTGTACACTACTTAAAGCTCATCAGAGAAAAAAAAGTGCATTTTTTTAAAAAAAAAAAATTAATCGTTCTTGTTCTTTGTATTTCTTTTTTTAAAAGCACTTCATGTATTTCATATGGAAATCCTGAAAATTAAATGTTTTAAAAGTATCTGAAATAAATAAGATTAATGATACTGTTCCAAGGCAATCACATTCCTTTCCCCCCTTCCCAGGTTTCCCTGCAGGTCCTTGACGCCGTGGTGTGCTACAACTGCTTGCCTTCGGAAACCCTCCCAGTCTTCATAATCACCTTGTGCCGGACGATCAACGTGAAGGAACTCTGTGAGCCTTGCTGGAAGGTCCGTTATCTTGCCAGTTCTCTGGGTAGAAGGCAGTTCGGTGGTCCTGGGGGAGAAAAGGCTGAATATAGGAAGCTATTTAGCCGTGTAGGCTAAATAGATTCATAGAACTGTAGAGTTAGAACGTACCCCCAGGGGTCATCTAGCCCAACCCTCTACAATGCAGAAATCCCAGCTAAAGAATGCTTGGCAGATGGCGATCAGACCTTTCTTTAAAACCTCCAGTGAAGGAGAGTACACCACCTTCTCAGGTAGTCTGCTCCACTGTATCAACGGTTCTTAGCATCAGAAACCTCTGCCTATGGTTGAGTTATAGAAACACAGAATCACCGAATTGCATAGTTGGAAGGTATACCAAGGGACATCTAGTCCACCCCCAGGAGATCTAGCTACCCCCAAGGCTTCTGCATGCATTCACTGTGCTGAAAAACCAAAGGTGGTGTTTTGCACCAAGATCATTCTTGCAATATCTTTTCCAAACTGTTAAACTTGATGATTCATTATCTTGCAACTAGAATTGTGCAAATCTTGTATAAATTCCTTATTTCTACTGCAGGGTTTTGTACCAGACTTTGCACTTTCTATAATTTTTCAGTGCATAAATTTTGTGCATTTCTTTTTTCTTTTTGTCAGTTTGTGTGTGTGTGTGCGTTCATGCATGTATGTGCGTGTGCAGAATTCCGAGGGATTTGCTTCCGTTTAACAACATGCTTCTGTTTGTCCTTCAGCTCATGCGCAATCTGTTAGGAACTCACTTGGGGCACAGTGCCATTTACAACATGTGCCGGATCATGGAGGACAGGTACTTCTGTGCCACCTGCTGAAACCTCTGCTTTCCCTGGGGCTGGGAGCAAGCGCAAAGTTGGGTGCCACGCTGGTACAAGAGAACTGCTTTAATGCTGCCCCAAAGATTGTAGGGGTACAGGGGTTAACCCCACTCTTGACATCCTAGGGCAGGCAGCTGGACTTGCAAGCTTTGCATGGAATTCTTTGTGAGACCAATGCTCAGTGGTGGTTCACTGAGGAAGGCTTGGATAGGGCTGTCTTAGCAGCTATCCAGACAGAGAGAAGAGCTCTTGATATTTATCCCCCAAGTCCTACTACAGGCAACTCCCCATTTACACAGGGGTTATGATCTGAGGCACCGCACGTTTAAGTGAAATCGCCTATATTTGGAAAAAAATGGAAAAAGCCTGCAAACGCCACAATCACTCCCTCTAAACCTCCTTGCTCAAACTCTCCATAGGCCTCCTGAGTTTGCACTTGCAAAGGCTCGTGGGATTGCTAGACACTGTTTTTGCACCCTTTTTGCTGTTTCTTCTCTCTTTTAGGGCCGTTTTTGCTCCTTTTCGTGCCACTTGCAGGTTTGCAGCGACGCACGGCCATGTGTGACTTGAATGCGCATAAATGGGGAGTTGCCTGTATATCGTCATCACTGTTGGAAGTTTTAGAAATCCAGATGACACTGACCCCATAGGGCCAGGTGTGCACCGCAAGGAGGTTGGGAGGAGTGGACTTGTGCTGATAGGAGCAAAAAAAATGAAAGATGGCTCTGGCCCCTCCCTCCCCCTTTCTCACTGGTACTGATTTAAGGAAGATCCTGAAGCCCATGTCTGAGACCCACTAATTGTGGTCAAAATTCCCATGTTTGCAGGACCTACATGGTAGATGCCGCACTACTGAGAGGGGCTGTGTTTTTCGTGGGCATGGCTTTGTGGGGAGCGCACAGGCTGCAGTCACTCAGGAATTCGCCAACTTCAGTACTGCCCTCCTTTCTGAAGGTAATTCTGAGCCCTTCGAACCAGGATCATGCGGGTGATAGATGGTGGAGGTTTAGATTAATATCCTGGCTCAGGTGTGAAGTTTTCTGGGTGATCTTGGGCTTATTACTGCCTCTTAGACCAGGGGTTGGCAAGGTTTACCAGTTCACTCCAGCGGAGATCTTTCCGTGGGCCGGATTGTGCGCGTGCGTAAGTGTGCACACTCGTGATTTCCGGTGCTGAGGAAGCGAGTCCCCGTTCCGTGCTGCGCCAGTTTAGTGCAGTGCGTGGGGACTCGCTGAGTGGGTGGCTTGGTTCGGGAGCGGCTTATGGGCCAGTTAAACAACCCCCGTGGGCCGCTTGTGGCCCATGGGCCTTAGGTTGCCTACCCCTGGCTTAGACTAACCTACCTCATAGGGTTGTTGTGAGAGGATCCCTGTACAGTGCTCCTCAGAGAAAGGATAAAATGCAATAAACAAATCTTGGGGAACATGAATTCAGAGGGAACCCATGGGCTACTGAGCTGTGTGTTGGAAAAAGCCAAAGATACCTGCAGTCACTGTTTCATCTGTGACCACACTTCTGTTCAGTGTGGTTCAGTTGCACCACTTTCAGCCTTTTCACTTTTGGCTGGAAATTGTCTTTATAGTGGGTTTGCCAGGGCTCAGAAGTTCCTTTCTTTACTCCTGAGTAGCAGCCTGCACTTTCTGATCTTGCTTGTGTACCTGAAATCTCTCTGGCAGTTTTCCCACACATGTTATTAGTTTTGGATGGCAGCGTTGCATAGCCTTCAGGCTAGTGGAATCTACCTTTTCAGTATAAGCCATGAGGTGCATAACCTAAAACCAGGTGCAAAATCATGGCTTAGGAAGGCAGGCATAGAATTGCAAAGTGTGGGACTATGCTCTGAGCACAGTCTGGGAACCCAAGCTTTCCTGATTTCAGCAGACTAGAAGGGGGAAAAATACTTTTTGTTGTTGCTATTGTTACAACTGTTGGGAGTTGGAAACAGTTTCTGCTCTATGAATCACTTGGGAGGTCTTCCAGGAAACCTTGATCTCCCTTCTGACTACTCCAGTTGTATGGCACTTAACATACTTTTCTGGGCGCTTCCTTCTTGAAGTGTCCTAACCCAGTGGAACCAGCAAATGGGCCCTCTGTCATTCAGGTGGTCCCAATATGTCAGTTCCTTACTTGGGGCTTTCTCTCCCCCTTCCAGGCCATGACGAGTCCGAATACCATTGTGTCTTATGAAATAGTCCTTTCCATCACAAGACTGATCAAAAAATATGGGAAGGACCTCCAGGCAGTCACTTGGGACATCCTCCTGAATATCATCGAGCGGCTGCTCGAGCAGCTGCAGGTAAATGGGAAGCCCCTTTTGTTTTATTTTTAATACTGTTTTTGCAAACGTAACAGAAAAAAGAGAACCATCACCAGCTGGCATTGCGAATAAAATATTCTGACTTAAACATATTAATATAGAAAGTCCATATGTCCAAATGGCATCCAAATGAGAGCAAAAATGATAAGCTATACTTTCAGGCGCAGAAAGGGCAGTAAAATCTTCAGACTGCTGAATAGCAGATGATGGTGATGGCGATGATGATGATAATAATGATGATGATAACAATAATAATGATATTTATACGCCGCTCATCTGACTGGGTTGAGTGCTTATTTTTCCAGCCTTGCAATAGTAGTCTCTGCAGCCATAAGGTCTCACAGAATCAATGTCCGTTGTTCTAACACCATGGAATAGAATTTAAAGAGGCTATTTTGGATGTGTTCTGGGGGGAGGGGTGCAAAATGGCAGAGTTATTGGAGTAGGATTAGAGAAGGGTTTCACTTTCTTTAATTTCTAGCCTGCACCTGCCTGTTCTGTGTCTTTCCAAGCATCAATAAAGGATAGAGGCATAGGAGACTCTGACACTTCCTTCCGAGTTAAAACATTCAGAGTCTCGTGGCACCTTAAAGACATCACAGTTTTTTAAATGGCGTAAGCTTTTGTGGACTCAGCCCACTTCATTACATATATGAAGTGAAATCTTAGTTGGCAGATATATGGGGAAGAAAATTGTAAGGTGGAAGTTGAATTACAATGGAATGTGATAATTAGAGCTTAAATCTATGTTAACATAGGCACCCTTTTTATTGTTGCCAATTGGTGACATGGCTGAGATGATTGTATTAATGCTTGTAGTGGGGCAGGGAACCATTGGCAAGAAACAGTTGTTGATAACACAGATATTCCAGCATTGGTAACTTAACTGATGCACATGTAGTGTGATAAAAGTTATTTTGTCTTGATTTAGCCTGCAAATGACTGCACTGAGATTCTCGAGGGCTAATCAAGTTGTGTTTTCTTCCTTTCAGACCTTGGAGAGCCCAGAGCTGAAATCCATTGTCCATGACTTGCTGACCACGGTGGAGGAGCTATGTGACCAGAATGACTTCCATGGCTCTAAGAAACATTACTTTGAGCTTGTGGAGAAATGTGCAAGTCAGAGACCTGTAAGGCATGGCAATGTTTGAGAAATTTCCTGTTGTTTCCTTAGGACTTCCTTAAAGAGCACTCAGTGGAGGGGCACAGGGAACTAAAATATTTTCTTATGCAAGGGATGGGGAGGGGTGGATCCAGAAGCTGCCCTTCAGGGGGGATTTTTGGGGGCAGGTGAGCAGGGCCACTCTGGTTTTAGACAAGGGCCATTCTCAGCCCTACCTGGACCTCCAAGGACCTCCTGCATGCAAGGCAGATGCTCTGCCACTGAGCATGGGACTTCCGCTACCATTTAATAAAGTGATGACAGATCACCCTTTATATATGAGTAATCCTCAGTTTACAATCTTACTTTGTTGAACTTGGATGTTTTTTTAAGTAGTGGCCTGCCTTTCCTTTTGCTTAAAAGGAATCTTCTGTTCTGAACCTGATCACCTACCGAGCTCAGTCCATCCACCCCGCGAAGGACAGCTGGATCCAGAAGCTGCAGGGGCTGATGGACAGGTTCTTCAGGTAGGGACCCTGTAGCTCTTACCTGTGGCTCCTCTTCTCACATCTCTGACTTTCCATCCTCTGGATGTTGGTCACAACCCAGATGATTTGGGCTCCTCCTCCTTTTTGAAAACACCATTGTCCCTTTTTCCTCCTCAGGAATGAGACACGGAGTGCTATTCGCATCAAAGTTCTGCATGTTCTCTCTTTCGTCTTGAGCGTCAATAGGCAGATTTATGAGGTGAGTTTTCATTTTCACTCTGAGAAATGTTCTTTGGGTGATGTCAGACACATGTTTAAGTCTGGCAGAAGGTCACTTCCTTGAACTTCTATCAAGATAGGAAAACAAAATGGCAGCAGAGGACAAAAAAAAAAAAAGAGTTTTCAACCACAAAAATATATATTATGTATGCACACGATGACAACTATGTTCAAATTCATCCGGTGAAATATGCCACTATTTAAAATTCTTAGTAGCTCTTCAGCTTCAAATGAGAATAGCATACCTCCTCACACTAGGACAACATCCTAATAACTAAAACCAACCTTAAAAATGACACGTTACTACCCTCCAATACCAATAATTATTATACTTTCCATAGATCATGAATACAAGGACCTAAATTTTTACATTTTTTTGTATGTTTCATTCCCTTGTATTTTCATTTCCTTATTTCTTACATGTTGTTGAACTATGTTTTGTATTAAATAAAATTCATTCCTTCATTTGACTTTTTGACACCCTCAATTAAAGAGCTGTCTGGACCTTCCCCCAGCTTCCTGGCTTGCACCTTCTCAATTTTATCTTCATTCTAGTGCTTTAAAAATATTTCTACCCTGGTTTTTCATAAAACATATTCACCATACGTTTATAGAAACAGTAGAAACCTACAGTGAAAAATTACTAATACAGTATTAGCACAACTGTCAAAATCAATGTTCCACCTCTTTCTTTTACCAGCCTTGTTAAACCACTCTGTCTTAGCCAGCTCACAAAAGTCTTGTCCTGTTGCAGGAGGAGTTGATTAACCTGGTGGTCCTCTCCCAGCTGGCCCACATCCAAGAAGACAAAGACCACCAAGTCCGCAAACTGGCCACCCAGCTGCTGGTGGACCTGGCAGAAGGCTGCACCTCCCACCACTTCAACAGCTTGTTGGATATCATAGAGAAGGTGAGGCAGCTGTCAGCTCAGCTCTGGGCTTTGGCAGCAGGAGCTGTGCCTGGTTTCAGGAAGTGTCAAAAACAAGGGAAGAAATTGTGCTTTGGGGAGGGATTTGCACTATGAACTTGAGGAGCTTTGCTGGTTTGAATATCCTGTTTGGTTTTGCAAAGCTGAGTGTGTTTTTGCAGGGGGGATGGCAGTGTGTCAATTTCGGGTAATGATCTAAAGACCTTTGCCGTTGAATTTTGCATAGGCATCATCAGGTACTCTGTTTTGGATCAGGGTAGAAACCTTCAATCAACAAATTATTTGTTTCTTCTGTGTTCCGTAGTCGTCAGGACAATGGCTTGGTTATGAAACCTACAAATATTAAAGTATTAAGATTTCCTGAAGTAGCAACTCCACTGAAATCTCTGAAAATGAAGAACCAGATGGCACGTCACTGGGTGTTATGGACACAGCTAGCCACCTAACCAAGCTTGGCTGTGCTGCAGCACATGTTAGCATATTCATGTGAAGTCTGATGAAAATGGAATCTGTCCTATTTTCGTGGATGAGACATAACAGCTATAAAATAGCTGATTATCAGATCTAAAAACTCACATATGAAACTCCTTTTGGGTTCACAAGCATGGAAAACCTCCAAAACAGCCTGTTGGTCCAGGCAAAGATACCATTTTGCTTCTTCTAGAGAGATGCAGGCCTCATTCACAACATTTAAAGCTCTATGATGCTACTTTAAACAGTCCTGACTTCCCCCAAAGAATTCTGGGAGCTGTAGTTTGTTAAGAGTGCTGAGAGTTACTCAGAGACCCCCACGAGCTGCAATTCCCAATCGTTCCCAGTGAATATGGATTGATTGTTAAACCACTTGAGGATTGTCGCTCCGGGAGAGGAAGAGAGGTCTGCTAACAGCTCTCAGCACCATCAACAAACTACAGTTCCCAGGATCCTTTGCAGGAAGCCATGACAGTGGCATCGTAGTGCTTTAAATGTATGGGATGAATGTGGGTGTTGTTGCTTTGTATACTTTATGTAGCTCTGCTGTTGCCAGGGGTATTTATTCTTGCCATCCTAGCACTTTTTTTGCAATCCTTATGTAATTGTGGGCCTTGGCCCTCTGCAAAGCTTGTGTATGCTCTCTCTCCCTGAAAAGGTTGCTTCCCATTCCCTGCTGCCTCCCGCTGAACTAGAGGAAAGAGACTTGCTGTCTTACTCTGCTTCTTTAGAAGATGTGAAGACAGCAGTCCTGGGCCTTCTGGTCATTTTCCAGGTAAGTGACCAGGTTGTTGAGCCCCGGGGTGGTTTCCTCTTGGGCTTTTTAGATTAAAAATAAATAAATTCTGGCTTTCCTCTTGACAACATCTTGCTTTCCTCCTTTCAGACAAAACTCTACAGTTTCCCCCCCAGCCACGCCACCCGCGTCTATGAGATGTTGATCCTCCACATTCAGCTCCACTATAAACACAGATACAGCCTCCCAGTCGCCAGCAGCATCCGGCTGCAGGTGAGGAATCTGTGCATCTCTCAGTCCCACCTCCAAACTTGCAGGACTTGCAGGGAAGATGACAAGGAGGAGAGAACTGGCTCCAAATGGTGCTTGCAAGGGGATATTGCTGCTAACTTTCCAGAAGTTTGTTCTGATTTTGTTAAGTCCTGAGATGCAGCAATGGGTGTGATGCAGGGCACAGAGATCTCCCCCAGCCCACTTCACCAGCTGTACTTCCTCCCTCCCTTTGGCTTCTAAGATTTGAGCAGGCAATACCCACACAGTTTTCAAGCAAGGGCTGAATTCCTCCCCCTCCCTTTTTCAGTTATTCTGAGGAACTTAATTCCATGCTCAGTGTTTAACAGAGTGTGCTTTCCCCCAACTGTCACATAATCATACCCCTCAGCCCCTACCTGTAAATGTCTTGGATAACACTCTCTCTTTTATGTCCTATCAATAAATACATTTTTTTTCTGTCTGATGGAGGAGGACACCCAGAGATGGGCAATTCCTCCCAGGAAGGGAGGAATAGGCAATTCCTATACCCTGCACATTCTGCTCAGTTGATTTTTTCCTACCATTGCTGTGCTGGGTTTGGCAGAGAGGATGGCTCAGTCCAAAGTGCTCCTCCCTCTTTCTTGAATGCTCTGACCTGCTGGCAGGGGCAAAGGGGAGGAGCGGCATATCATACAGTGCCTTGCAAGTCTCGCTGCTGCTACGGATTTCACCACTCCTGCTGGTGGTAAATTGCGTCTTGGCAAATTGCTTGCTTGTCCTCGTGGTTAGGCCCCGTGGGCTACCAGTTCACTACCTTGGCCTGCAGAGTTGATGTCTCCGTCGCTCTTCTGCTCCTGTGGAACTCCCTGCTGCTTGAAGTGCAACCATCTTTTAGAAACATTGCAGGACTGCTTGGATTGGATTGAGAAGATCTCTGAACCTTCCTTGGAGCATGTGGGGGAATGCTAGGCTAATTATTTTTCTCTTGCTTATTTTTAGGTATTTGACTTCTTGCTCTCGCTTCGGGCTGACTCTCTCCACCGACTGGGCCTGGCTACCAAAGAAGGGCTCATGAAATTCAGCCCCTACTGCCTCTGTGATTTTTTGTAGGTTTTGTCTGATTGTAGCCACTGTTTCCCAAAAATAGTTCTGCTATGTTCTAATCTGAGGCTCCCTTGTACCATGCTGCCCAGAAATTGAAATCTCAATTCAATTGGTGGGCCCAGCCTCTAGCTCTGCAGTGGTGGCCCTTGTGCCTTTGGAAATCCCAGTAGGTCTGCACTGGGCAGTGACACTTCAGGGGTTTTGAAAGGCCTTTAAAGACCTATTTGTTTCAATTGGCTTTCGCATGAGTAAGCTTTCTCCCATTTACTGGATTAAGGATAGTAGATTATGTGATTGGAAGATTTGAATGGGTTTCCATTCTTTTAAAGGGTTTTGGTAGTAATGGGGTGTGTGTGTGTGTGTGTGTGTGTGTGTGTGTTGTAATGGGTTTTTATCATTGTTAATCCACTTTGCACGGACAAGTGGCATGTAAATATTTTAAAAATAAATAAAGCCACTTGGAACATGGGTTCTTCGTAAGGTAGTTGTCAGTTGTGCTTCTTCAAGACGGTATGGTCTGGCAGCAGGCTGATTTTTCCTTCTTCTTATGTCACAGGGAACCAGAGAAGAAACCTGCTGGCACCCTCTCCCCTCCCTCGGGAAGCCCCAGTGTGCCTCCCCAGAGCACGGGCATTCGTATGGGCCACTTACCTTACTCTGTTTTCTTTGGAGTCCTCCTCCAGTGCTTGAAGCAAGTGAGTGATGAACCTGGTAACTGGATCCCAAGCTGCAGATCAGGGATGGGGAACTGGATGTGGCCCTCCAGCTCTCTTTCTGGCCCTTGGGACTCTCCATAACCCATCCATGGCTCTGCCTTCTTTGGCCCTGCCCATCACTGGCATGCCTCACAAGGACTGCTCCTGCTACTTACTATCTGGCCCAGGGTGGGGCCTCACAAGGATGGTTGTTGCCACTGATGCTGCTACTGTCCAGGAGGACCCGAAGGGGTGCGGAGTTCTTTTTAACATGTTTTTTTTTTTAAAATATATTTCCCTTTCCCTTTCGATTTTTTATATATGGGGGTGGGATGGATGTTTGGGTGGGCTTGGGAATTTGTTAGATTTTGATGAATTTGTAATTTTTGCAGTTTTTATTTGTATTGTTTTATTGTTTTCTGGGTTGTTTTTGTTTTTATTGTTTTAAGGTTTTATTGTTTTAGGCTGCGAAAGAATAACATTAATTGCCATCAATGGAGGCTACTATGAGGCCTGGGATTGCTACCGTGGAGGGGCGAGGGAGGTATGGCGGTGGGGGCAGATGTTATAGGCGAAGGGGATCGAGATATGGATACGCTCGTACCCCTTCCAATCTGCGCCCCATCCCGAGGGACGAGGGTAGGGTGAGCAAGGATTACTCACCTCCGTCACTGGTGCTGTGCAATGCCAGGTCTATAGGCAATAAAACCGCCACCCTGCGAGATTTCTTTATCTCGCAGGGGGTCGACCTGGCTTGTGTGACGGAGACCTGGGTGCGCGAAGGGGCAACAGTTACCTTACGAGAGATGGCGCCCCGGGTTTCTCCGTCCTCCACCAGTCGCGGACTGTGGGCCGGGGGGGAGGGGTGGCATTATTAATCCGGGAAGATTGTCCTTTCAGGGCTCTACCATCGCCATCGATCCCCGGCATTGAATGTGTTGGCCTAGTGTGGGGCTCCGAGGAGAACTTGGCTGTCTGGCTGGTGTACCGGCCACCTAGCGCACCAGCAGCCACCCTGTCAGGCCTATTGGAGGCAGTGGCCGGCTGGGCCTTGGAGTTCCCTAACCTATTGGTATTGGGGGACTTTAACATCCATGCTGATGCCACTCCCTCCTCACAGGCTCTGGACCTGGTGTCTTCCATGGCGACACTAGGGCTCTCCCAGTTTGTTTCGGGCCCCACACATCAAGCAGGCCACACGCTGGATTTGATCTTTGGCGTAGGTATAGATGTGATCATGTCTCCTTCGATGAAGGTGCCATGGTCTGATCACTACGCTCTGAAAGCCAGGATTGACTTTCCACCCCAACCCTGCTTAGGTGGCGAGCCGATTTGGGCTCGCCCGCAGAGGCTGATGGACCCTGATAGATTCCGCCAAGCCTTGCGGGACCTTGCTCCCCCTGGCGACTCATTGACTGAGCTTGTTGAGGGCTGGAATACCCAGCTCCTGGCAGCCATCGATGAGATCGCACCTAAGCGCCCTCTGCGACCCCGCAGAAACCGGGCTCCCTGGTTTACCGAGGAGCTCCGGAAAATGAAGCGGGACCTCAGACGGCTAGAGCGAGTATGGCGGGGTGCCCGTGACGGAGCCTCAAGAACATCTTATAGGGCTTTTATGAAAACCTACGAGATGGCGGTGAAGGCTGCTAAGAAGTCATACTTCTCGGCCTCCATTGCATCCGCTAGCTCTCGCCCAGCGCAATTATTTAGTATAATCAGGTCTTTAACGTCCCTTGAGGGACAGCCAAATTTAAATAACAATTTGACACACAGCTGTGAGGCATTTGCGAGCTTTTTTGCGGAGAAGGCCTTGTTGCTCCACCATGACCTCCCTGCCAATTTGGATACAATAAAGGAACTGGAGGCCCCTCGACTGTCCTCGGGTCCAGTATTGGACCACTTCGACCGGATATCCCCAGCCGATGTGGACAGACTCCTCCGAGCTGGAAAGCCCACCACCTGTCCTCTCGACCCGTGCCCGTCTTGGCTGATTAGAGCGTGTCCAGACGAGGTGCGGGCCCTCCTGGGGGATATCGTCAATTTGTCCCTTGGCACGGGGACATTCCCAGGGGAACTGAAGAAGGCAGTGGTGCGCCCGCTCTTAAAGAAAACATCATTAGATCCTTTAGATCTATCCAATTAGCGCCCGGTTTCGAATCTTCCGTTCCTGGGTAAGGTGATTGAGAGAGCGGTTGCTGAACAGCTTGGTGGGTTTCTGGATGAAACATCGGCTCTGGATCCATTCCAGTCCGGCTTCCGCGCTGGTCATGGGACCGAGACGGCTCTGGTTGCCCTAACAGATGATCTTCGTAGACAGCTGGATCGAGGCGGGTCGGGGCTGCTGATTCTTCTAGATCTGTCAGCAGCTTTCGACATGGTCGATCACGAACTTCTGGACCACCGCCTTGCCGACGTGGGGATCCAGGGCACAGTCCTTCAATGGCTGCGCTCGTTTCTCTCTGGTCGGGGACAGAGGGTGGCGCTTGGGGGGGAATTGTCATCGCGCCACTCCTTGGTGTGTGGAGTACCTCAGGGTGCGATACTCTCCGCGATGCTTTTCAACATCTTTATGCGCCCCTCGCCCAGCTTGTTCGGAGTTTTGGGCTGGGTTGCCATCAGTATGCCGATGACACCCAACTCTATCTGTTGATGGATGGCCATCCTGACTCGGCCCCAGACACACTGACCAGATGTTTGGAAGCTGTGGCTGGATGGTTACGTGGGAGCCGGTTGAAGCTAAATCCTTCGAAGACAGAGGTCCTGTGGCTGGGACGGGGCGATATGGGATTGGGGGGGCAACTCCCATCTCTTGCGGGGGCGCAATTAGTGCCAGCACCGTCCTTTAAGAGTTTGGTGTAATCTTCGACACCTCCCTTTCCATGGAGGAGCAGATTGCAGCTATAACAAAGGCGGCATTTTTCCATCTCCGCCAAGCTAAGCAGTTGGCTCCTTACCTCTCTCGCCCTGACCTAGCCACTGTGATCCACGCGACGGTCACCTCCAGACTGGATTATTGTAACTCGCTCTACGTGGGGCTGCCCTTGAGACTGACCCAGAAACTCCAGCGGGTGCAGAATGCTGCAGCGAGACTCCTTACGAGGTCTTCGCTGCGAGATCACATTCACCCGGTGCTATACCAGCTGCACTGGCTCCCGGTGGAGTACAGGATCAGGTTTAAGGTGCTGGTTTTAACCTTTAAAGCCCTATACGGCCTAGGACCCTCGTACCTACGGGACCGCCTCTCCTGGTATGCCCCACAGAGAAACTTACGGTCTTCAAATAAAAACATCTTGAAGGTCCCAGGCCACAGAGAAGTTAGGCTGGCCTCAACTAGAGCCAGGGCTTTTTCGGCTGTGGCTCCGATCTGGTGGAACACTCTGTCACAAGAGACCAGGGCCCTGCGGGACTTGACATCTTTCCGCAGGGCCTGCAAGACAGAGCTGTTCCACCAGGCCTTTGGCCAGGGCACAGCCTGACTCCCTCCCTCGGCAATCTTCGCGGAGCTCTGGCCCAATGGTTGCCAGTGGCCTGAATTAATTAATTTTATAATGAATGATTTTAGAGTGTTGTTTATGCTGTACTTTTGTACTGTTTTATTGTTGTTAGCCGCCCTGAGCCCGGCTTCGGCTGGGGAGGGTGGGATATAAATAAAATTTTATTATTATTATTTGAGAGTAGTGCCTTACGAAAGACATTGCACATCATGCTGAAGTGCATATGGAGCATTGCATATCAAACCTAGTCATTTTTAGTGAAAACTAAAAATAAAAGTCCTGCTGGAAGGGTCTAGTTGCCAATCAGGAATGGGGATATGAATGCTGACTTTATACCAGCTTGGTTCCCTCCCAGTGTTTAGGCCTACAACTCCCATCAGCCCCAGCCAGCATGCCCATGCTCGAGTCAACCCCAAGGTCATGTGGCTGGGCTGGCTGGGGCTGATGGGAGTTTTAGGTCAAGACATTGGGAGCACCACTCTGGCAAAGGTTGCTTAATGTAGCCGCATGGTTGCAGCCTTGCTTCCTGGAGATGGAGCCTGGCATTCTATCTGCCCAAAGAGTGTGATTTGCAGCCGGGCTGCAGTTCTTTCCATGCCACCCTTGAACTCCCCTGCTCCCCTGAGTGTGTCTTTCCTTTTTTTCGTTTGTAGGAGACAGACTGGAAGGTGCTGAAGCTGGTTCTGAACAAGTTACCGGAGTCTCTGCAGTACAAAGTGCTTTACTTAACATCCCCTTGCAACATTGACCAGCTGTCTTCTGCCCTCTGCTCTATGGTAAGAATGTGCCTCCGAGCATCCAATTGGGGCAACAAAGGTCCACATTAGGGAGCTTTTGATGGTTGCCCTACAGTTGTGGCATGCATTAGTGTCATGGGAGAGCTCTCCAGTGGAGAAGCCTGTTGTCGTTTGCTGAATATCTTGTCTGCTATTCACTGTAAGGCCCTCGGGTGGGTTGCAACAATGCAGAACAAGAGTGGGTAACCTGTGGGTGCCTCCCTTTGGATTCTGTAGCAGTGACTTTTTGTGTGTGCCACCAGCTTACAGACAAAAAGATGACCGAGCGCCTGCGGGGCACCCCGGAAACTTTCTCCCGTAACGATTTGCATTTGGCTGTGGTTCCAGTGCTGACTACTTTGATCTTTTACCATAATCACCTGGACAAAAGCAAGCAGGTATTATTGCATGTGCAGGAACTGAGTGGGACGTGCTCAGTGGGTGAGCCAGGAGAAGGACACTGCTGCCAAATAAATAAATATGGCTTAACTTGAGCTTGGCTTTCCTTGACTTGCATTTAGCTATTAAACAAGAAGCAAAAGACTTGTAAGTCATCAATCTTTTTGTGTGGCAGTCTCTATACTCTGGAACTCCCTGCCTGTTGACACCAGGCAGGTGCCTTCACTGTGGTCCTTGCTTATTGCTTGAAACGTATTTGCTTAGGCAGACCTATCCAAGCAATGTAGAATGCTAACGTGTATGATAATCTCTTTTTAGTTTACTGTTTATATATTTTTTAACCTGGCTTTTACAATCATTTTAACGTAGGTGTTTTTTGGGGGGGCGGGGCGGAGACAAACCATTTGGAGCTTTTATTACAATCAAGCTATGAATTTTGTTCATATAGTCATGTGTGAATTTTGTTAAATTAAAAGGGACACCCAGAGAGCCCTGCACCGAAGTACCTATAAACACATTTGAACTGAATGCTTGGTAATGTTCTGTTTGTGTCTTTGCCTTCACCCAGCGGGAGATGGTGTATTGCCTGGAGCACGGCTTGATCTATCGCTGCGCCAACCAGTGTGTCGTGGCTCTCTCCATCTGCAGCGTTGAGATGCCAGATATCATCATCAAGGCCCTGCCTGTCCTAATAGTCAAGCTGACACATATATCAGCTACGGCCAACATGGCCATCCCCCTCCTGGAATTCCTTTCAAGTAAGTGTATGCATATTCCATTCTTGCTTTTCAGCTTGTGAATTACAGCTCAGGAGATGCAGGGACCTTTGCTTTCCCTCTGTGCAATTTTTGAAAATCTGTAGGTAGATTGGATGGCTGTGAAAGATGATTGGACAAGTCTGTGGAGGATGATAAGGCTATCCATGGCTACTAGCCATAACAGCTCTGCTCTGCCTCCATGGTCAGAGGGAGCGATGCTTCTGAATACCAATTGCTGGAAGCCACAGGAGGGGAGAGGGCTTTTGTTTTTTAAATTAATATTTATTGAAGTTTCACAAAGAAAAAAAAATCACATTGATAAAAGAGAAAAATCTGAAAATAAAGAAAAAAGTACACAAGACAAAATACAAAATACAAAAAGATAAAAGAAAAAAGAAAAACAGTTAAAAACAATTCCATCTTTTCATAACTTTTTTTTTTTAATTTACTTGTTTCCCGGACCTCCTCATACCTCCCTCTTTTGTATTCCAATTCAGTTTGTTAGTCCAGCAATTTCTTTCCCTCCTTTTTAATCCCAATCCTTAATCTTAATATATTGTAACATTAAGTTTATACCTATTAAAAACCAATTTTTCCATTCTTTTAACCTTTTTAATCCTAATCCTTAATGTTGATATATTTATAACTTTAAAGCCTGTACAGCTAGAAGCCAGTTAACTTCAATCCAACATCACTCTAACATTCATTAATTTTGCAATATTTCTGTGAATAATCTTTAAATTTCTTCCAATCTTCTTCCACCAACTCTTCTCCCTGGTCACGGATTCTGCCAGTCATTTCCGCCAATTCCATGCAATCCATCATTTTCATCTGCCATTCCTCCAGTGTGGGTAGCTCTTGTGTCTTCCAATACTTTGCGATGAGTATTCTTGCTGCTGTTGTAGCATACATAAAGAAAGTTCTGTCCTTTTTAACACCGATTGGCCGACTATGCCCAGGAGAAAGGCCTCTGGTTTCTTCAAGAAGGTATATTTAAATACCTTTTTTAATTCATTATATATCATCTCCCAGAAAGCCTTAATCTTTGGGCACGTCCACCAAAGGTGAAAAAAAGTACCTTCAGTTTCTTTACATTTCCAACATTTATTATCAGGCAAATGGTAGATTTTTGCAAGCTTGACTGGGGTTATGTACCACCTGTATATCATTTTCATAATATTCTCTCTTAAGGCATTACATGCCAGTAAACTTCATACCTGTGGTCCATAACTGTTCCCAGTCAGCAAACATAATATTATGTCCAACATCTTGTGCCCATTTAATCATAGCAGATTTCACCGTTTCATCCTGAGTATTCCATTTCAACAGCAAGTTATACATTCTTGACAAATTCTTAGTTTTGGGTTCTAACAGTTCTGTTTCTAATTTTGATTTTTCCACCTGGAAGCCGATTTTCTTATCCAACTTATATGCCTCCATTATCTGATAATAATGAAGCCAATCTCTCACTTTGTTTTTTAGTTTCTCGAAACTCTGCAATTTCAATTTGTCTCCTTCTTGTTCCAAAATTTCCCAATATTTTGGCCATTTGACCTCCATATTGAGCTTTTTCAAGGCTTTCGCTTCCATCGGTGACAGCCACCTTGGGGTTTTATTTTCCAATAAATCCTTATATCTTATCCAAACATTAAATAAAGCTTTCCTGACAATATGGTTTTTAAATGCTTTATGTGCTTTGACCTTATCATACCACAAGTATGCATGCCATCCAAATACATTGTTAAAACCTTCTAAATCCAAAATGTCAGTGTTTTCAAGAAGCAGCCATTCTTTCAACCAGCAAAAAGCTGCTGATTCATAATAAAGTTTAAGGTCTGGCAGGGCAAATCCACCTCTTTCCTTGGCATCAGTTAATATCTTAAATTTTATTCTGGGCTTCTTGCCCTGCCAGACAAATCTAGAAATATCTCTCTGCCACCTCTTGAAACAGTCCATTTTGTCCACAATTTGCAATGTTTGAAACGAAAACAGCATTCTAGGCAATACATTCATTTTTACCGCAGCAATACGGCCCGACAGTGAAAGCTTCAAATTTGACCAGATTTCAGGGGAGAGGGCTCTTGTGCTCAGGTCCTGTTTGTGGGTTTCTCACAGGCATCTGGTTGACCACTATGAAAACAGGGTGCTGGACTAGATGAGCCACTGGCCTGATCCAGAAGGCTCTTTTTAGCTTCTTATTCGGTACAGTCAAAGTTTCTTTTTGCGACTTTTTGAAAAGCAGCAGCTTCCCCCCGCCCAGCTGTGCCACAACATAAATCTGATTTAGAAAGCCTTCCAAACCCTGCATGTGTCTTGCTATGTAGTGTGAGAGGGATGGTGGGTGGTTTGGGGAAGCCAAGTCAGAAGCCCCCTGTGGCACGTGGAGCTAATTGTGTCGTTTGGATCTGGAGCAGGGGTGAGGGGCTCTTTTAGCCCAAGGGCCACATTCTCTCCTGGGCAACCTCCTGGGGTCCAGATGTCTGCAGTGGGTAGGCAGAGCAACAGGTGCGACTGATCTTTTGTGCAGCGGGTTATGCTCTAGCCATCGCCCCTCCATCTGGGCAAGAGGCTTTATTACAGTCCAAGGACATATTCCAGCCAGGGCAAAGCATCTGAAGAGGGATGCAGAGCAGCGGAGGCGGCTAAGCTCCAGGGAGAGTCACAAGGGCTGGATAGGGAGGGCCGCATTTGGCCTCTAGGATGGTGTTTCCCCACCCATGCTCCAGAGAGGCATCCAGATTATAAGCACATGGTGGTGACCTCTGTGATTCATGCTGGAGAAACCTGTACCTGTGACGGAACAGTTTGGGCATGTTTTAACCATGCCCAAACCAGCCCCCCTGTAAACAAGGTGTGTGTGAAGTGGGTTTCTGCTAGCCATCCCATCTGCAGCCAGACTCTTTTACTGTTTCCTCTTTTCCCAATCCCAGCATTGGCCCGTCTGCCTGCCCTCTACAGGAATTTTGCAGCTGAACAGTACGCCAGCGTCTTTGCCATCTCCTTGCCCTACACAAACCCCTCCAAGTAAGTTGTGGGTGGGTTGTGGTGGTTGTTTTGGTGGAGGTGTTTTGTGGGATGTGCTGGCTGAGGCTGGTGGGAGTTGTAGTCCCAAAACATCTGGAGGCCACCAGGTTGGGAAAGGCTGCTATAAGCTATAACCAAGGCAAAACTCCCTCCCATACATCACCATACATCATCTGTCGTAACTGTTGTCCTCTCTGTTTCTCCAGTCTGCACAACAAATGGCGTGTGTTTGTCAGCCTTTCTCTTTAAATTTTATTTTTCGGCCTTCAGTGGGGAGTTTGGTTGCCTTTCCATGATTGCACACTTTAAATCCTGTTGTTAAATAGAAACATTCCCCTTAACCTTTTTATGTTCTAAGTTTCCAGCTAGTATAAGTAATATCACAGTGTGATGCTAATGACGTGTTGCACAGTAATTAACATATATACTATTTTAAGCATTGCATCTTGCCATAACATGATTATTCCCCTTGAATGCCTTCCAGGTTTAACCAGTACATTGTGTGCCTGGCGCATCACGTCATAGCCATGTGGTTTATCAAGTGCCGCCTTCCCTTTCGGAAAGACTTTGTCCCCTTTATTACCAAGGTAAGCTGGTTGCTGTGCCTGAGAAGCACAGGGGAAGAGCTGACATGCCGGACAGGAGACAGGGAGCAGGATGGGACCATGACGGACACTGCCGCTCTGTGGTGAGCTCCGCCTCCAGAGCAGTCCACAAAACAGAGGAGGAAACTTCTTGCCCTGTTCCACCACGGGACTATGTTTTTGGGGTGGTTTTTCAATGTGGCGTAGATTCTCAGTGGGCTGGTCCACACTAAATTTTGTTCTTGAGCTTTACAGTTTGTGATTTGTCTTGAGGAAGCAAACCCACAGGTTCAGGTTTGGGTGATGTGCTCAGCCAAACCATGGCTTGACTCATAGCAGTACATTAGCAGGAGGACCTGGAAGCAGGGGGGGTGCAGATTCCTCCTCCTTCTCCAGGAACTCTTGAGCTGGTGCTTTTGCACAGTTTGGTTTAGCGTTATGTGTGAACCGGGTCATTATATGGCTCCAGCCAAACATCTTAGCAGAAGGCAGACAGGGATTAAGGCTTGGAGGAATTTGCTTCGGGACAGAGACTGAGCCAGGGAAAGGGAACCTGCTGTCTTCTGGATGTTGCTGGACTCCCATCGCCCAGCATGACCAGTGATCAGGGATGATGGGAGTTGAAGTCCACAACAGCCAGAGGACCACAGCTTCTCCATGCCTGGACTCAAAGATCTCAGTCCTGCCACCCTCACAGGCCCATTTTGGTGGGGGGAAAGGGAGAGGGCCTTCTTAGTAGCTGCTCCTGGATTTTGGAACTCTCTTCCTAGAGAAGCCAGACTGGCTTTCTCCTTGTCCTTCCACTGGCAGGGGAAGACTGTCCAATTCTGACAGGCGTTCGAGAACTGGCTGGTTTTTAAGGAAACGGTTTTTAATTGTGCTGTTTTCATTGCTTTTATTACCTGTATTCTAATAGATTTGTATTTTATATTGTTTTAACTCCATTACAGTTGAATTATTTTTTACGGTTTTTCTTTTATATGTTTTTAGCTTTTTGTACAGTGGTATCTCGGGTTACAAACTTAATTTGTTCTGGAGGTCCGTTCTTAACCCGAAACTGTTCTTAACCTGAGGCGCACTTTCACTAATGGGGCCTCCCGCTGCTGGCGCACCGCTGGTGAGCGATTTCCATTCTCATCCTGGGGCAAAGTTTGCAACCCGGAGCAACTACTTTTGGGTTAGCAGAGTTTGTAACCCAAAGTGTTTGTAACCTGAAGTGTTGGTAACCCGAGGTACCACTGTATTTTGTTTTAATTTGTGTAAGCTGTCTTAAGTCCCTCTCCGGGGAAAAGGCAGGATATGAATGTAAATATAATAATAATAGCAACTTTCAAGTCTTCTTTGTATTCTCTTTATGACAGGGTTTGCGATCAAATGTCCTCCTCTCCTTTGATGACACACCAGAGAAAGACAGCTTCCGGGCTCGTAGCACCAGCTTGAATGAGAGACCGAAGAGGTAGGTTGTTCCCCGAAGGTCCACTTCTTTTTACAGCACTTTGAAGTGCTTTTTGTTAAAAACACCTATTTGTTGCCTTCTGGGGGCTGCTACAACTTTTCTGATGGGTCAGGTTTTATGCCAATGAAGCTACCTGATTTTGTTCTGATGATGGTCCATGCCCTTGCAGCTGAAAGCTGTCCTACCTCGACTCATTGCTCAGTCCAGTTTGAAGTGTCCTATTTTGCCTCCTCTCATCCTGCAATGCAGGGCTGGAAGACCTCTAGCCCTCCGACCATCACCCCCTGCCAGCATAGCCAGATGTCAGGGATGATGAGTCTTGTCGTTCAACAGTAGCTGGACGTTCCCTACCCCTGCTGTAATGATCAGGTTGCAGCCCATTTAGCTGGTGGTTACACTGGAACATTTTGTAAGCTTTTCAGCACCAGACTTCTTCACCCCCAATCTGGAGAGGGAGGAAAAACTGCAAAAACATTATGATTTGTTCAGAGATAACTATGGTCAATTGAAAGCATTAAAGCTGCTTTCAGTGGGGTTTTTGAAAAAACTGCGGGTAGCTTTTCTGCATTGGCTGACTTTGCATCTGGGAAAAGCAATCCTAGCATTGCATTCACTGTCCATGCAGCAGTCTTTGGGTTAGGGATTCAGAGTTGGTTTGCCCCTGAATGTCATTGGTTGGGAATCACAACCAACTGCAGTCACGTCCTGCTTATGGGCTTCCTGTTGGAGCATCTAGTTGGCTGCTGTAGAACTTGTTGCTGGACTAGAAGGGCCACCTTTGGGCCAGTTCAGCAGGGCTTTTCTGATGTTCTTGTGTTCAGAACTTGCTAGTGGTACTGGTGTATTCCATAGCAATTGCCATTGCAGTCTCCTGGCCTGGCTGTATCATTAGTCTTTGGGCCCTTCCAGACTGGTGGTGTCTTTTTGGTCTTCATGTCATGGATACAACATTACCGCATTAGTGCTGGGTCCGTCCACACGTCCTTCCCGTTTATTAGTTGTTCTGCAGCGTTTCTCCCAACATTACCAGAGGGTATCCTCACACATGTAGTGCAGCGAAAAATAAATTGGAACATTTGTGGTATGAAAAGCTACAGGATTTCAGCAGGAAGTTTTGGGACATGCACCTAACTGGAAACAGAGTAGGATGTCCCCCCAAAAACTTCTACAGATGCAAAGTGCTATGAAAGTGGGATTGTGCACAACAGCCCTGATACCAAACCACCATGAAGGCACAATAAAAAGGAAGTCTGGAGGGGCCACATGGAAAACAATGTGGTGCTTGAAGTGCCTTTTGAATCTGGGTGACCCAGGTTCTGATCTCTGCCTGCCCATGAAGCGTGTCTGCCCCTTCACCACCTCAACAATGATACCCTCAAGCTTTTTAGGCAGAGAGTTTTCCAACTAGGCCCATGAAGTTCCAAAGGTGCATGGCCTACCTTTCATTTCGCTGCCGCCCTGGGAATTGTTTTGTGCCTGCAAATTAAAGCACAGCTGGTGATATTCTTGACCTCGGAGTTACAAACGAGGCTCGCCACTTCTCTAGCCAGCCTTTTTGTGTCCGTCATTTTCCTTTTGAGTTGTGGCTCCCATCGCCACTTCCTTGCCTTGGCATTTTTGATTTTACTAAGTTGGGATACTGTTGAGTTGAAAAGTTGTTCTGCAAGAGGTACTTTCAAAACACCCACTGCCATTATTCTGGGAGTGGCAGTAGCCACGATTTGTAGTTGAAAAGTAGCAGGAGTGTCAGTCAACCCTAAAAGGCACCTTTGGTTGGATGCAAATGGTTTGTGTGTGATTTGCTTCCTGGTCAGAAAACCCACAAGAAACCCCAGGTGTGTGTGCTGCTCTGTAAAACCAGGAACCTCTTGGAGCTCCTTTTCATTTTCTGGGAATGAAACACGCAAACTTATGCCCTGGGTGTTCTTTGAGCGGGAGATACACCCTCCCTGTGTTATCTATTTTTTTAGTCAGTCAGGCAGCGGTTTCACCCTCAAACCTTAGTGATAATGTTGCAGTGAGATCCAGCAGCATAAATGTAGCCAGGCATTGCCCTGAGGGAACTTGCTCACTCCATAGGTACATTTTGTTTTGCTGGAGACACTTCACAGAAGGGAAAATAGCAGAAGCTGTTGCTACTTGCGCTTTATGCTGCCCTCACCCCATGAATCTGCTTTAGACCTTGATGTTGGGGCTGATGATTCCATAGTCTTCTGTCTTGTCATTTAATTGGGTTTGGGTTTTGTGAACTGTGCCTCTGAGCTAATGCATATTGCACATTCCCTACCCACTGAACAGGCACACTTTTATTATTTTTGCTCAGGGCTCCATAGTATTCCAACTGCCACTTTTATTTTGTAACATTTATCAATCTGGGGTAGAATGGGGGAGATGTCGGCTGTCTTTCTGTTGTCTTTTTTCATTTTTGAAATGTTTGTTTATGCTTTTTGAGTTTTGCTTATTGTGTTTAATTCCCCCCTCCCTCCTTTTTTTGGCATCCTGTTTTTTTGTTTCTATTTTTACATCACCTTCCGGGACTTTTGTGGCCTTCCAACCTCCATCCTTCCACTGATTTTCCTCCTGTGCAAAATCACACCTCCTTTACGTGGGGTCTTGGTGGTGGTGCCGCTGCCTGTTCTTCACCCCTAGTAGCTTTAAGATAGCCAAAAATGCCAGGCAAAGCTTGAATAATTCTCCTCCAGTGAAAGAGCTGAAAGAACCCTCTGGTGTCGATGCCTTCCGGTCCCGCAGCATCAGTGTCTCTGACCATGCAGCCCACAGGTAGTGATTCTTGGAGAGCCACCTGGGCTCGCGGCCACATTACTTGCTATGATGGGGAGGGTGGCAGATGGAACAGAGGGGATTTGCATGCTGGGGTTCTTGCATGATTTCCTTAGAACTGAGCCCCACCCAACAAGGTTTGCACCCCAGCAAGTGCTTTCTTCTGTTTGCCTGTTTTAAGATTGAAAAGGACACACAATTTAACGCTGATGCAAATGTAGGTTTAGTTGCAAGACCCCCACTGATAAAGATGTGAGAGAGATGTGAGACAGCTGGTTTTGGTTGGGCTTGACCTTTCCCCCCAAATGGTGGTTGTTCCAAAGGCAACTTCTTGAATTAAAAAATAATAATTAAAAGTGCTGCATTTTATAGGGTAGCTGTCACAAGACTATTTAGCCATAGGATGAACTAGAAGGTAACTTTACCATGTGGCACAAGAGACCTCTTGATATAAAGTTTTGATAAGCTGGTGATCAGATCTGTTCTGTGCTGTCCCGTTATTTTGTACAACACAATGTGTTGCTTAAATTTTTAGAGGGATAGCCCTTGGGTTTGTCTCCTGTAGCAAAAATGACAAAAGTGTCTTGTGACACCTTTTAAAGATGAACAAATTTATTATGCTATAATAGCTTTCATGGACTCAAGCCACGGAATGCTGTGTCTGATGACGTGACCTTGAGTCCATGAAGTTTTTGCCATCATATATTTTTTAGTCTTTGAGGTGCCACAAGGGGCTCCTTGTTTTTCAGGTACCCTTCACTTTGGGGGCTGCTGATTTTATTTATGCTATCCCACGGTTAGATTCATAGAAAGTATAGAAAGGAATGTCAGTTTATAACAGTAATGACCTGGCACAATCCTAACCATGTCTACTCGGAAGTAAGTCCTACTGAATGCAGCGGGGCTTACTCCAAAATTTGCAGGATTAGGATCACAGCCTTAACGAGCTCTTAAGCCCCCATAGTCAGCAACTGTGTCTCTTGGAGGGCTGCTTAGAAATGGAATCCAGGTCTGTGACTACCTAGCCTGATAAGTGACCTGCTTGTAGGTCCGGTTGCCACAGATGCCATACAGCTACAACCTCCCCCCCTCCAGCAATTGAGGGGTTAGGCAAGCCTACTCCAAGCAGATGAAATAGCCCCTCTTTAGTTACTCTCCCTCCTAGATTTTAAGAAGAAACATAGGCTCTCATGATCCCATATTTCAGGTCAGTCTCCTTCATGGAACCACATTCCAAAGTTTGATATCCATAAAAATACTGCTAAGCTTGTGTATGTGTGTCCCACCCACCCCTGCTTCCCAGCTTGCTGCATGCTGTAGAGATTGTGAGACAACTGGTTTTCCTTGTCCATTGTGCTTTGGCAAACGTCCGACCCACCTTTTTCCAGCCGGCTGCAGACCTCCATCACCAGTTCCAGCCTGGGATCTGCTGACGAGAACTCTATGGCTCAAGCGGACGACAGCCTGAAAAATCTCCACTTGGAGCTGACGGAGACCTGCCTCGACATGATGGCTCGATATGTCTTCTCAAACTTCACAGCTGTGCCCAAAAGGTTTCAGTTCTTACTCAAAGCCCGAGTCCCCAGCCCTCTTTCAGGGATGGCTATTGTTGGTTTTATATGCCAACTGCTTTGGCTCCTTATTTGCTTCTCAAAATGTGATACGCCCTTTCCTTATCGTGAAATATTATGCCCCTTATAATGAAGTATGAACTGGATCTTCGTCACCTTTCTGCATCCTGGTGCTGCTTTGGACTATCTCCCAATAGGCCCCAACCAGTGTGGTCAGTGGCCAGGAATGATGGGATTTGTAGTCCATCTAGATGGCACCAAGTTGGCTAACCCTGGCTTAGATGGCCTTAAAAGGACTGGATGTGGGAACCAGTGAATTGGTCTTATTTGCCATGATAGCTCTGTGGAGTCCCCATGATCAGAAGGAACATCTCTCCGGTGGTAGGGAATGTCCTGTTTTGTGGGCAGAGAATGCTTTTACCTGATGGACCTTTGGCCGGATTCATCAAGGTGGTTCTTCAGTTCCTTCATTTCAGCCTTCCTCAGCCTGACGCCTGTCAGATGTTTTGTTGGACTACAGCTCCCAGGAGCCCCAGCCAGCACCGCTATATGATGCTGGAGCTGATGGGAGCATGACTATATTGGCTGGGGATGATGGGAGTTGTAGCAGCTGCTTTAATTCATTGCCCATGTCTTCCCGATGCTTCCAGGTCTCCGGTGGGAGAGTTTCTCCTCGCTGGAGGGAGGACCAAGACGTGGCTGGTGGGCAACAAGCTGGTGACAATCACAACAAGCGTCGGGACGGGAACCAGGTCTCTCCTGGGCCTTGACTTGTCAGAGACACAGAACAGCACAGAGGCAAGGTAAGCCCTGATGCCCCTCTCACCCCCTTTTAAAAATAATAACAAAGCAAAGGAGACTGGGGAAATGACGCTGGGCACTCTTAAAACTCCAGGGGTTGAGGGTAGGGAAGATGGGGCAAATAACTATTGTGGGGTGTTGTCACAGAGTTTTTAATTTTGACTAGGGGTGGGTGTGGAAATGGGAGGAAAGGGTTCCTTTGCACAAAGAGCCTGGTCTCAAAATCTGTCTGGGACTGGGAGGCCACTTGCTCACCCTTCTCCGCCTTCTGCCACAAGAGGATGCTCCCTTATGCTGTTTTACACAGGAAGAGAGGAAGCTGCCTTTTACTGAGTCAGACCATTGGTCCATCTAGCCCAGTACTGTCTACACTGCTTGGCAGGGGCTCTCCAGGGTTTCAGGCAGGAGGCATTCTCAGCCCTACCTGGAGATACAGGGGCTGGAGCTTGGGACCTTCTGCATGGAAGGCAGGTGCTTATCCCTTTGTGCTGCGGCCCTTCCCCATCTACCCCAGTTGATAGCAGCGCTGGAGGGTCTTGGCCTTTCCCAGTCTCCTGGTCCCCTTAACTGGAGATGGTGGTACGCCTGCTGGGCCTTCTGCATGCAGAGCAGGTGTTCTGCCACTGAACCATGGCCCCTCCCCACAAGATCTACCAGCGGAGACAAATTAATTCCTTTGCGGACTGACGGCATTCCTGCTTTGGATTCCTAGCTCCGACCACACCTTGCAAGTGAGGCAGACCAAAGAAGCTCCAGCCAAGCTTGAGTCCCAGGCTGGCCCACAAGTGGTTCGAACCCGCAACCGTGTTAGGTCGATGTCCGGTAAGGAGCCTCCCCTGATTTCTCTGTATGGAAGATTCAGGTGTTTAGAGCCATAAGGCTTGCTTATATTGTTTGTTCAGGATCAGGCCTAGCAACTGCAGAGTAGTTACTCCTGAGACAAATGGGGTTTGAGAATGTAAGAGGAGCAGCCTGCTGAATCAGGTCTAAAGGGGCCCATCTATCCCAGCATCCTGTTCTCACAGTGGCCAGCCAAATGCACCAGTGGGAAGCCAGCAAGCATACACTTTCCTCATTTGTGATTCCCAGAGGGATAATGCGCCAGTATTTCAGTGGCAACTGGTTGGCTAAATTGATGGTGCTCTGAAGGATATGCATCTGTCCCCAATTCACACACTATGCCAGAGCGGTGTGCAGCAATATAGAAGGAGGTGCCATGAAATTTTGACCTGCTGTTCCCTGGTAAATGCATCCATAGCCTTCAGCTGATTATCCAGTGCTTGCAGGCTGGAGCTGGTAGGAGTTGTCTTCTAAAATGGTGGTAGGAGTTGTATTCTAAAATGGTGCTGACTGGGGGAGGGGCTGATGGGAGTTGTAGTCCCAAACATCTGAAGGGCACCCAGTTAGCAAAGCTTGGCTTATTGTGACTGTTCGGCCCAGCAGTTCTCCCTCCTAGAATAACTGGAGTTCTGTCCTTATAAGCAACTTCTTAGTCCTACCTACTTGTTTCCAGTTTCTGGGGCTTCTCTGTGAATTCCTCTTCTCCTTGTTTGCTAGACAGTTGCCCAGGCTTGACCTGGTTACTCGAGGGCTAAAGAACCAGGGGCTTGATGTCATTCTCTTGTGCTTGAATCCTGCTTGCAGGTTTCCCACAGGAATCTGGTTGGCCACTGTGAGAATGCGATGCTGGGCCATGGGCGTGACTCAGCCAGCTCTTCTAAGGTTCTCAGCGCTTAGTCAATAGAAACTGGTTTGGGAGAGGTGCCTCTTAGTTTAGCCTCTACCAGCAGGAGACGCATTCTGACCTCAGTGGAGCCCACCACAATCTCCATACAGCTGCCTGTATGTGTTAAGGAGAATTCACAGGTGTGCCGAAGATTCCCCCCCTTCCCAATAAAATACATCACCTGAACTACTTTAGGGTCTGTCTCTGCCTTCTGATTCACACTGGTGATTGCTTGCCCTGATAATAAACGCTTTGGATATGAGAGGATCCCCCATGCAGAGGATCTTTGTACTGCTAGATCAATACTTCAGCCCTAGAGTGGGATTAACAGTCACTGGAAGCCCCAGGAGGGGAGGGTGCTCTGGTGTTCATATCTCCCTTGCAGCTTCCCTTGTAGGCTTTTGTTTGGGCACTGTGAGTACAGGAGGCTGCACTAGGTGGGCCACTGGCCTCATCCAGCAGGCGCTTCTTATATTCCTAAGCACACACAGTTCAACTCTGTTTCTTCTCAATAGCTGCGTATGTTTTTTGTATCGTCTTTGAACCAATATGCAGCCCTGCTGCAAAATCCTCCTAACCTCTCTGCTTCCTCCGAATGTCCTTTTGCCATCCAGGTGGCCACGCCTTGCGGGTTGGGGCATTAGACACCTCCACCTCCCATTTTCCTGCCACCCCGATGCCCCAAGGATTTCAGAGCTCTCCTGCTCCTACTGCTGCTCGAGCGGAAAAGGCCGCTCCTGGGCCTCTACAGAAGGAAAAGGCCAACTTGGCTGCGTACGTCCCCCTGCTAACACAAGGCTGGGCGGAGATACTGGTGCGGAGACCGACAGGTAGGCCAGGTGAAATGTATGCCTTCACAAATATGTAAAATGGCATGTGTTGGTGCACATGTTTCCATGTTGCTGAGTGTAAAGGGCTTAATCAGTACCTTATCCTAGAATCATAGGAATGATGTAACACTGCGTTATTATAGGAGTCTTTCAGGAATGTGTCCTAGTTGCAGCCCTTTGTTTATGTTGTGACACGGACAAGCAATGATGTTCCATCAGCCTGGTGAGAAGTGTTTTGTTATAATGCTAAAAAGCAATTAGCACTTGGAGAGAGCACTTCTTCCCATGCCTTATGGCTCTGGTGTAGGGGACCTCCAGCGTTCCGTGTAAAGTTACCAACTGTTCCCTAACGTGAAGATCAGTTATGGTGCACAAAGTGCTGTGGAAAGCAACTTGCCCATTGCTATCTGTTTTCCCACTGCTCTGTATGTAGCTGCAGGGAAGAGGGGCTGGAGTTCAGTGGTAGAGTACATGCTAGGCATGCAAAAGGCTCCAGGTTTCATCCCCATCATTCCCTGATCAGGAGCAAGTGACAGAAAAGCCACAGCACAGGGCAGGAGGGGCCCACAGGCTGACCTGGCAAAAGGCAGCTTCTTGTGTTCTTATGTCATTCTTTTAAGGCTGTGCATGGCACCCCCAATCGAGTCTGGGACTCTGGATCAGCCCTGATCTGACTCTGGACAGTCTAGGACCAACATGGACCAGGGGCCTGAATTGATCTGGGGTGGGGGCGGTCAGCCCTAGCATTTAATTAATGTTTTAAACATGCTGTTGGGAAGGGAACGTGTTGATCAGTGGAAAGGTTAATCCTGCTGGAATCACCAGCACCTTTCCTGCAGGCTGGGTGAAGCAGATCCTGCAGATGCTGCCTGCCTCCCCTCACTCCCAGGCGATCCGGAGCTCTCTTGGCCTCATTGGGCCAAAGCCTGAGTCAGCCTACTTTGGGTCCAGGCATTATTTGAATCTGGTGCACAGCCCCAGTGTCTCTAGGCAGAGCTCTCCATTCACCTAGGAGGCCAGTGCTGGATGTTTGAGATGTGCGTAACCTGGAATGAGACCCTGCAGGACATTTATGAAAGAGGGAAACAAGACTGGGGTTATTAACGGGGATTTTATTTTATTTTTAAATCTCAGTGGCATGTTCTGCTTTGTTCTGCATCTTCACCTTCCCACCACTCCAGGTAACACAAGCTGGCTGATGAGCCTAGAGAACTCCCTGAGCCCGTTTTCCTCGGATATCAACAGCATGCCCCTGCAGGAGCTCTCCAACGCTCTCATGGCGGCCGAGCGCTTCAAGGAGCACCGCGACCCCACCCTGTACAAGTCCCTCTCGGTCCCTTCCTCCACCTTGCCAACGGGGACTGCCAAGCCGTACTTTCTGCAGCGCTCAAACACAGGTGAGGCAGCGCAGTGGCTGGCCCAGGAGAGGGGGTGCGAGGATGAGACCATAGCTAGCCATTCCCAGCCAAAGTGCTTCATGGCAGAGCCACTCTGCTTTAGGAGAATAGGAGGCGCACGCAATTCACCTTCCTAAAAGGAAGTCTTTAATCTAGCCTGAAGCCCAGCCACTGTTACGGCAGGCCATGTGTGGGGCTAGCAGGGGCTGATGGGAAGTGTAGTCCAAAACAGTTGGAGAGCTCCAGGTTCGGGAAAGCTGCCTTAATCAATTAGACATAATTCCATTATGATCATGCTTCTTGAATAAATTATGCTGCCACATTCACACCATTCATGGAAAGCAGTATGGGGTAAGGTGAAGGTAAAGGACCCCCTGGACGGTTAAGTCCAGTCAAAGGCAACTATGGGGTGTGGCAGTCATCTCGCTTTCAGGCCAAGGGAGCTGATGTTTGTCCACAGCTTTCCGAGTCTTGTGGTCAGCATGACTAAACCGCTTCTGGCACAATGGAACACCGTGACGGAAGCCAGAGGATTCTTTGAGGGAATGACTTTTTAAAAAGTGGTATTACATTTCTTTTAATGCATGCTGTGAATGTGGTCTTGCTGAAGAAATGCAGGATAGAAACATAAATACTTAGGGTTGTATCCAATGTTATCCCTATGTGGAGTAGACCTATTGAAATTCATCGGCATGACTAAAGTCGGGTTGCCATACGTCTGGATTTTCCTGGATCCCCACCCCCCAAAAAAAGCTCAGCAACTTTCCCTAAAAAAGCCTTTTGTGTCTGGATTTTTACTTCTTGAAATATGGCAAACCTAGACTAAAGATTTGTAAATTTCAATGGGTCTGTTCTGAATAACAGTTGGATACAACTCTGAATAATCCATTTTACTTATGTGTGTATAATTCAGTCATAGAAAGAAGCACACTGCCCATTTCACTAAACACAGCAGAATGTGTGCTTCTGCTGAGGCAGCCTTAGCCAAAGAGTGTTTTGATCAATGCATGTTTCACTCATGAGTCTAGGTCTCCTTCCAGAAGTTGTCAGGGCAGACTGGGTGGACTCTGTTAAAGCTCCCTTGTTCTGTAACAATGGTCTGCAGCAAGAAGGGGGGTTGGAGACTTCCCTTGCTGCTCAGGTCTGTGTTTATTTCAAACACCAATGTTCTGTGCCAGAGTAGCTCAGATTCTGTAACCTGGCTAAATTATGCAAATTAGTATGCATGGTTTTCTTTTTCTTTTTGCATAATTTTTTCTGTGATCTTTTTGTGTGCGTAATTTTGTTTCTGCTCATCATGGGGAGAAAGGCACAGATCTGTGCAAGAGCCCTGATAAAACTGGGAATGTTTCCTGCAGTTGCTCTGACTTCAGCCATTGCCCCCAGAAGCACATATTTACACAACCACAGGGACTAGAATCTTGTTTCTTTTTATCCTGCAGGCAGCTGCATATCCCGCATCTTTTCTGTTCTCCTTTGGAATTGCAGCATTGCACACAGCTCTGCTGCAGCCCCGCCCACACGAACAGTGTCCTGCCTACTCACCTTCCCGCCCCCCCCCCCCCCGTTTCTGAGATTTAACCTGTTGCTACCCACTCACTTTCTAGCTAATCTGAATAGCACCGATGACAGTAAATGAGGCTGCTGGTGGGTTTGTTTCTGTTTTTAGATGGAAATATAGTTAATGCCCAGATTCTAAATATTGTGCACTGTACCACACACTCTTGGCCAACCTGGAAGGCATCAGGTTGGGGAAAACTGCTCTCCCAAATTTTACACCTGTGCAGGACAGATCTCAAGAACAGAGAACATGCATGCCTCCTGGCATTAAACATTGAAATCAATGGCCATGACTCCTGTTGGTAAATTCATTTCAGGGGGTCTACTCTGAGTAGGACTTAGTTGGAGACAACTCTAAATTCAGGTGAATCGGTCACAGACCAGTTTAAATTCGAGTGTTATTGACAGCATCTAAAGTGCGGTGTAAAAAAAAAAAGTAGTAGTGTTCAGATGCCCATTTGCCAGGAAATTTTAAGATGCAAGAACCTGGGAGCTGGGAGCTTTTCTTTTTCCTGGTGCTCTAAGGCTGAACCGCTGTAGTGATGGAAGTGCTGGTGGTTTCCCCACCTCTTTGGGTTGTGTTTTAGTTTAGGGAAAGGGAGGGTTTCGGGGATAAGTGACTAATCTCATATCTCCTTTTCCTGACTTCCTGAACCGTACCTACTTGCATAAGCCGCCTCTTCTTAACCATTCCATTGTCCAGTATTCAGTGTGGGTATCTGGATGTTTCTCCCTCCCTTCTCTCATTGACTGATTTACCGAGCCCAGAACAACTTTGTTCCAGGGTGCCTCAGGGACCTCCTGATCCCTTTCACCCCAGCTCAATCACTGAGATCATTGCAGGAGCATCACTGGACATTTCCCAAGCTGGTGAAGCTCATTTGACAACGAACTGAACCTTTCGTGCCATTGACCCAGTATTGTGCCTGTGGAGACTGTTCCAGCCTTTAAACACCTGCTGAAAACTTCCCCATTTTGCCAGGCCTTATTTGGGCAGTTAAGAATACATCTTTCCACAATAGTTAGCTGATTTCTTATTTTAACACACACACGGTTTTATGTACATTTGCTGTACGTTGCTCTGGTTTTTGTTTTATGAATTAGCGGTATCTAAATATTTGTATGAATAAAAATAATAATGCAGGGCAAAGTCCACTGTCAAGTTCTCTGCAAGCCCTTTTGAAGTTCTTGCTCTTTTCATTGAGAATTGCGAAGGAGGACCATCTGCTGCATTGCACCATGTTGGATGGCTCCATCCTCGTTTGGGGCAGGGGTAGGAGGAGGAAACTTTCCCTGTAACACAGCCTTTGGCAATATGGTGCCCACCAGATGTTTGGGACTATAACTCCCATCATTCCCAGCCACCATGGCTGATGAGTATTCTGGTCTAAAATGGCCGGGTGATAAATTAAAATCATCACCATCATCCCAAGCTATGTTGCAGGGGTCCTCAGCCCCCAAAGGCTCAGCCTTGGCTACACCTCTTCTAAGTGCTCTCACACTTCCCTACCCTGTTATTTTCTCCCATGTATTTTGTTGAAGCTGACTCTCTTTCTGATTATGTGTTAAAACTCGGTGCTTTAATTTTATTTATTTATTTTCTCCATAGAGTCTCTTCCTCTCTCTCTTCCTCTCCTTCCTTTTTGATGTCATTCCTCCCTTGGTTTTCCCTTCACAGTGGCCTCTTTCTCTTCCATGTACCTGACCAGTTCTCAAGAAAAGTTGCACAGGAGCATTTCCTGGGCAGGTATACTTGCATATCTTTAAAGGAGGTTTTTAAAAAAATAATAATAAAAAGAAAAGCAAGAAGGAGGAGGGAGGGGGAGCAAGTATTGACATAAAAAGAAACAAGCACTGTGATTCATAGAGGCTGCCTTTCCTCGTGCTTCCATCCACTCCTTCCATGTTTTATGTCTGTCCCTGATCTCATTGCACTCCAGGGATGGAAATTCCAGTGGGCATAAACAAGTCCAAGCCAGACATGGCCTCGGTTGGTCCATGAAAGCTCCACAATGCCTTGGTTTTGGGGTGGGTGGGGAAGCTCTTTATAGGCAGGCCACCAAACTGTAGGGCAGGGCTGCCCAATGTAGTTGCCCACCAAATGATGTTGGACTTCCAACTCCTACCAGCCCCAGCCAACGTCACCAACAGCTGGGGGTTATTATACCTTTATCCTGGCCTTTGGCACCTGAAATGTTTGTTTACAGGGCCCATCCTATTCCTGTGGTTGTGTTCTGTTTTAACTGTTTCAGATTTTAAATTGTTGTGACCCACGCTGGGACCTGCTGGTGAAGGGCAGGAAATATTATTATTATTATTATTATTTGTTGCATTCTAACATCTGGAGTGGACCACATTGGCTATCTCTGCTATAGAACACAGAAAGAAGGAAAGTTGCAATTCGGGTGCAGCTTAGAAACAGGAAAAACTGAAACTGCCAATGTTTCTCCACCCCTGCCTTTTGTTCAGTTTTGAGTCTTTCACTTCCACCTCCTCTTTTGTGTGTTGACCCTCAACCCATCCACAAATAATAAGTCTATCAATCAAAATTCTATCTGAATTAAGGCAAGGAGGTTAAGAAATCTTTCAGGGGGTCTGTATTTCTGTTGCCTACTCACGTGAAGGCTGCACACTAGACTTTAGCCTTTGCCAATCTTGTACTCCTCAGATGTTTTGGGATTATTAACGCCTAACAGCCCCAGCCAGGATAGCCAAGCTCGCTGGGGCTGATGGGAGCTGTAGCCTGAAGCAGCAGCAGCAGCAACAACAACAGTTACATTTATATATTATCTTTATCTTCCAAGGATCTCAAAGGGGTGTACATGGTTCTCCTACACCCCATTTCATCCTCACAACAACCCTGTGAGGTAGGTTAGGCTAAGAAATGATGACTGGCCCAAGGTCACCCAGGGAGCTTCATGGTTGAGTGGGGATTTGAACCTTGATGTCTCCAGTCAAAGTCTCAGTGTTCTAACCAGTACACCAGACATCTGGAGGGTACCAGGTTGGCAAAAGCTGCAGTCTAGAGATCCTTTTGGTTCTACGGTGAACAGAAGCAGAAGCACAAAGCAAATCAATGCTGTTTTCGTGCAGTGTACAGAACATTATCCAACCCTCGCTTAAAAAAAAAATCTCAAGTAAAATTCTCATGTGGCATTGCCGCAGGTCACCGTTGATTGCTGTGTTGGTGAGATGCTGTTAAAATGTCCACAGGATCAGGCAGGAGCCTCTCACTTTGAAAGAATCTCGCTTTGAACGAATCTTAAAAACCTTGGTTAAAAAATGGCAGCCATTTCACTCTGAAGCATTAGAGGAAACTGGGCAGGGGTCTTCTGGCTTGGACAGTTTAGCAGATCAGCACGTTTGTTTGAGGGGTGTGTGTGTGTTTTGTGTGTGTTTACAGCTAACTCTTGAATTTCTGCTTTGAAATAACTTTTTTTTATCTTGCAAGCTGCAATCAATCTCCCCCCAAGCTGCTGCAGTGGTGGTCTTGTCTTTCCTTGCTGGTTTTGTTAGTTTCATTTGTGTGCCGAAAACTATGTATTTTTAAAGTTTGTTTTTTTGGGTGTGTGTGCGGGGGGAAACAATCTCTGCATGTGCAATTGGCCTCTATTTATTTCTTGTCAGAATCTGCCGTGGTTCTGGAAGAAGGAAGCCCACCGGAGACGGATTTAAAAGACACAGAGTCTCGCCTGGAATCTCAAGAGATTGAAGACTTTGAAGCTGTGTGTCCGGAGCAAGGCCTAAGCGAGGAGAAGGTGGTCAAATGCCCTGGGATGTATAGTCGGGTCAGTAAGCTCCCTTGCTTGATCTTGAGTTAAACCTGTCGGGAAGAACTTTTCATTGAGTGGAATGTCCCAGGGAGAACGTGACGTTTTTGCATAATGAGACATTCTTGAACTTTCTTCAGATAAATATGCCTTTTGTGAGTGAGTGTGCACACATGCATGGGGTGTAGGTTTAGCTGTTATTGTCAAAGAGGAGTGCAGTTTCCCTGAATCGTAGAGTTGGAAGGGATCCCGGTGGTCATCTAGTCCAACCCGCTACAATGCAAAACCCTTTTTGCCTAATGTGGGGCTTGAACTGAGAACCCTGAGCTTAAGAGTTTCAGATTCATATGCAACATTCTTGACCCAACAAGGTCGCCTCCAAGCGGTGTTCATTTCCTTGTTTATTGGACCAAATTCACAGAAAAATCTCTATGCGGTTTACATAAAAGAATACACACACACACACGCAGTTGACAGAACTTTAAAACACATGTATGGGCTGGCTTGGACTGATGGGCTGTAGCCCAAATCATGAAGAGGCTTTGGCTGAGGCTGCAGTCGAGCTTTCAGGGAAATTTTGATGCTTCTCTTCATCATCATCATCATCATCATCAGCTGCAGCAGCAGCTTATTTATAGTTGAGAGACTTTGGGGTTGTATCCATTGTTGTACAAGTGGAGTTCTGCTTGCACAGCAGGACTTCCTCTTCTCCGCTCTCCCATCTCCCCCAACGCTCCAGAGGGGAAGTCTTTTGCATGGTAACATAAGAAGCTTCCTTATACAGAGTCAGACCATTGGTCCATCTAGCTTGGTATTGTCTACACTGACTGGCAGCAGCTCTTCAAGGTTTCAGACTAGGTTCTTTCGCAGGCCTCCCTAGAAATGCCACTGGCGATTGAACCTGCCTGGGACCTTCTGCAGGCAATGCAGATGCTCTGCCACTGAGCACACAGCCCTTCCGTGAGCAGAACAGTATGTTGGATGCAATACTATGATTAGAGCAGGTATGGGGAACCTTGGACCCTTCTGACGTTGCTGAACTCCCATCAGCCCCATCAGCCAGTGTCCAAGGATGATGGGAGTTGTAGTTCAGTAATACCTGGAGGGCCCAAGGTACTTCTGTATTAGAGCTTGGCAGCTGGTGGCCTCCTGGACACACCATCCAGTTGCCAAACCTCCCTGTCTTCCTTTTTTCACTGGGCTGCTTGGGAAATAGAAACAGGGTTGAGGGTGGTCATCCCTTCTCCTCTACCAAGGGTGCATTCTTCTCCACATACTTCAGGCTGGGCTGCCATATAATCATAGAATTGTAGAGTGGGAGGGGACCCTGGGGGTCATCTAGTCCAACACCATGACATGCAGAAATCTCAGCCGAAGCATCCATAGCAGGTGGCAATCCAACCTCTTCTTGAAAACCTCCAAAGAAGGAGAGTCCACAACCTCCCGAGGGAGACCATTCCAATGTCAAACAGCTCTTACTGTCAGAAAGCGCTTCCTGATGTTTAGCTGGAATCTCCTTTCTTGCAACTTGAATCCTGCACAAAAGGTCTAGCTTCCCAGTTCCTGCTTGGCCAGATGGGTTGCTGTCAAGGGTCATCTTCTCTCAAGTTACCTTTTCAATGACCACCTCTTCTCCTCCCTTCTCCCTTCCTCCACCCCTGGCTTTGTAGTCCTCGTCGACATCCAGTCAAGAAGAGAAAATTCTGAAACCAGATGATTTGGCCCCCATGGGCATCCCCATCGAAAGAGCCCGGAACTTGGAAGACAGCCGCGAGTTTGAGGCACTCTCTTTCCAGCCCTCCCAGCCCCTCAGCAAGTCCAGCTCGTCTCCAGAGCTTCAGACCCTCCAAGAAGTCCTCAAGGACACCGGCAGCGAAGAGCCGCCTGGGAAGCTGAGCAGTGACGGGAAGTCCAAGTCTCAGTCGGGACACTTGGAAGGGGAGGCAGCCGGGAGCTGGCTGGGCAGAGGGGAAGATGACCGCCTCCCTGGGGCACCCAGGGTGGGCTGCAGTGCCCCTCTCTCTTCTCCGCGCTCCCCAACGGGCCACCGCCCCCGAGGGTACACAATCTCTGATTCAGCGCCCTCGAGGAGGGGCAAGAGGATTGAGAGGGACCCCTTCAAGGGGCGCGCAACAGCTTCCAATGCGGAGAAAGTGCCAGGAATCAACCCAAGGTGAGTGAATTGTGCATGTGGAGAGGCTGCATGAGACAAGGGACTGCTCTTTCATTTTTCTTCCTGACCAGGGCTTGGTGACACATCACAGACAGATTCGGTGTCCAGATCAGTGGGTCTCAAACATTTTTGGGCCTCCACCTCCTTGGTCCCATAAATAGAAACCCTAGTGCCCCCTACCCTCAGGGGCGTAGCGTGTTGGGGAGGTGGGGCTTAAGGGGCCATGTTTTTCTAAGGAGGTATGACCAGGCACCTCCATGATGGGCTCCCTCATCAGAGCCTGGCTGCAGTGCACAAGACAGCTGCAGAGACTAGCAGCTTCCTCATGCCCAACACCACCAGCCACAACTCCAATCCCGGGTCAAAGCTGTCCCTGGGACAGAGAGAGGAGAGTGACTGCCAGGTATTAAGCAACATGAATGACCCTGCTTCTCAGTGTCCTGGGAGCGTTTGGCTGGCTAGTGTTTGAAGCAGTAGGCTGGCATTGATGGGCCTTTTACCTGATCCCACCACATCATGTCTGAATTTGTCCAGTTGCTTTTGGCGGGGCTCACTTGCATGCTTGGCTATTGCTGTCTGTAGCGGTGGAGAGTTCTACATGCTAAGATTCAGCCGAAACCTTTAGAGATAATGGAATTAAATCTATTTTAATGTTTTCTCCTTAGCTTTGTGTTCCTGCAGTTGTATCACTCTCCTTTCTTTGGTGATGAATCAAACAAGCCCCTCCTGTTGCCAAATGAGGTAGGTTTCAGCATGTCATTTAGGTAGGTTTCAGCATGCTCTGTTTGCCAACCCCACGTACCCTCTAACCCCTTTGCTAACCACCATACCTGGCCAGCCCTCCTCCCTTTTCATAAAAGATGCCAAGGTGGCTTTGACCATGCTTGCCGTTCTAAAGCTTTCCTCATTTTTTTTTATATTCTTAGACGTTTGAGAGATCAGTTCAGCTGCTGGATCAGATCCCCCCATACGATACCCACAAGATTGCAGTACTATATGTTGGGGAAGGGCAGGTAAGGGCCGTGTGCATCAGCTTCCTGGATTTATTTGGGCAGAAGGTGCTCAGGGAAAAGCTGTTCCCTTCAGGAAACTGTTCCCTTCTGCTGCCTGCGAAGTTTGGGGGACCCTGGGTGCAAAAGGGCCTCCTCGGTGGCAGCCCCCTCATCTCTGGAATGGCCTCCCCTCTAAGGTGCATCAGGCACTGAGATTGTTAGGAGGTGAAGACGCACCACTTTGCCCCAATCTTTGGGAGGGAGGTGAGCATTATTATAAGCCCCTTGGTTTGAAATGTTCCTCTTGCCCACTTCATGAAATTATTTGGCGTTGGTTATTTTAATCATTCTTATGCATATGTGATTTTTGGTTTTATTGTATTCTGCTTTAATCATTTTAGTATCTTTTGCCCTGAGACTATTTGCTGAAGGATGGATTAAAAATACTGTAAATATGTCTTCTAAAAGTCGGATAGTTGTTTATTTCCTTGACATCTGACAGGAGGGCGTTCCACAGGGCGCCACTACCAAGAAGGCCCTCTGCCAGGTTCCCTGTAACCTCACTTCTTGCAGTGAGAGAACCGCTAGAACCACATGGTAAAATGGCCTCGCAGAGGATCCATTTTGTAGCGGGACAAAAGCAGCTTCCTTACATGGAGTCAGACCCTTGGTCTGCATAGCTCAGCATTGCCAATACGGACTCTCCAGGGTTTCAGGTCGGGGTCTTTCCCAGCCCTAACTAGAGTTGCCATCGGGGGATTCAACCTGGGCCAGCCTTCTGCATGCAAAGCAGATGCTCTACCACTGGGCTTTGGCCCTTCCACATCCTAAAAAGGCCCCAGGTTTTTCTCTAGGTAAAATAATGTGGAACCCTCGAGCCTGTTGTCCACACAGCTGCTCTCGTGGTTTTGTCTCCACTCCAGAGCAATGATGAGCTCGCCATCCTTTCCAACGAGCACGGCTCCTACAGGTACACGGAGTTCCTGACCGGCTTGGGAACGCTCATTGAGCTGAAAGACTGCCAGCCAGACAAGATTTACCTTGGTGGCTTGGATGTGTGCGGGGAGGACGGGCTGTTTACCTACTGCTGGCACGATGACATCATGCAAGGTAGGCCTGAATGAGGGAGTGTCTGTGTGTTGAGGCTGGGTAGCCTCTGTGCCCTTATTCTTTCAGGGATAGTGCTTCCCACTTTGCGGAGGGCTCTCTCATAATTGGCCCAATGCAATTTGAAACCTAGTTTGTGCAGTGTGTAAGTTGAATGCCCCCCACTGTGAAGAATAGCGGGCCTGAGGGTGCCTTTAAGGGCAGCAGAGAGGGCAGTTGATGGGTTTGCCCCAGGGGGCAACACTCCCCACCCCCCAGTCTCCTGCGTAAGCCCCATTGAGTCTTTTTAAAATTTTCCTTTCAGCATTGCTGCTCATACACTAAACAGACCTTCAACTGGGTGTTTTGGGATTCCAGCTCCCACCAGTCCTATCAGGACAGATGTGCTCCCTTCTGCCCTGGCTGGGGCCGGTGGGAGTTCTCATCCAAAACATCTGGATGTCACCAGGTCGGGGAAGCCTGGTCTAGCATATGAAACGTTTCCTCCTCCTGTGGTTTGAGACTCCGAACTGCATGTAGCCTTCCTTCCTTCCTTAGCCATTTTCCACATTGCGACTTTGATGCCCACCAAAGATCTGGACAAGTACCGCTGCGACAAGAAACGTCATCTGGGGAACGACTTTGTGTCCATCATTTACAACAATTCAGGGGAAGACTTCAAGCTGGGGACCATCAAGGTAAGGAAATGTGCCTCTGCTGAGCGGCTTGGGCCTGACAGATGGCCAGTTTGGTTCTGGGATGAATTTTTCCGCCTGGAGATCATGTGGGGGGATAGGAGCAAGGTTTTGCTGCAAGAATCACAGCTCTGTGATAAATGCCAGTTTTCCTGTTCCCAAACTCAGAGGATCCGGGGGTGCCCCGAGCATTTCCCTTTCCCTCATGGCCATGAGCCTCGAGCCTGGCTTGTGTCTGAGAAAACTGCTCCATTGTTTGGCACAGGATGAGACGGCCAGACTCTTTCTACTTTGTAAACTCCTTCCTTTCCATTCCCAACTGCCAGTCGCTCCACATCTCAGTCTTAACTGGGAACATCTGAGAACCTCAGTATCCCTCGACCTGGAAACTAAACCCTGCCTGCAGGCTGTAGGATTTTCCTCCAGGAATATCAAAGTGTATTCTGTAATGAGCTTTTCACAGTAAACTGACTTGGGTTGATTAGGGGTATGAAAGCTGTTAAGGCCCAAACCCTTCAGCCTGATGGAACTCAAGACAGGCTTGCTTTGTCCTACCCTTACTAAGGTGGCTGCAAGGGAAGAGAGAGTTCCCCTGCCTGTAAGAGACAACAGAGTACACCTTAGGCCTAGGCATTGCCCCTGGGCCTCGCTGTTCCTCTCCCTGCCATACACCCTAATGTTCTTCCCTCTCCAGGGCCAATTCAACTTTGTGCACGTCATCATCAAGCCTCTGGATTACAACTGTAACCTGCTCACTCTGCAGTGCAGGAAAGGTAGGCCCAGGCCTCTCTCTCCTTTTCCCCACCAGAGTTCGCGAAGGGTGTTACCTCCAGAGATTTCCACTGGCCTGGCTGTCTCAGAGCCTTGGGAAGGATTTTAGCTTATGTCTTGGGTGCGCAGGGGAGGAAACAGGATGTACAATTTCAGAAATAAAATTCTTAATGTTAATTTTAATTTTTTGGCTTTTATTCCTGGACATCTAAAAGCCACTTTTTCAGAGGTGTAGGGAGAAAAAGGTGTAAAGAGACAAGTTTGTGGAAATGATGACGCAATCTCTTACCTGACAGAATGCCTGGTTTTAATAATTATTTCAACTGTGTGATGTATTTTATTCTGTTTTATGTATTTTGTTTCCTGCAATGGCTTCGGCTACACAAATAAATAATATTCATACAATTTGTACAGTTGTGGACTGAGGATGCTGCAGTCTCCCTCTCTTTCTCTCTCTGGTCTGTAGATATGGAAGGGCTTATCGACACCAGTGTGATGAAGATCGTTTCCGATAAAAACTTGGCTTTTGTCGCCCGCCAGATGGCTCTGCACGCCAACGTGAGTGCTCTTGTGGGAGCTGGTAACAGATCATCTTTCATTTGAACTTGGCAACTCAGCCTTTGGCATCCTGTTGCCCTCCAGCTGCTTTGGGCTACAGATCCCCTTGACCAGAGCCAGCACAGTCGCAGGAAGCCGGGGCTGATGAGAGTCCAAAAGGCCTGGAGGGAATCTGGTTGAAAAAAGGTTCTGTCTCTCCAGCCTTGCTGGCTGATGGGAGTCATCTTCCAAAATGGCTTGGAGGGGGCGCCAGGTTGACAACTGACGGCTGCACTTGGATGGCGCCTTAAACCAGCCTGCCTGAGTTGACCCTCCTCTTTGCTTCCCACTGTTTCCCTCAGATGGCTTCTCAGGTCCATCACAGCCGCTCCAACCCCACAGACACGTACCCGTCTAAGTGGATTGCCCGCCTGCGGCACATCAAGAGGCTCCGGCACAGGGTAACACTGCCTTTTCTCTCTCTTAGTGTATTCCCTCGAGTTTCTTTTTCTTGTGGCATGTGACTCTTTCCCCTCTAACTTTAACACACACACACCCCATCCCCAATACAGGGGTAATAATCAGAATTGTAGAGTTGGAAGGGACCCGGGGGTCATCTAGTCTAACCCCCTGCAATGCAGGAAACTTTTTGCCCAACGTGGGGCTCAAACCCCTGACCCTGAGATTAAGACTCTCATGCTCTGTCGACTGAGCTATCCTAGGAGTTGTTTGGAAAATACCAGCCGGTCTCTTTGTAAAGATTTCTGAAAGCACTGAAAATAAAAGGATTTTTTTTTTGAAGGACTTGAAATATGCTCTCTACTTTCCCTTCTTTCAGATCAGAGAAGAGACTCAGTATCAGGCTTCTGGTTTCCCCAGCATGCACCCTCCTGCCCCAGCCAAATCGTCTGCCCACCTTCCTCAGGACCCGGCTCCCACCTACGAAACGGGACAGAGGAAGCGCCTCATCTCCTCGGTGGACGACTTCACGGAGTTTGTGTAGCGTCGGAACGTGTCCTGCATCAACTTGTCCGGTGGGCAAAGCCTTCTTGTTTCCCCCACCCATCCAGCTGCTGCGGAGAGGAGATTCCATGTTGGCGACACTCGGAGACGGGTTTCCCCGATCCAGAACACACCACTGCCGCTCTGGTGGCTCATGCTCCCTTTGAAAGCTGCTGGTCCACAGTCCTGTCAGGCTGCCATTCTCCAGAGAGGAAGGTGGAGGTGTCTTGGATTGCCATTGCTGTCGTGCGTTTTTTAAACTAACACTTTGAGGATGCGTTGCTATGAGTGAATGGAGGCAGATCTAAGACACACAAGATGCTCGTTGAAGGTATGGAAGAAAAAGTGTCTCAGTAGCCTGACATGAACTCCCCAGCAGCGCCATGAATGTTCCTGGCTGGATGAGTCCCAGGTCCCAGTGTGCATGCGTTTTTGCCTCCAGCTCATGGTGAGGAGGCCTGGGGGTTAGTGACTTCGTTTTTCTTTTCCCAGAGGATAATGGCGGTATGGATTTTGCTGCGGGCGAGTGGTCTTTCCTGAACAGTTGTTCTTTGCAGCAGGTCAAGATGCCAAACACTGAGCTTGCGCAGAAACAATTTGGCCGTGCCCAGAGTAAAGAGACACTTTGGGCTGATTTCGCTCTAATCTATTTGCTGCAGAGTTGGGGAGGGAAGAGGAGCATGTTGGCCTTGAAAAAGGAGATCCCTGGCTTTTCCTTTTTAAATTGTCCCTTGCTGGAAGAAATTTAACCTCTTCCTTTCCTTTGCTGGGACGAGCTTTTATTGCCATTGAGGCCGTGGGCTGTGTCGGCCTTTGCCAAAGTGGCGCCCTCCGGTTGTTTTGGATTGCAACTCCCTCTAGCCCCCCAGCCAACATGTGCTGTGAGTTGTAGCCCAAAACATCTCCAAGGCTTTCTGGTCATTGCTTAGAGGAAGACCAGCCTTCCCCATCCTGGTGCCCTCTAGATGTGCCTGGGAGTACAGTTGGCATGGCCACTGCGGTCGGACTGATGTTATAGTCCAGCAACACCTGGAAGATGCCAGGTTGAGGAAGTCTGACCTGGGCGCCACTTGATTTGCGGCGGTGCTGCAGTAGAAGAAGCATGGGAGTTTGCCCTGTGGGATGTTCTGCTGACTTTTGCTGCCATCCTTCTGTGGTCACTGGCGCTCCCTTCAGGACTGCAGGCGGGCTTTCACAGGACTAAACCCAAGGGCCAGCAATGATGTGAGGGTTTGATTTGTAGCTAGTCTTCCTTGGAAATAGCAAATGGTACAGAAGGTAAAGCCTTCCTTTACTGGGATTTTAAAAGGGGGGTCACCTAAAGATGACTGGATGTCACTTTCCTTTGTATCCATCTTGTTTGGCAAATGTCTTACAACACACTTAATGAAATAAAGTGTTTCTTTGACAACCAGATTTCCAGTTGACATCTTGCACCATTTGTAGCGTTCTCCTTCCAGTGTGATTAAATGTTGGATCACCTCTATCTATATGCTTCCTGACACTCTCAAAGGACTCTTTAAGATGTTAGTGAGACAGGGCTTACCCTTGCAGAAGCCATGCTGGTTCTGCTTCAGCAAGGCTTGTTTTTCTGTATGCTTTGTAATTCTGTCTTTAATAATGCTTTCCACCAGTTTCCCTGTAAGAAATGTTAAGCTAAATTTTTTAATAGTTGGTGATACACTGGCCACTTTATGGTCTTTGTATGGAAACTGATCTTGGGGACAAGTTGCATATTTTTGTAGAAGATCAGCAATTTTACATCAGAATTCTCTAAGAACTCTTCAGGGGTTGCTATTCAGACCAGATTTGTGAGTAAGGCCTAGAATTCCACCCTGCTAGTCACCACTATTCGTTCCTCATCTGAAACTCAGGTGAAACTTTGTTCCAGCACTGGGGGACTGCTCTACGTCTTCCACCATTAAGACAAATGTGAAGAATTCGTTTAGCTTCTCTGCAGCCTTCCTTTCTTCTTTTAGCACACCTTCGACCCCCCTTGTTGTTCAAAATCTACATGCCTCCTTTGCTGGTCTCCTGCTGCTAATGTATTTAAATAATTTTTTGTTGGTGGTCCTTGTGCTTTTGGCAACGTGCTCAATTTCTTTGTTTCTGTATCTCTTATTGTCTGTTTGCATTTCTTCTGCTGAAGTTTGTGTTCCTTTTGGTTCTTATTTGGACAAGACTTCCATTTACTGAAGGAAGTCTTTTCTTACCTCATCTAATAGCTTCTTTGACTTCAGTTGTTAATCACGTTGGTGTTCTCTTGGCCTTCATGGTAACTTCCCTGGGCTGCGGTGTGCATTCTAGCCATGTTTCTAATATCTTGGTTTTATTAACCCCCCAATAATTTTGGAGAGGCTTAACCCTTTTGACTTTATCTTGAAAGTTCCTTTTTACCAGTCCCCTCATTTTTTGCAAGTTTCCTCCTTTGAAGTAAAATGTGACCATGTTATATTTTCTTGGCCATTGCCTATTTACATATACAGTGGTGCCTTGGGTTAAGTACTTAATTTGTTCCAGAGGTCTGTTCTTAACCTGAAACTGTCCTTAACCTGAAGCACCACTTTAGCTAATGGGGCCTCCTGCTGCCGCCGCGCCGCCAGAGCACGATTTCTGTTCTCATCCTGAAGCAAAGTTCTTAACCTGAAGCACTATTTCTGGGTTAGCGGAGTCTGTAACCTGAAGCGTATGTAACCTGAAGCGTATGAAACCCAAGGTACCACTGTATGCTGAACTGGATAGTACTGTGTTCACTGTTCCCAGTGAGTTCAACAACACTTACACCTTGCACCTGGGCACCACTTAAAAGCAAGTCCAGGGTTGCTGCCTTTCTGGTTCTATGAGCTGCTGTTTTGAAAGATTGCCTCCTTCCCTACAGACCTTCAGGTGTTATTAAGATCAGCAGAGGGAGTCCTCTTGGTCGTTCCACTGCACTCAGAAGCTTGTGCGTCATGGCCCAGCTGAAGACATCATCTGTGGCTGTCTAAAGTTTAGGAATCTCCTCCCTACAAAAGTAAGTGATGCAGCTTTTGGTGAAAGCTTTACCCTGGCCTTTGACATCTGAGATGTATGTGTTTTTAAGGCCCACCTAATTTATGTGATTCTAGAGTGTTTTAAATGGTTTTTAACATTGTGTTTTAGTTGTTGCAAGCCTGGGACCTTAGTGTCAAGGACAAATATGCTGGTGGTGATTCTAAGGCGCACTCATTTAGGGTTTTTAGAAATGTTCCCTCTTAGTTGTGACTGGAACACAAATATGGCCACTGTATTTGTGGGTTAATGAAGTCGCCCAGTGTTGGTTGCCCATGGAAAGAGTCCCTTCTAATGGATAATTTCTCTCTTCCTTGGAGTGACACCCTCCTTTCTCGAGATCCACCTTTTCTGTGGTGGTGGTAGAGCTGTTACTCTAAAAGTGGAGTGCTGCTGTTGTGTCCCTGAAGGCCTTGCCTACCTCCAACCTCTCATCTTCTCTGGGTCAGCCACCTTGGCCTCAAGGTGTCATAAACTGGTAGGACAATGGGGAGGAGGAAGAGGATCCCGGCGAGGGGTGCAGCTGTGACTGGGACCCACTGGGGCAAGCCACGGATGGGAAAGGAGAGGTTGGGGTTGTGGAAAGTACACATGGAGTGGCAGAGGGTGGCGCGGGAATGGGGGTCAGTATGCAGGGAACAGAAGAGGAGGGCTCCTCATTGGAGCCAGAGGCCCGTCTCCCATTACCAAGGTGGGCTTTGAGGTGTATAGAGCAATGGGAGGTGTGCTCAAGGAGGCTGAGGCAGGAAGGACCCACTGCCCAGGTGGGGCTCATTAGCTCGGGAAGGAGGTGTGTGAGTCCTTGACTGGAGCAGGTGAGGCTCACCTGCCTCATCCAGCCCAGATGCTGCAATCCACATGCAAGGTATAAAGGGGGAGCCAGAGCTGAGCTGCTTTGTCTGCTTAACTGCCTATGTTGACGGACCTCGGCTTGGATGGTCTAGGACTTCTATGGGACTGTGCCTTGGGTTTGACTCTAGACTGTGTTTCCCGATTGCTAGACTTTGGACTTGGCTTACTTAGACCGTTGGGACTTAGACCGTTCCTGACCGTTGGGACTTTGTTTACGTGGATTGACCGTCGGACCGTGTTTCCCGACGGTTGAATTGTAGGCTTGACATACTGTATATGCCAGCGGGACTTGCTGCCAGGGGACACAAGGGGGCAGACGTGTCCTATGATGGCCAGGCACTCACTGCATCCAGTGCCTACCCATGACTTCTGTCCAGTAGGGCAGACAGTTGTACAAGTAACATTCTGTGGAGTGCACTCAGCACTCCACCCGGCTTTCTAATTGCATACCTCTTGTTGTTTGAGTTTGCGAACTTGGGTGTGGGTTGCTATTTATTGGGTTTCAATTAAATTCACTTTAGCAAGACACTTCCATTTGCTTAATAAGGCACAGAAATCTTTATTGAGCTGTCCATTAACTTTTTTAAGTAGACTTTGTCATTTCTTTTTCACCGTTACAAAAAAACAACATATGTTTGCAAAACTTAACATTAATCACAATTGCTGCTGCTTCTGCCGTTGCTACCAGAAGCCTTGATAAAAGCCACCTGCCTCTAAAGAGAGAGCTGGGTTGTGGTTTTTGTTTAGCTGGCAAGAGTTCTGTGCTAAGCAGCAAGTTACTGTAGGCATCAGTGTGGGGTTTCAGACAACAATAAATAAGAAACCATCTGCCTGTGAGTAAATACCAAAATATACATTCAAGAGTTTATCTGGCAGGTAGGGACGTGAGTTGGGTCCGCTACTGATGAGAGAGGGGGGCGGTGGGCAGCGGGCATGGTCTGCGCTGAAGTAGATCTATCTACAGCAAAGCACCAGGGACATTCTCCTTCCTCCCATACCAGCTCCTTCCTTGCTACCTTCACGTCTTCTGTGCTCCAGAATGCTCCTCCTCCCTGGGAGGAAAACACCCCCCACTCCCTCCTTAGCGTAAGAGCACAGCTCATGTGCTAAGGCGCTTGCTTCCCTGACTTGACTAGGATTTACCCTCGTAAGGACCTACATTAAAAACAACAACCCTAGAAAACTATGAGAACTTTTTAATTTAGCAGAGAAAGAAGTGCAAAATCCCTTCACTTGGTTCAAGCCATACCCATCTCTAGCTCACTTCAGTCACTTCCCACACACACAGGCTGCATTCTTTAAATAAGCCAACAGATCAATATCTTCTTTCCTCCAGTTGTGGCAACAGAGGCCTGCTCTGGTCAAAATTTGCAGCTTTTTGCATTGCATTCACAGGGAATGCAGGAAGCCCAATGGCTCACTCACGATAAAAGCTTCCAATGTGCGCTCAAGTCTAGTGGATGATGACTGGAAAACCTCCCTGCTGAATCTACTTATCAAGGACCCATTACAGAAAGTCTTTAGCCCTGCAGCAATTTATCTCCTGGCCAATGCAATGCAATGCCCTTTTCCCACCCACTGACCATATCCTACCTCCTAGCGATCTTTCTTTGTTCCTTCACAGAATGAAGCAAGTGCATTTTCCACTTTGTACCTGATGAGTAAAGCAGCTTGGAATATTTTAGAAAAGAGTTTGTTAAAAAATAGCACCCTTTATAAATAATGAAATATTATAAAAAGATGTGCCTATAACCATATTTTCCTCATTTTTAGGACGATGGTTACAGCCAGAAGAATTAGCAATTTAAAAAAACCATTCCAGGAAAAAAAATATCTCTATTTACAACTCCTACCAATGATGTTGGCAATGGAATAAGCAAGTCAGCATTTAGAAATGGCACTTGTGGAAACCCAGTCAAAGACTAGGTGTAGGCCTTGATATCAGAGTTCTTTTTAGACTTAGCAATGTCTAGGAGTAATTATGGCTAGTGCATTGCAGAGAGTTCCTGCCCCCCTGCCCTGGATGTGGGGAACAGAAAGATCTCTCAAACTTCCTTTGGCACAAATCCCAAACACACGGGCGCTTTGCTTGCACACCACAAACATTTTAGCAAGAAGGCTTTTAACACACTTTTTTTTAAATAACTCCTATCTACATGTGTTGAGCACAGTACCAAATGCTATAAAAATATAGCAAACATACAAAAATATACATTATTTTTCTCCTTGTAAAAATCCCGTATAAATTACTTGCAATATACATAACATTAAACTGGCCTATGGAATATGATGACAGGAGCAGTGCTATTTTTTAGGGGGAGGCAGCAAAATGTTTTGAACAAAGGAAGCCAGGATTGACTCCCAAAAGCAGAGTTGAGGTTCTAGAGAAACTACAATCCAGCTGTAGCTTCCAATGGAAGGATGTAACTCATTCACGTCAAATGAATGGTGGTGGTGGTGGGACTTGATTTTTAAAACGCACTTGTTTTCTGGGACGCTCCAAAAGCCACTCTGAATCAAAGCTCATTTCCTTGTGTAAAACAGG